TTGACCATATACAGGACTTGACTCAATGTCTTCTAGTTAAGGAGAAAACGTTTGTAGAAGAATAATAATAATAATAAGAATAAGAATAAAGAAGAATACTGGCAAAAACAATAGACTCCAGATTGACATCTGGAGTCTAATAAGAAGAAGAAGAAGAAGAATACTGGCAAAAACAATAGACTCCAGATTGACATCTGGAGTCTAATAAGAAGAAGAACTAGACTTTGGAAATTGAACGAAGTTCAATTTCAGACTCCAGATCTAGACTTTTTTAAGCCCAGTCATCTAAAATAAGCCGAGTCATCCAGAATAAGCTGAGTCATCCAGAATAAGATGGATGGATAGAAAAGGAAGGTAGGATAGGATAGAATGGGAAGGAACGATAGGATAGAATAAGAAAGAAGAATAGGATAGAACAGAATATGAAGAAAGGATATGATAGGAGAGGATAGGAAGGATAGGAAGGAAAGGATACGAAGGAAGGATAGATAGGATGGATAGGATAGGATCAGATTTGAAGGATGGATTTTTCAATATTTTCTTCTCTACTCTTGACTTTCTATCAGGATACCATCAGATCGATTTTCCGAAATTTCAAAACGCCATACCTTCCGAACCGGAAGTCGGATCTAAATTTGATTTAAAGTTTCGGATTCCTGACAAAATTCTACCCTTAATTCATAACTCATACGTTAAATTTGGCGAATTTTTATTTTGACCTACTTTTTGGACACGCCATTTCTTCGGAACCGGAAGTCGGATCGAAAATTGGTTTGCAGACTCGAATTCCTGAGAAAATTCTACCCTTAATTTATAACTCATATGTTAAATTTGGAGAACTTTTTACCTACTTTTCGGACACCATATCTTAAAAGTGGGTCGAAATACTTTCTGACGGCAAAAGGCTAACGCTATTAGCACACTCTTTCCTACCTGTATACAAAATTTTGAAGCAAATCATTTAAATATAGTGTCAGAATCGCAAAAATAAGGAAAAACTATGAATTTGACCTAGATTTTGACCTAGGGATTTTGGTGTCCAAATTTTGAAGTTGGGTAGCCTTCGAGGTCCCCTTCTTTCATAGGCTTTCATTATTTTAAGCTGTACTTAGTCTATATCTCGTATTTTACACTTCAAAAAAATCTTTTATCCCATTGATATAACATGGGGCACCAAATTTAGCGATTTTTGAGCTTTCAAAATGTCATAACTTCCGAACCGGAAGTCGGATCGAAATTTGGTTTGCAGATTCGGATTCCTGAGAAAATTCTATACTTAATTCATAACTCAAACGTTAAATTTGGAGAATTTTTTATTTTGACCTACTTTTCGGACACCATATCTCAAAAGTGGGTCAAAATACTTTCTGACGGCAAAAGGCTTACACTATTAGCACACTCTTGGCTACATGTATACAAAATTTCGAAGAATATAATTAATCTGTAGTGTCAGAATCGCAAAAATAATGAAAAACTTTGAATTTGATCTAGATTTTGACCTAGGCTTTTTGGTGTCCAAATTTTTATGAAAAGAAGGTTTTGAGGTCTCTTTCTTTTATGGGCTTCCATTATGTTTAGCTGTGCTTAGTCTATATCTCGTATTTTACACTTCAAAAAAATATTTTTCCCATTGAATTAACATGGGGCACCAAATTTAGCGATTTTTGAATTTTCAAAACGCCATAACTTCTGAACCGGGAGTCAGATCGAAATTTGGTTTTCAGATTCGGAATCCTGAGAAAATGTCCTATAAGACTGATATCCTGGATATTGGATTCGGAGAACTTATTTTTGGACCTCGTTTTCGGACACTGATATCTCGAAATCGGTTTGAGATACCAAAAAACTAAATCGACCCTTGGTTTTCTACTTTTTTATGAGGAACACAATGAAAAAAACCCGGATCGAAAATATTGAAGGACGACCGAGAAAATCGAAAAAAGTGACAAAGTACTGGATTTGACCTAGTTCTTGACCTTTGACCTAGATAAAAATTTGACCCAATTTCCCACCAACTAGATACTGAACCTAAATAAACTGTATTATGGTACTTACTGGATACCTCATAGTTATTGAAAAAACTCCCAAAGAATAATAAGAATAAGAATAAGAAGAAGAATAAGAATACTGGCAAAAACAATAGACTCCAGATTGACATCTGGAGTCTAATAATAAGAATACTGGCAAAAACAATAGACTCCAGATTGACATCTGGAGTCTAATAAGAATACTGGCAAAAACAATAGACTCCAGATTGACATCTGGAGTCTAATAAAAAGAATATCCTGTTCTGTGGTGTTTCTTATCCCATCATGGATAATCCCTCAGACATTATTGGATATCCTTTAAATATTGGACACTTTTGCCTATTGTATAATATGAAACATTAACATGCAAAATGTCACCACCTGTCATTTATTCAAGAAACACACCTAGTGCTGGACACCAATCGCCTTCACAAAAAGATGGAGACCATAACAATATTTGTATGTCACCACTTTTGGAGGTGACATATCAATAATTTGTGATGATGCACCGTCATATTATAGACACATTCGGTGAATTTACAATAGACAGTGCTCATCATCCTTCAAGATCAGCCTTAGATTAGACAGTGCAAGTTTTTTTGTACATACTCGTAGATGTATCATAATATAATACATTATGCAATACAAAAAACCTTGTAAATCTTGTTGATGTGCTTTACATTTTGTTAGATTGGACGGATTTATATAATCACAACTCAGAACTGCTCTCAGGGAGCAGATGATGAAATGCTTCATACATATGCTGACATTTTCTTAGCTGACATGTTACTATTTCCAGTATTTCTTTGTCAATTGTAGAACCACCAATAAAACTTGCAATAAATATGATAACAATTAAGTCACGACAACAACAACCAAAACAGTGAACTTATATAAGCTATACTACTTTATTCTGATAAAAGAGAAACAACATGAAAACAGTAGTTAAAAAAATACAGAGTACTATACCAGTACATACATTTGTCATTAAAAGATTGTCTTGGAAAATATAAGGCATCTATTCTACATGTAACTAATATAACATCACAAGGACTTCATCTACTTCATTTATCAAAAATTAATTTCCAATAACCATAGGCAAAGATGATACACTTTAATTTACTATAATAAACATGACAGATTTCTATCACAAACATAAAGCCAACAGGTCATGAATGTGGCCCCCAGAGTTTTTACAAATAAAGCACAAGGCATTTACATGCAAATTGTCACCACATGCCTTTTGTTACAGAGGCTGTATGTTGTTACAGACACTGAACACCAGCCAAAAAAGTTGGAGACTAGAGCAAATGTTTGTCGCCACTTCTGGTGATGACAAAAAACCTGTCTACTCCAATACCTTTGGGATTGCCTCACAGCTCAGATCTTTTGAAAGATGACACATCTATAAAGGACAATTTTCAGTTTGGATAACCATAGACGATTTTAGGTTTGGAGAACCAAATTCATCTGCATATTTCGACGTTATCAATGTTGCCAAAAATGAACATTTTTGTGTATTGTAAATTTAAATGTCCTCTTTGTATACTTTAAAATCTACAATACGTAAAAATATGAAATTTTTGGTAACATTGATAACGTCGGAATATGCAGATGAATTTGGTTCTCAAAAGCGAAAATCATCCTTTACCAAATCTATCTTTGCCATTTGTATTTGCACTAATAAATACATGAATGGAATGTGTTATAATGAGAAAAAATAGTTCTGGTTAAAGTGGATGTATGCTTATTACAAATCTTGAGCACTTTATTTGGAAAGTTTCATGTATGCTATATACCTACACAACATGGATGGAATGTTAAAAATCACAATTTATATTATATTATTAAATAAGTGGCTAATATCCAACAAACTACAAAAAAATATAAATGTAATAAAAAGAATATCCTGTTCTGTGGTGTTTCTTATCCCATCATGGATAATCCCTCAGACATTATTGGATATCCTTTAAATATTGGAAACTTTTGCCTATTGTATAATATGAAACATTAACATGCAAAATGTCACCACCTGCCATTTATTCAAGAAACACACCTAGTGCTGGACACCAATCGCCTTCACAAAAGGATGGAGACCATAACAATATTTGTATGTCACCACTTTTGGAGGTGACATATCAATAATTTGTGATGATGCACCGTCATATTATAGACACATTTGGTGAATTTACAATAGACAGCGCTCATCATCCTTCAAGATCAGCCTTAGATTAGACAGTGCAAGTTTTTTGTACATACTCGTAGATGTATCATAATATAATACATTATGCAATGCAAAAAACCTTGTAAATCTTGTTGATGTGCTTTACATTTTGTTAGATTGGACGGATTTATATAATCACAACTCAGAACTGCTCTCAGGGAGCAGATGATGAAATGCTTCATACATATGCATTTCTTTCTTTATCTCACATTACTGAAACAAATGCATATAGCAAAACATGCATGAACAATTGTATACTTTTTATCAAGTATTGTATAAGTATCTAATACACAATATTTAAGTTTACAAATATGCTTACAATCACAATGCACACAAGTTTAACAAATTTATGTACTCACTGCAATGTAAGAAATTTTATTTTTGAATGCTGATTTTCATTTTGAGCAGTGCAAGCTTTTGTACTGTAAGCTTTTGTACTCTTGAATTTCCTCACTTGAAATCATGAATGCTTTGAATTAATTTAAATCCTGTGATTGCTTACACATACAGGGTGACCCGAAAAAAGGAGACCATTGAAGTAGGCAATATCTCCTAAACTAGACAAGTGACATTGGTGAAATTTTGCACTCATTAGAAGAGTTCTATGGAAATTTGTTCCTGAAAGTTTCAATAAAGATGACTGTTCCGATGTGTGCAAAATTTCATTGATGTCACTTGTCTAGTTTAGGAGATATTGCCTACTTCAATGGTCTCCTTTTTTCTGGCCACCCTGTATAAGTTATAATTCACTCCTTTTTTCTGGCCACCCTGTATAAGTTATAATTCACTGCATTATAAACTTTACTGAGAAATAAAGTGAGGTTTGCAAATATAAAAATAATATATAAGTGCTGCAAAGCTTACTAAAATAGAACTGATGAAGCAATAGAAATATAACGAAATCAAATTTTTCATAGTCTTGCATCAAACCCTGTGCTGGGATGGAGGGAATTTTTTTATAACCCCTTTCTGGCTAATGCACAGGAAAAATAGTGGGCCCATTAGTCTCGTATTTTTCCATAAAAAGCCAATTTTCAGTGGGTTGGATATAGATGGGATTAAGAGACTTGATACAAGACTAACCTTTAAACAACAGTTTCAGTCTTTGTTACAACAACATGGCTTTGTACTTCTGTGTCAACATTTGTCATGGATGCAATAGATATGGTATGACTTATATCACCAGTTCCACAAAGTTCCTTCATGGAGTGAATATGATGTTTAACTTGCTCTACTCCTAAGACAACACCCTCTCTCATACGTTGTCCATACTGACGACTTGATGCACGAATAGTTTGAAGTTTGTAACGACTGTTTTCACCAAGTTTGTGAATGTACTGAGAACCGGATTGTTTCAAATCTTTCATTTGTATTTTCACTTCTTTCATTTGTGATCGTGCCATTGTCATACGACGGTCAACTTCAATTCTGAGTTGGCGTCGTGCTTCCTCCAAACTTTGCCTCAGTTTGAGCTTGACAGCTCCATCAATTTCTTCTTCCGAGTCACTGGTAGCAAGGGGTGTATTTCCTCCATATTTTTGAGGAGAGGCACGCAGGGATTGGATCCAGAAAGGGCTGTGTTGACAAGGCGCTGGAGAATGTAGGGGAGTATGTTCTCCACATTCTGAATCATCAATGATAATATCAGGTAGGTCAAACATTTTTTTATTTTTTTTTAAACATGCCTCAAGACACAGACATATTCCACCATAGATCAAAGTCAGCACTATACATATCCCTGCAGATCCAGCAGCCAGAATCATATTTATCATGAATATCTCACTTATAGTTGACTTCTGTGTGACAAATATTGTTTCATTAACATACCCACTTGGATTTATAGCAGTACATGTAAATTGCCCTGCAAAATAATTTCTAATCTGCGAGATAACCAGGCTTCCATCTTTTTGCACTGTGGCTTCAGACTTGAAGTAACTTCGAGCACCAGCAAATGCATGTTGACCCTTGTGGATGTATAATTCTGGGGGAAGCCACATTGCATGTGAGGGGTGAACGAGAATCTGTCCCATAGGAGTTGTCCAGTATACTCCAGGAGTAGGTTCGCCAGATGCATTGCACCACAAAGTAACATCTTGTAAATGACTCACAGTAATATTCTGTGTAATATTTAGGATTATTGGAGGCTGACAAGTTAGCTCATCAAATTCCAATTGTTCAATCGGGGTACCTTGTAACACTAGAGGTTGGTTGCATATCATTCTTTGACGATTCTTATAATATGCATGATTGTGAAGATCTCGAATAATCCAGTTCAAGCCACATTGGCAATTCCATGGATTATTTTCAAGATGAAGATGCGTTAAATTATTCAAGTTGATCATTGCTTGTTCATGTAGGTGTACAAGCTGATTATCACACATATGAAGAACCTTCATGTTTATCAATGTATTGAAAGCTGTAGGGGATATCACATTTATCTTGTTGTAGCTGATATCTAGATGTGTTAAAGAGGTAAGCCCATTGAATAGATCGGCTCCAATCTGTATTATCATATTATGACTTAAATCAATATGGGTTAGATGGGACTTTCTCAAGAATATACCATTGGGGATTTTGGTCAGTGAATTATGGCTTAAGTTCAATGATGCTAGGTTATCCAAATCCTGGAATACATCAGATCTCAAATTGTCAATTGTGTTTTGTGACAATTGTAATGATTTTAGATGAACTAATCCAATAAATGTAAATTCATCTATTTGGGAAATATGATTGTTCAAGAGATGAATGTGACGTATATTGGGAAGCATCCACAGTTTGTTTATGCTATGAAAATTTGCTCCATGTATGTCTAATTTATGAATCTGGGATTTCCAAATAGAGAGAAGTAAATCAGTCCAAGATTCACTTAGTCCATTGGTGCATGACACAGATGTTTTGGCGCAAAAACATTCGTCGGGACATGCATTGACAGGTATCAATAAAAACACTAAAAAGTAATTGAATGTACATATTTTGATCGGCATAATCGCCATCTTTATCGCTCATTCATGGAAAGTCGGTGGATGATTGCAGGTCTGAATGTGCACCTGCAGAAGTCCTTCATTGCCTAAACAACGCCTGATCAGTCACGATAAGCCATCTTCATTTTCACTGTGCTTGTAACGTTATATTCATTTATCACATTTTCCTTGACCTGCTTCCTGAAAAACAACAAATCACAGGTAAAAACTCAATCAAGGAAGGAAATGAGGCTGCAGTTCTAATAATTCATCATAAAAACAAACTTGACCCTTTTGGCTTCCAAATAAAACGAAATCATAGTAAACTAATACAGTATAAATTATGCAGGATATACAGATAAACCAAATAACAGTTAAGCTATAATTAGCTAAACTTGCAAACTTACAAAAGAAAGTTTTTCCGCCTGAAGTTTTCTGAAAATCCCAGTTCCGGTATTACATTTTCCTCTCCTCACCATCAACCAACTCAATATAACTGTATAGACTGAACAATTCCAACAAACGTCTAGCTATAAAATAGCATTAAAATTTGACATATAATTGGCTGAATCTACTTAAACACTTCCGTGCATAGATTCTTTTTAATTGTTCTTTTATAGGTATTATTAATCATAACTTGAGGGAGGATGTTCAATAAATAGTTCTATTTTATTCACGTGACCTAATCGTATTTGCATATTCTATGATCAACAAGAACGACGGCCATTTTGGAGTACTTTAGTGAACCCATAACATTAACTATTATTTTCTTTAGTTTTGTAACGATATAAAGGATTAAATATATATGTGAATACAGCTAAATATGTCAGCATTTTGTCGGTGTGGCGTTGTGCTTACTCTAGGGATTCTAGTAGCAGTTCTTGGTGTTGAAGGTAAGGCATGATTTTTATTTTTTGTAAAAAAATCGCTGATTTATATTTTCAGGCACCTTTCTCTCTTAGTCTTGTTTCTTTCAGATATATTCTAAATGTAGATTTAGAAAAATGTTTCTGTAATTCCTGAATTCGCAGTGATATATCTGGATTACTATGATAGGCTTTCACCCTACTCCAAATCTATTGTTACGATTTGGAAATATCTGAAATTCAGGATACCCAAAATTCATGACAAAGATTTTATTTTTGACTCCCTAGCTTAGCAATAGGCTATTAATACTCTAAAAATACAATTTCCTAAGTAAAGGACTCAAGGATGGTATTTACTGTCACAAATATTTATATCTTTGACGACAGGCACCCATAAAGTTGATGATTCTTTAGACTCGGAGTCAATAATACGCTAAAGAATCGTTATGGTTGAAACTTACTCGAGTCTCTTGCCAATTCTTGGCTAGGCTAGAGGTAATTTCATCTGGAATACTATGAACTCCATTTGAAAAAAGCTGGCCGACGTGTCATAAATTTATTGAATATTTTAAAAATTGCCAGATAAATCATTATGATTAAAATGGGATCGGCTCGGCTCATTGATGAGATATTGCATGATTTCGTCTAAAATTAAAACAAATGGCTTTAAGAAAAATGGCGATATTCGAAAACTGGTTAGCCATCCAGAAGATGTGAACTAATACTTTGATCACCTCATGTGTGTTTTGGAATTTTTGGTGAGGTAATGAGACCAAAACTCGCAATTCAAATTGTGATGTGGAAAAATGGCGGACATTTGATTTCAAATTTTACGATTATGACATGACCCGTTATACATGCAGGAATTTATCTTTGGACGAAGGCCACGATACAGAGGCCTTAGAAGAAAGTAAGTTGAAACTGAAATACCTTCAAATGTTCCCTACATCTCAATTTCTCCATTTGTGAAAGTCTGTAAGTTATCTGCTGCTGATCAGGACTTCTTCTATTGAGAAAGCAAAATGGTGGTTTTGATGGAAGTTCTGCAATTAAAGTTAACATCATTTGGTAGAAAATATCCACTTAAGGATAAGGGGAAGTCCTGATCGGCACAAAAGTAGATGGTTACTTACCGACTGTCACATTTACAAATGGAGAAGCAAGCAGCTAAATTCAGTATTTCTCAATGCTGTAGCGGGTGATGTTTTGAAATAGGAAAGTTATCTAGAATGTGGGGCAATGCACAATGATATTTGATTATACAGGTGTTTGTCATATGGTGTTTGCTATATACCTGGTACATGTGTATTACTTGTATTTTTATAGTACATATGTCCTGCCAGATTCTTGTCCAAGATAACTGACTTTTGAAATGTCAAAGCTGGTAAAAATCAAATCATGTTTTTTTGCTAATATCTCAACTACAAGACCTCTACAAATGTACATTGATCTAAGTAGAAGATTTTTTCATTCTTAAATGGGAGCAGCACTTAAGTTTTGATGTGCATTCTATGTGAAGTAAGGCACTTTATTGTTTTTAATCTTTAGTCAAATTCATAAAGAGGCAAATTTTTATTTAGTTCTATATATTTGTCTTTTAAAGCGTAAAAATTAAAGGCCCCTTAAAAGCACCGGTAGACAGGGTGGTATTAGTAGGCAGACATTGACATGTGGTACATCGTTATTAACACGTATTGTCCCATTCAACATCATGAATGACAAATTGTACCTGATAACCATGTAGCACATAAAAGCCCACCTGTTACTTCTCATAGTGAGAGAATTGTATCTCTTGTAAACATTCATTTTACTATGTAAATTATCAAACATTTATTTATGATCAGCTCAGGAACAATTATAATTGTTGTAATAATCTAACTGACATAATATTAATGGTTTTAATTACATATTGTACCTGCTAAATAGGTGACACTTCTTTTGTCTAATTTGTACAATATTTGACTTTTAAAGGAGTGTAAGAACAGCCCTTATTTCAGTCAAGTCAGGATGGGTATAACTCTTTACATAATTTGATTGTCAAAGGATTTAATCGCTAATTTTACAGTATTCATCATTGAAATTGTCCCAAAGTTCCATTGCCAGTAGCTGACATGGGGGCTTTTTCAAAGTACATTGTAATTGAATTTATCAAGGGAAAATATTTGAAGAAGCATATAGATCCAGTTGTAATATTCATCACTACCGGTAAAATTTGGTATATCTTGGGATTTCTTTTATGCATATTAATACTAAGTGGATGAGATAAGCTCTGTAAAAATGATTAGCTGTAAAAGTTTGTGAGATAATACTGGTAAGTAAATAATATGCAAAGTACCAATATCTCTACATTATGTTGTATCAGATAGTTACCTATGTATTACATCACATTATGAATCATGCAGCTAGTAATCCTTACCAATATGTTATTGTAGTCTATTTGAGGATTTCCCCTATGTACTGTATAATTGATACAATATTCATGATATAGTAAATTAAGACATGTGGTATACATGCAGGGTATTGTCTAGAGAAAATAAACTGCTATAATGATAATCATATGCATCTTCGTTCACTCCGCTCCCGTTGGTCGATGAACGCAGTGAAGACCCGAGCGTGCGAAGATGGGTGATATGGGCATTGCCTTTAATTTTCTACCATGCCTCTGGAAATGTTGAAATTATATTCTCATGAAGTGCCAAGATAATAGAAAAATACCTCATCAACACTGAACAGAAGTTAGACAATGAAAAATCATGTCATTTTTAGAGGGAATAAGCATGAAGTTTTACCATAAGGCAAGAAACCTGAGATGTTTTTGATGTAGTCCATGTACCTTATTATTAAATACTATCTGACTATGGGGTATCTCAAATTATCACTGTAAACATGTATCTTTCAAAGAATTAAACACTTTTGATTTTTGGCATGCCTTATTTGTAACTGTGATATGTAATTATATACTGTGTTTTCCAATTTCGGTTCAGTGAGTAAACTTCCTGGGTTCATACCATTCATATATATACATTTTCATGATTCTTTTTGCCAACAAGGAAACCTTTTGTTGTCATTTACCTTTGTATTAGAATGACCATATCAACAGATGGCATGTTGAGAGAAATGTTCCTCTTTAGCACTGAACAGCACAGATTTGTGCTCATTGTATTGTTGACAGGTGGAACACTGGATTTATTGATTTCTCTGTTTTCCATTACCAAGTTTAAGCTGGGAAGAGAACCATTTACAAATGAGAATGAATTTATTAATATCTGCTATATGGAGTGCTCTTTAAATCCATGGTAGTCATGAGAGCATATACTTCAAGTATAGCTCTTGATATTGAAATCATCATCATTGGATAAACCAAGAGTTTATTATTCATAGAAAGTAATAATCTGTCCATGAAGTACTAACAGTGAAACTTGTGATTGTACACTGCTCTCTCATATGGTCATTGTCCAAGGTTTAATTTTGTTCTGTTCACTCTCATCTGTCATGTTCAATAATCTTTAATTTGCAAGCATATAAGAGGGTTGCATCTGATGCACCAGTCTGATAGCTGATGTTCACATTGACAGATGTTACTGTAGAGTATTATATCATCATTCTTCTGGTCAACATCCTGCATATGGATTAAGGAATTTGGGTAAATTCACTGTTTCCTGCTTTGAAGACTATGTTACAATATAATAGTCACAGTTGATGATCGTAATAGAGTTTATACATTATAATAATATTCCAGGTGAAGATGACCTAAACATCTTTACTGATCACATTGATCTGTGACATTAAGTTGGCAGTAGATTTGGCAGAAGTTGGTACATGTTGTGAGAAAACACAAAGGGAAAGATTTGAAAAGGTGTAACATACTAGAAAACACTGTTACTTAATATATATTGAAATTAAAGCTCTTGTCACCTCAAGTCCATCAGAACTTTTGGACCTTGTATCCATTATTTGTAAATTCAAAATAAAACAATAACAACCTTGCAGACTTCAGGACTTTGTATCAGTCTTAACATTATTATTTATCCAAAGTTCAAAACTACCATGTACTCTTATTACTCATATCCTTAAAGAAAATATTGAATAAAGTAATGAAAATAAGTTACAGTGACCTGATAATTGATAAACCTGTGCGGTTAAGTACCCACGTACCAAAGGTGAACTTATTATATCCGATTGGTTACTTCTCCATGTCGTGTAAATAGCAATTCTAATGAAAGAGGAAGGAAATTGCAAATGCTAGGTATGAGGTTGGCGTCATCAATTGACAAAATAAAATTCAAACTCATCAACTTATATTGTGTTTGCAGAGACATTTTTATAATGTACCCAGAATAAGATATTGTTGTTTGGTGTATATCTGTTTCCTCTCAGCTCTCATAGACAAAATAATTTTTGAACGATTTTACATATAATAATCATATTGTGAGGTACAAAATTATAGTTTCCCTAAAAACTTCATAATTGTTTGATCAATGTACTCTTTAACCCACAGGGCTTTCATAAATGTAGAGCTTCTACCTAGGGAGGGATTGTATATTGGGTTTATCAAGAGGGAAGATATCACCATCCTGAATAGACAGGTTCCAATTCAAATAATTCAAGTTTTTGAGGCATTTTTTAGAAAAAGCAACAGACCTATTTTTACTCAATCAGTTTTTCATGCTGATAAAGATATTAAAAGATGACAGCTCAACGGGGTGGTCACGACACTGAATTTTGGCATTTTTACCCCCCTTGGAAAATATTCTAGGGGGTACTATGAAAATAGTTCATAACTCAAAAGATATATGAGCTATTGTTCTGAGTTGTACACCATACATTGCTAGTACAAATATGAATACTATCCTAAGGTTATAGGTTGATACCCTTATTGGTCTCAGAAAAATACAATAAACAGGAAAAGATTACGTAATTTTTGTCTTGCCACTTTATATTTGTAGCTTCAAGCAAAATATGACAGCTTTAACAGCTCATAGTAGTATTCTAAAAACATTTCCAAGCTATTAGCGGTATTGTAATACATCTATTTTAGTTATGAAGTACTATTTTGTAATTTTAATATAACTTTATAGTGCCCTACCCCTGGAAAATTGAAGAAAGTGGATGTAGTGAATTTTATCATTTTGCAGCATTAAGTTAGAAACGTGTATTGATAGACACCAAATCACTAAATTCATACCATCATCAAATGTTAGGTTACATTCTAATTCATTTATTACTAGAATACAGGACTTAAGATATTTTATATGTAAGTTTTCAATTTAGTACATTTATCATAATGAAATCTAGTGTAATCACATACTAGAGAGGTTGGCATACAGTCTTGACATTGACATAAAGTCTAAACATTATAATCATCAATTGATCTCATTTGAGCAACTAGACTATGGTGGTCATCATGCTCAAGTAATGTACTACAGTGTCCCACGTTCTAGGTCACAAGTCATTTGAGCCATATATACCTCCTGGTGTATACCTTTGCAAAACATGGCAAAGGTTCCGTAAAACTGTTAGTTCTCATCATCTGACCATATAGCAGAGTCCTCATTAAGCCATGATGCAACACAGCCAGATGTTACAAATGTAGCTAAGAATCTTTTTTATTAACCAAAGATGACTTTCCCACCGATGGTGCCTCACACTTGTATAACTTAGTATAACTTATTTATTATTATTTGGGAGAATTTGAACATTTCCCCCCTTTTATAACACTTTGAATTTTAAACAACATTAGGTATTGTGGATCTTTTGGGAGATATTATATTTGAGATTGTAAGAAATACATTGGTAGGTCAACTGTACATGTTGCTTTCAATTTTGTTTACTCTACATAGATCTGATTCTGCATTTAAATACCAAGACTTCAGTTTACTTCAACTGTCATGACTAAAGCATTTGATAGTATTTACATAATAATGTTATAAAGGAGCATGTAGGTTATCGCAAACAACTTCAGACAATTCTAACTTGAATTATGAATATTTTCTGACCATGAACATGGGTACATCTTTTAGATCTATTCATTATCTTCAAGAAAAGTAAATATAATGATTAATCAGACCTCCTAAGTGATATTAAAGGGAATGGCCCAATCAACATACTTTTTACTAAAAATTATTACCTAATTTTTACCAAAGATGCAACCTTTAATTATATTGTTGAATCCATAATTAGAATATGCTTTGAGACATGTTCTATTTCCTAAGAGGAAAAGTGGATTGCTCCAGGGACTTTAAAGACACTGAATTTTGATGACCAAAATGAACTAAAACCAATGGATAGCATGAATTTTTTCAAAGGGGAAATAACATGGGGAACACTAATCTTAGGGGAATTCAGTTTTCTTTTCAAGAGCTATTTGATACATTAAAATAAAGAATAGTAATGCATTAAACATTGTTAAAATTATTGCATTTTTGGTGAAAGACTGGTGAAAATGAGGTCAATAACTTTGAAAAAATATATTGATGGGTTGATTGCTAGTGAAATATATCCGAGTCCGATTGACTTTATTATCCCTGTATACCTGTCTTCATCGTCAGAAAATAGTCATAATCAAAGATATAAATGTCTGAAATTGTTTGTGATAACTTACCTGAACCTTTCCAGTTCAAATCAGGAGTGACAAAATTATTTCCACCAAATTTTTGACAAATACGATAGTATTTTCTTCATATTAGATAGAGTGTCACTTTTGAAATTTATTGATTGACCTGAGATCGTATCATATCTTTATGACATAGAAGAGAAATAGCCATATTGAACTTTAATGAATGTTGTTTGCCACTTTTCGACAATTTCGTCAAAATTTGGGGGTTTTGGGATTCAGACTATCCTTAAATGAGCACTGATTCACCCGAGAGCATAACTTTTCCAAAACATGTAAGTGTTGTTTTTGGACCACTCACATTGATGTTTTGTCTAATTTTCCCTCAGAGTTTCCTCATCATTGTCCAAATCTTAGGCCATATTTGTTGAGATATATGAATGTTCATTCTTAAAATCTTGCCTTCCTTTGCAGTTGGAGAAGATTCGGCATTAGGTGTTATAAGTCCCAGAGCACGAAAAATAAAAAAATAACAACAAAATGACATAGAACTGATAAACGTTTTCTCTTGTGCGTGTCAGCCATGGTCTACCAAATTAATTGCTATTCAGTAGGAAGAAACTCATTTTTCAGTTTCCATTTTAATTTCCTGACAAATAGAGCGATCATCCCAGGATTTTTTCTATGATCTATGTGTCGCCATAGCAACTTCTGTTTTAGAGAACAATAAAACAATAGAAAAGATTACTTTACCATAATTTTAATCATCCCACATTGTAGACAAATTTAGAATTAAAAATATGAAGAGAATAAAAAAACCTCTTAAAACACATTTCTTAGGAAACAAATAGTGTGGTATTCTTGTTACCATGGCAACAGAGTGTATTCTTTTTGTCATTTTTGTCATACAGATTACCTATCATACCAGGACCAAATCCTGAAAATTTGAATTCAGTATCTTCATTAGTATCTTAGATATATAGGTTTCTTATAGTATCCCCTGCTGCCATCTGAGTATAAGGAAAATGCTCTGAAGAGGGATGCCCAAGGATGCCACTTAACAGTTCTGGTATTTTTGAGGTCCCAACCCTCTATTCATGGGAATAGTTAACCATTGTAAAGTTACTCATGGTTAACTGACAGAATTGATTGTATCTTCAACTAAGAAGTCAATAAAACTTTAAAACCAGAAGAAAACCACACCAACTTTCTTCTATTTACCAGGGGTAGGGCACTGTAAAGTCATATTAAAATTATAAAACAGTACTTCATCACTATAATAGATGTATTACAATATCACACAAAGTTTGGGAATGTTGTTAGAATACTACTTTGAGCTGTTTAAGTTATCATATTTTGCTTGAAGCTACAAATATAAAGTAAGCAAGAAAAAAATGGCGAAAATTGCATATTTTTTTCTAATTAATTGTATTTTTCCGAAACCAACAAAGATATCAACCTATAACTTTAGGATAGTATTCATCTCTGTACTAACAATGTATGCTGTACAACTCAGAACAATAGTTTATATATCCTTTGAGTTATGAACTAATATTATAGTACCCCCTAAAATAATTTCCTAGGGGGGTAAAAACGCTAAAATTCAGTGTTGTGACCACCCCGTTGAGCTGTCATCTTTTAATATCTTTATCAGCATGAAAAACTGATCCAGAAAAAATAGGTCTGTTGCTTTTTCTAAAAAATGCCTCAAAAACCCTTTCCCTTGAGATATTCTGAAATTGGAACCTGTCTAGAAGGATAAACCCAATATACAAACATGACCAGGGGTTGAAGTTTTTATACCATGATAATTCATAAACAAATGACGAAATTACGAGATGAAACACAGTATAAGTTAGGATAAAATTCTGCGAGGGATGAAAAATAATATTTCTGAACATATCTGGGATGTGTTAAAAGTGTTCAAATTAAAATGTGTTCTTATTAGAGAAAATCTTTTTGTAAAGGTTTTCACAACATGTCGACCATTAGAAAAGTGTTCATACTATTAGAGAGGTTTTACTGTGTTTTTTATATGTGGAAACATTCTTATCTATGTCATACTTTTTACTTTTGCTTGCTAGTACCAGTACCGATTTCTATAGTAGATTTTTATTTTATTTTAGATAATTCATAATTCAACTTTTTCAATAATATATTTCTAGGTATCAACCATGCACCCAAGATCATAGCACTTGATGATGAGCACAGAGACGTGAGAGCTTTCCATGGTATTATAAAAGAGAATGAAAAAATAGTAGACCTTTCTCCAGAACTACAAGCTTCAGACTATGACAGTGGACGTGATGGTATGTAATATTTTTAATCCTCTGTTTGGTTAAGTGAAGGTCATCGCCTAATTATCTTCGTAGATTTGTCAATATTTCTAAATAATGTTCAGTTTTTAATTTTTGTAAACATCTTTCAATATCTCATTGTCTATGATGTATGATATGCAGTGATCTGCAGTGAATTTTTTCACCTTGGCACAGTGCCTGGTGAAAGGGTTTGGGGAGATCATAGATATGAATGTATTAAATCAGATTTATCATAAATAAAAAAGCTTGATAAATTTCTGAACTTGAAACCCAAAACTCCCTGACTGGTTCAGAGCAATAGTTCTGTTCAGTGTTAGACCGCTCACACAGCTTTAATCAACAGTATAATAAATGATAAGTAGGGTGACATTTTGAAGTTCATACATTTGAGCTCCCTGTTGCCCTAGTGCCATATTCTGGCCTTATCGATCCTGAAGAATGTTATTGACTGAACTTGTTAATCTCGCTACTCGTCTATGCAGCAGTTAAGACTATTCTTATACTTTATAACGTCTATCTCAAAATGATTTCATGTAAAATTAATGCCCTGTATATTGTCTTTGCAATCTAAGATATTTCCACAAGCTATTGCAAACCACTTTCGTCTGTGTAGGCACTATGATGAAAGTAATATATGTCATGATTTATGACATTTATCTAAAAAGGACCATTGTGGTTGCTATATAAAGAATTGTTAATGTTAGATCAATGAAAACTCAAAATGTTCTTGGGATATTAGTCGATTGAAAAGGAGTATACTGGTATATATTTTCAATGCACTGATAAGTAATTCAGCATAGAGAGTTTTTCTTCAATTTTTATGTCATAATCAAGAAGTGGTGATATATTATTATTGTCTGGATAGCTTGGGGCATGATTCAACATACGGTCAGTTATGATCTACATATGCTCACAGTTCATGACTCATGGTTCTGGGGGAGGACCCATTCTGATACTTATTGCATTTCTCATTTCTCACAACTTACAAGAGTGAAATTGCTTTGTAAATTCGCTATTGGTATACCATGTTGGAAAGAGTCTATGATTTGAGAAGAGATGGCATGGTTTCGTTAAATAAAGCATTACGTGTTACAGATGGTTATAATCAATCAGTTTTAACAAACAATTTTACATTCATCTTAAAAATAACAACACTGTATAGTACATCCTGTACATCCTTCATAATGTATACTTCAAATTGATTGTAGATCCTTGTGTAGTATGACAGATCTAGTATTGTTATTAAATTCTTCTATTTATTAAGATGTTATTGAAAAAAATATCTATGCATTACTTATGATCAAGGTTACTTGGAAGACATATGTATGTTATTGGCTTGCATTGTGAGAAAAATTTCCTACAGAAATGTCTACTCAGCTGTCCTTCTGTTCATCTGTTAACAATTTTCAGACAAATGAAAACTCATCTCAACTATTCATTTTTCATTTATTGTATTGGTCATAATCAAAAGTTGGTCCATTTTGTAATTTACCCTATTGCTCCCGCATCTTATGTGTCATTTCGGAACAATCGGATAATCACCAAACTAGCCTATCGAATTGTTATTGTTACCCTGTGATCTGTCTATTTCTATAATGATAAAGTAAAAAATCAAAATGATTAACATAAAACATTTCTCATGTTCTGGTGTATCTGTTGAAAAATCAGCAACAAGCTGTTAGACTTAACTGCAGAATTACAGAAGGAGATTTGTAAATAGGCTTTTGTCATTGCTAAATTATTTATCAGTTTTAGATTAAATTATCTTATGATGTATTATGGTACGGTTATGGAAATGGCGTAAAATTATATCACCTGTAAGAACTTTAGACCTATTTATTGAAAGCCATTTCCTGTTTTACTGTTGAAACTTGAGAACAAAGCATTTGCTAGATGTATAAAGATTAATCAGAAATAGGATATATCGTGGTAAAAATTATCTCAATCCCTCATATAAATCTTTCAAGTGACATCATGTCATGAATTACATATTAATAATTAATGATGTTTTTCTCTAAACTAAAGCGAGAGTAGAGATTTTTCATAATTCTCTCACTTGGCTGCCTTAGATACTATTTTGAAGTTGAGAGTAGAGATTTCTCATAAGTCTCTCACTTGGCTGCCTTAGATACAATTTTGAAGTTGAGAGTAGAGATTTTTCATAATTCTCTCACTTGGCTCCCTTAGATACTAGTTCAAAGTTAAACTGAGATATCAATTGAGTTTGTTATTTGATTTATATTTTCTGTTTATTCCAGGAGAAATCTGTGGATACAAAATTATCAGATCCCACAAAGGTTCACTTCCTTTCACTATAGAAGTAACAGACATTGATACAGGAGCTGCAGTTATCAAAGTTAAAGATGGACAAACTCTTAATTTCGAAAAAAGGAGGAAGTACAAGTTTGAAATTGCTGCCTATGATTGCGGCAGTCCCGGACTGTCATCTGAACCACAGTAAGTATTGATTTTGGAGGATTGTTAAAGGCAGAGTATGTGTATAGTCTAGTATATTGTCTATTGTTTCAACAGGCGTGACATAATAGTGAGTCGCAATGATATACAATGAATTCAGGATATTATTTTAGTAACATTCTGATATGCTAGAAGAAACATCAAACTGCAAATCCATAAAAAACATCCCATTTGCCTTCCATTTGTTTGGAGATCAATGTTCAGGATATAGAAAAAACTTTAACATGCAATTCTAAAGCAGTAGTTATAGTTTCAAGAGAAGCAGAACAGGTGATGATATTGTTATAATCAGATATGTTATCTTTGATTTTAACCAGGTTCATGGTCACGGTCCACGGTCCACATGTTTGTTATGTTAGCAGCAAGTCCCTGGAAGAATCAGCGAGATAATATTTGCATCTTACCTAATTGCATTCTAACCTGACATTTATCTTGTGGAGAAAAACATAAAAGCATGAAGTTGCCCTGTTTGACATATCAAGCCAAGCTCTCATCACCTGATTAACCATTGCGCTAATGGAGTAAAACAGGATATATGCAATCTTGCATATTTGAGCAGTAATATTAATAGAAGGTTTTTTATTATTTAATTTAGTAATTTACTGGCAAGTGACAGACTAAGTTCTCATTGTTACTATAGAACATTTAGAAAGTCAAGATAGGCAATAGTGATTAATCTCATACAAACAATTTATTAATCAATCTGAAATGGGTGGTTTTAAGGAATATTGAACTCTTGACAAGCCAGACTTGAAGTAGATGAAGACTAGGTCAATATTGTTTTTTCAACATCGACCAAAATATAAAAATTGCATTTCAGATTGACCCCTCCTGAAAAGATATTTGAACATTCCTTTTGTTTTTCAATAGTTCCTAACAAATATACACCACCTCCTCGTTTAAATGTTATTATTAAATTTCAGTAAACAAGAGTGTGCATTAAGTAAGACTATATTATCTCATCCATCAAGGTCATTTCATAAATTCATATTTTTCATTTCTAATAGAATAGTGATTTTATTTACATCTCTTTTATTAGCCTCTGGGAATAGTCATAAATAACAAATCTATTGAAGCGTGTCAGGAACATTGGTCTTGCTGTAAACCAATTTAGCAAGATTAAAGCACTTTGCTATTGAACACTTTAATAGATATCTGCAATTCTAGCAGTTGCGTCAGTCAGTCAGCGTTGTAATCATAACCCCTGACTTGTTAATTGTAACACTTTAGACACTCTGTTTAATCATAGCATTCCGTGATGAATTTCCAGTTTCAGGTAGCGTTTATGACACTCATTACATCTTCAAGTACTTCTGTTTCTTGTCTAATTGAAAGATCTGGGGTTTCCTTGTTCTGTGTTATACACGGATGTTTTCTGCTGAGCCGTAGATATTGTTAATGCTGCTATACTTTTGAGAATATGGGGGAGTAATTCGTGTTATTGGGTCATTACTTCTAACATGTATCATCTGTGAACAACTCTGAAGTGAACATCTCAAGTAATGAACACATAAATGTTTCAGTTTCTTTATGTTCTATCAACTCCTACATTATAGAACTGTTAAACTTGACACCTCTCAATATGAACATTTAGGTGGCCATAACATTATTTTTACTTTATGGTTCATATCTTGTGTCTTATATGTGGTCTCCTCCCTAAAGTGAGGAAGGAAACAAGTTGACTGTGTATGAGGCGAGAGAGGGGGGGGGGGGGGGTACTTGATTAAAATTGGTTATTTTATTATAGCTAGTAATGCATTTTTTATTTTCAACCTCCACATGCAGAGGTCTAGAGATCATTCACTTTGTTTCTTTTCTCTTTTGTTCACAGGATGCAATTGAAACTCCAAGTATATGTGCTGTAGGGTCTGTAGATAGAGATGGCTCATCTGAGTTATGTCTAAACAGATGTGTTTATATTTTGTGCAAGAGTTTGTGAATTTGAGATGGATTGTTGTTTATGAGAGTGATGCAATGACATTCTGTTTAAACAATCATTCTCTTCTGTTAGTCATCTCAAATGATATCTGTAACTACCATAAGGCTGTTCTTGATTCTTTTGGTCATTCATTTTGTTTCTATGGGCCAGTCATCCTGATCCATCAAGGTATTTCGTAAAATTATCTCTGAATGAATACACTGGCAGAATAACAGTATGTGGCATTTACAGTCTTACATGATCTTATACAATATGGTTTGTATGTTGTTCTAGATAGATAGGATATAGCAGGAGAATACTAGATAAGCTGACTCTTGCTGTCAGAATGTTACATCAGTTTAGCTAGTTACCTATCTCCTCAGTCTGTTCATGTAGAGTTGGTTACTTTATCTGTTCTGGTATCTCTCCTACCAAGTTGTGAGGAATGAACCATACATTGTCTTTCATTCAGTGTATATTTCTATACCATTTAACCTAGTATTTTCAGCCTTGGCATTACCTGGGATTTGTATGAATTATTCCCAGGCGATTCTAGGTGAGGAAAAGTAAACCTCTCTCTTTCCCAAGAGCTGAGCTGTCTACATTTTTAGATAAGGAATAATTCTATGATTTAGCCAATGTGAAATCAGATCAACATATCCTTCAAAACAGTTACATCAATCTGTATTTGTCAGAGGATGATGTATTTAGCTGATTGGGATGCAGTGTAATAAATCTAGAGACTTTCTACCTGGTTGAAATCGTTCATATTGTAAAACTCATATAACTTAAGATACCAGTTGTTCTTATGTACAGGGTGTCCCGAAAGTATGGGCCCCCCCCTAGGCAGACATATTCCACTGTCCTCATAGTATGTGTCATATATCATTTTAAAGCTTGTCCAAAGTTACATTGATTTGCCAAGTATCGTGGTTTAACTCCCAAATGGGAAAAAGTTGCAGTCCTTTTAAAAGTTAGTGTTTTGTCAAAATTAAGTTCAATTTTACACCACATTACTAGTCAATGTATCCCCCCTTGGCCATGTTAACAGCGGCAATTATTTTCAGATATGACCTTAAAAGTCCTTCAAATAGGAGTGTGGAACTTTATAACCCTCTTAAAACCTGTTAAGGGACTTTAGAAGAGTTTCCTTAGAGTTTCTACCCTCACCGTTCTCTTTTTCCAACTCAATATCCATCCGACCCGAAAAGAATTGCTGCTGTTAAGATGGCCCGGGAGGACACACTGACTAGTGATTTGGTGTAAAATTGAACTTAATTTTGACCAAACACTAAATTTTGAAATGCCTGTAATTTTTTCACATTTGAGAATTGAACCATGATACTTGGTGAATCAATGTAACTTTGCATAAGCTTTAAAATGATATATGACACATACTATGACGACACTGGTACATCTCTGCCTAGGGGGGCCCCATACTTTGGGGACACCCTGTACATGCACAGTTGTACATATATGAATGTTTAGGGTCAAAATAATGTAATGATTCTTATTTAATGATTCTTGATTCTTTATTTAATGATTCATTTGTTATATCAAATAATATACTTTTATAATTCCCGTTCATTCTTAATTAGTAAAGCTTTCGCTTTCTTCGCCCACAGAGACATATGGTCATGGTGACTTAGGGCATTTGTATTCTTCACATTGACTTTGAACTTAGCCTGGATGCGCTGAGAATACAATTATAATATAATAATTTATTATGTTAAAACGTGATCTTCATTCTATCAGTAGAACAGCTTTCATTTCAAGGAAAATGAAGAAAGGGAAGAATGGGATTCAAGAAGTACTTCTCTTTAGAGAGATGATGGGGGGAGGGGTGTACAAGTGCTCAAAGCAAGACTAGTGTTTGAGGTGCAAAATACCATCACAGATGGTTTTGATGTGGGTTGGTTTTGGTTGTTTATATGATTTTATCTACTATGTATAGAAAATGACATTATATGATAACTAGTTCCATATTTCATAGCTTCACTCTCTATAGGTCACCAGCACAATTATCCTACTGTTCATTTACCCCTTGAATGAGGACACTTAATGGGTTCAAGAAAATAATGATTTGATAATTGTTAGAAAGGTGCTTTTAGGATAAAGCTACACCTGTAACTATTGATGATACATCAATATTTATTATATAGTTTTATGAAAATTATGTTTCATTTATTGAATCTTTTAAGGACATTTCTGAATGGAGCACACATAAATGTACTTAGGTGTTGCAAAACCATTTTCCTTGTCATGGTAAACTCATCTTATTCCTTCTTAGTTGCAGGTGTTATGACTACCAAAGTTGTTTATTTATTATGTTCATCATACAGGAGTTCCAAAGGAATTCATGACAGTCAAAACAATGAAAAACAAGTGCAAATTTATTAGAAATTTCAATTTTAACATGGAAAATATCTCAAAACAACAGGCATTTTTTCTTGTTTCCTTCTGTTAATGAAACCTTTGTCCTGTATGGGTTTCTGGTAGAGCAATACAGGAAGTAATGTTCCTTGGAAATTCTGTATTAGGAAGCAAATGCCACATCATTCAGTGACAATTTCGGTAAATATATTGTGTTTCAATTATATAATAACTGTATTAGGATCTGTCAAATACTTTATATGAAAACCTGAGCAGGCAACATTAAATACCTTACTACCTTGCTAAAAAGGGGTAAACACATTCAAATTGCTTGAAATTGCATCTTCAAAATTGAGCTACTATCAGTATATCCTTGAGAAGATTATTCAGCATCAACATTAATTCTGTTATTTCAATGACATTGACATAATCGTATGAGGAGGTATATTTTACCCAAAATTTTGCTCATTTACCCGCCTCAACTTATATCAGTAGTACAAGATGATGGAAATATTATTTGACATGCTTAGATTATCTTAGTAGGTTTGTTGATAAGGAAAAGTGGAATCTTGAAGAGTATGGTCTGGCGTCTCGTAGGTTGATTTTATATATGAGTATGCTCTTTGTGAATTCAGCTTTTTCTGAACCTAGATTCAAGGTCGCTTATCATGGTTGTACTTATGGCTTGTGTATATTCATAGGAAGAGTGATAAGAGAGAAACTGGAATCAATCATATTTTATATGCAACATCTATATATTGTAAATGTACAGCATTACAGTAGGCTTTAGCATTTGTGGGAAAAGTAATTGGTAGGTCTGTGAAAATAATGCTTACATCACCATAATCTGTTACGTCTTTTCATAGGTTAGATTACACTTTTGCTAAATTCATTATACTTGGTGATGTTCTTATGTATTCTAATCTATAATTTCATGAATATAGATTGCAATTCTGATGCCATATGAATTAAGGATCAACATGTCTTAAAGTCAAACAAGCCAGCGCTATTCAGTATTCAGTCAGTGCAGAAATATGACATTAATGTAGAATGATTTGTTATGTAATAAAATTAGTTTTCTTACAAATGGTGTCTCATTGGTAAATGTTGCATTCAAAGCAAAATATCCCTAAAATCAGTGACTCATTTCATTCCTGAGATAATTTCCCATAAGTCATAGGGATGAATATGTAATTGGGATGAATACAAATTCTAACTAAGTGTTTGGGGATATCAAGATTTTAAAGGCAGAATCTGATCTATAGGGGTGACAAAATTACAAGCAACATGTATAATTGACCTACCAATCCATTCCTTACAATATCAAGTACAATATCTCCCAAAAGATTCACAATATGTTATAAATTGATGAAGTTATTAATGATTCAAAGTGCAAAAATGAGTGAAAAATGTTTAAATTCTCCCAAATAATAAGAATGGTAACCATTCTTATAAAAAAATAATACCTTATTGTAAAAATCTTTAGTTTTCCTGGAATGAAGTATAAACTTTTGAGATTTTTAGAAAATAGACATGACAAGGAATGACATGAGCCAAAAATATTCTAAAATTAAAACAATTTTTTTTTAGCCTGCTCGCTATATCTGATTCTCTCTTTAAGTTCTAAATATTGCAATAATAAAACTTGAAAGTACCCTATAGTACTATAACATGTACATGTCTGCATGTCATATTGTGTTTTTCCTGATTTTGAATCATGAGATTCAAAATGATTGCCCTGATAATCCATGAAATACTTTTCATAAACTTCAATCATAGCTGTATATGAAATGCAGCTCAGTGTTTTATTTGTAACATATTTGTTTTGTATTTGTACTGTATTTTTGCTATATTGCAGTGTTGTCCATATCGTGGTTGAAGATGTGGATGAGATGCCTCCAGTGTGGGACACAGAAGACCTGAAGATAATTAAAGTCACAGAGGGACAAATCATCGACAACATTATGCAGGTGAAAGCACATGATGGTGATCAGTCCCCAGAATATAGTTCCATCTGTGATTTCCAGATCCTTACGCCTAATGTTCCATTTACCATCAATAAGCAAGGTGAGTTGAATTAGATTATTCAGATGACATTTAAAAAGCTGATCGGGTTTGTAGTAATGTGATTTTCTCAGACTACCTCTTCTAACACTTTATAATAGACCATTACACAGTAATATCTTGGCTTGTACTACAATCTGTTCTTTCAATACATATGGAATATATTTTGAAATGTTAATCTGCATTTGCAGAATATGATTAGTCTACTGGAGAAGGATTTGATTTTTATGGATTTCTTTATTTATTGCAACTTAGGAATGAGGTCTTAAACAGATCTTAGATATTCCTCATTAATTGATAAACAAAAATTACTGTGATAAACATTCTCTTTTATGAAGTTGTTTACTTAAATAAACAGTATTTTCACCCGATGGTTATAATGATCCAATGCATCGATTTGATAGTGTATCTTAAAATTAAGTACTATTTAGAGGCAATACAGGTTGATAGATTGGTAAATGATATTACTGACATTCTAGTATGCATATCCCTTTCTGTGCCTATGGAAGGTATTAGACATAAAGCTTCAAATGACTTGTTTTTTTCAATTGCTGATCTATGTACCACTCATGTTCCTTTATAGGCTTCATTCCTTTATAATTAATAGAAAGCTACAGTGCTTCCTGGAACATATTTCATTATCTGAAAACGTGATGGATAACACTTGGAATTGAGAGATAGATTCAGTCCAAAAACAGGCTATAAAATCCATAATCATTTTCAATCCACATTATATTGAATTGAGTCTAGATTGAATCTAAATGCCTTTCTGTTGGTACATTATTCTTTTATACAGATTAGCTGCGATTAGCGGTTCTCACAACTGGGGACCCAAATGCCGCTAAAACGAGGGACTCTGTACAATAAAGCAATGCATCAACAGAAAGGCATTTTTGTTTTTTTGGTCTTGTTTTTAATGGGACAAGTTTAAAGAAAAATGGTGCAGTATGAGACTTACAATCCTTGATTTTCAGATACCTGGTAGGTCTAAAATTCAAATTAACAGTTGTAGTTGGTACCACATCTTTATGTATCTTGTAAGAGAAACTCCTGCTGCTATCTAGCTATCTGTATTAATTCAACTCATTGTATTAATTGATATCATATCATTATGGGCTTCCATGCTTTACACTGCAAGAATTGATGCTGCCATTATGTAATAACCAAGGCACAGTTTTTTGTTTTTAATTGACTTCATAAAGTCTACTTGCGTCCAATATGTCATGATTTTGTCTGGAGTATATCTGAAGAAAGCAATTTTTATTGACAGGTTAGTCTGCTCTGGTAAACCTTTTGCATCCGACCCCTAATTTGCTTGATAAATATTAGCGAAACAGATTTTTAGATTATATATTTGTTTGAAATGATAACAGACTTTTTGGCGCTTGTTTTGACTGTTATCGTGAATACTGTATAATGTTAGGCGTCTAACACTGAAACCACAAGGCCTGGAGTTTCATAAAATGGATCGGCAATTTGAATAAACTTCTATTTGCACATATTTGCATGAATATGACTAAAATAGAATAAACTACATTTAAAGCTGAGTTATTGATTTGTGTTGGGAGTATTATGTTCTTCATCAAGAATTGATTCTATAACATCATTCATTAGTGTCTCTGATCAACTATTTCCTTGAATACTAATGAAAATCGTTAATATGAGGTAGCGATTTAATGTATACAAATCTGTGTAGAATTCAATCATGTTTTGAACAGAAAATATGACCCAAACTCATCTAGTCAACAATCAAAAGATTAAAGATGTACAAATTGATGGAATTGAAATAATCCATAATCCTGGCATTTCTCTATGTTACTATGGTATTACTAGATATCAGACGAGTGGCACCAGTTACATTACTGATTGTCTGCTTTTGTAAACAGATTGTGTTCATTAATTGATAGAGATAAATTTAGATTATGCAAAACAGATAACAGGTAAAACCCATTCATCTGGTTGAGAACATTATGTATCTGTTGAGAACTGATTTCTAATCGATGAATGAGAAAATAATTTGTTAAAATTTCCATTATTACATCCTTCATATCAGTCCTTAGTGAGTTGCTATAGATTTGTATCCTTGCTAGGGAGTAGGTTTATTGCTGGCATGACTGGAGAGGCAGTTTTAGTAATTATTTTATAGAACATCATTGGTCTTCTAAGTATATCTTTGCAATGTACGTTTGCTCTACTATATCTGCTGTGTGGTCTCTCTGAACATATATGATTGTCGTCCTATGTTCCAGGTGTTCTTAGTAATACAGAGAAGTTGGACTATAGCAAGCAGAACACCTACATCCTAGAGGTGAAGGCAGAGGACTGTGGACACAAGCTGTCCGCTCCACTCAGGATTAACATCCAGGTAGAGGAGCTCTGCAGACCAGGATGGACAGGTATGTTACACAAATAATTAATGAAGAGGGACTATCTGAAGTCATTGGATTTATCCTTGTTTATTATGACACATAACTAATAAGGGGAGGAGGAGGTTTACAAGAAGTGTCAGGATTTCTTATAATTTTTGTTGTTTTGTAAAGCCTCACATTTCAGGGGGCTTCTATTATCCTTTTTTGATCAACCCAACAGATGTAAAGTTGTGTGAAATTTTATATCTTATGAATTTATACCTTATATTTTCAGGATCATTGTACCTCCTTGAAGCAGATTACTTCAAAATTGAATGTTATTGGGAAAACTTGCCAATTGTCACTAAATTGAGTATTCATACAAAAAACACCATATCATTATGTTAGATCTCTCATTGTTGTGAATTCTGACATGAATAGTTTCTATAAAGTGTCTGGATGAATGCTATAAGCTATATAACAATGCATTAGAACTAGACATGGTACTAAACATGTCAATTTTCGTGAGAAGGGCCATGTTGATTCAGTAAGAACCCCTCTAGAACATTTTCTTTCAGAAAAATTAATTATTTTGGCAAAGTGATATTTTTGAAGAGCTTTGTGGTTTGGCATGTTCCTCAAGTAGACCATACATTAAACTTGGCCTGGGGTGCTCTCAAATTAGTTGGTAAGAAGCCATAATTTTGAATACTTCAAGGAATCCTTGAAAATATATACTTCAGTTCCAAGATAAATTGTGATCCTTAGAGGGAGGTCAGATAGGGAGTCTTGGAAGGAAATTCCAGCATATTAAACTCACACATATTAAGCTGGAATTTCTGTGTTTTATACATTCATCTCCTGCTTATGAATATATCCAATATCCCATTAATTCATCAAAAATGGTTGATTAAAAACCTATTGTGGCTCATCGATTATGTCTATATGAGACCTGACTGCTGTGTTGATGGTTGAAATTCCCTGTGGATCATGAACCGTGGAGAGATCTAGATCAACACTGAAAATAAAATGGTTTATTTCTGCCCTAATTGATGCATGGGAATGTGTGAGCAATTCAATCCTTGATGTCCAATTTGTGCCATCATTATCGCATGTTGAAACTATTGCTTTGGTAAATTGTATTGTCGTATTTAATATATTGACGTAAGCCAATTAATGATATGACATTTTGATTTGACAAAAGCCAATAAAGGTTCAGTGTTCAGAAATATCATGACTTGAATAATAAGGCTCAAACTATTCCATATGTCGAGTATATTTTTAAAGATTTTGCAGTGAATAATTTGATACGTATATAAACTTTTTTGAATCTTAGAATATTAAGCAAGACTTTCTGATCAGTTTGTGGTAAAATGCAATACTTCACAAGATATTTCATCCAATGAACGTTCTTTCATTAAAAGCCTTGATTTTCATTCTAAGCAGGGGATTTACAGAGAGCTTAGAAAAAATCCATATAAACACTTGTATTTTTGTAATTCTCTAATGTAGGAGATATTATTTCAAACATTTGCAACAACTTGATGATATTGAGATAAAATGCCAGCAGGAACAGACTTTGTATCTAGAATAGCAAGTGAAAACATTCATTATTTACATAAACCCTAATAACTCTAATGTTCTGATATCTAGGTTGGGTGAATTTCATCCATTTTGATATTCATCACATTTTCTATTTTGCAACTACACTGTATAAAGAACACTGATATGAGGATCTGATTTCTCACAATCTGTTACATGAGGTACTAAAATAATATAATATTGCAGTATATGATTTAAGGGGATATTAATAATTGAGTTGTGAGTAGGTCCTTATGTTGGCCATAACAACATTGTTCTTGCAACATGCTAATCTTGTCTATTTTTATTTTATTACTCATTTGGGGAACATGGATCTCATAATAAATAAGATTGATAGCTTTCTATGATGTGGAAATCTACCCACTTCGATATACTGTGGTTTTTACAAAATCATGTACAGTAAAACTTGTCAAGGTGGAACACTTTATTTTATTTCTTTATTAGTTCATTTTACATTAAGTCAGTTGGTCTTGGGACTGCGAAAGGTGTCCTAACATAGGTGTTCTACTTCTTAAAGTGTTCCACTTTTCAGGTTTCACTGTTCCAAGTATAAAAATGTATTTCTATGGTTTTTGATTAACACAAGAAATTTGATATCTTTGAAATCTAAGATTAGACCTCACAGACATCGTACATGATGAGAGGCATTGTTAAAATAGTGATAAACAATAAAAACAATACCTAGATCATGATATGACGTCAATCGAGATCTCGGTATATTGATAGATAAAGAGAATCGTATCAGACTTATTGTAATTTTAGTACATATGGCTATGATATACAGTCTATTACTGAAAGCTAGTCCACGACATGCTACTTCCATGGGTTCAAATCTGAAAAATCAATATAATAAACCCGGATAGCATTTCATAGTTCCTCAGTGCAACCTTCATTACTCATTTCATAGAATTATCACAAAAAGGCTGGATAATTCCGATTTGTGAGATGTAAATATTGTGTAGGTATGTAAATTTCAGTATATAATACAAACATTTGTCTGGTATAGGCCTTATCCCATGAGGGCATCTATGTAAATAAAATGGTCGCTTGATATTGATTTCTCAAGAGTAGATTTCCCAGCTGGCTTTCTGAGAATGAAACACTGTCTTGACTCATGCCTCCTTGCAGTTTCTATCATCATTTATTAGGTTTCTGTTGGTCATTGTTTAGTTACTTAACATGAAAATTAGAAGAACTCTTGGGTCCTCAGGTTAATCAAACATACCATTCACTTGGAATATGTGGCTTGAAATGAAGGTTACCATCACCTTTTAGATTAGCAATATGGCAAAGTGTCTTTATTCTCCATGGGGAAATTGAGTGTGGGTGGGAGGAAGGGAAGTCTTCCTGCTGGACAACATTGATGTTTGAACAACATAGAAATAAATATAGCATAGCAAGATGAGTTAATATCTTATATATTTGTTAAAGTTATATATTTGTATTATGTTAATTCTGTCTAAAGTGAACATAGCTGTTGGCAGACTAAGGTGTTCACATTGAGAGGTTTTCACATTTTGAGTATCTAACAGTAAAATGGCATATGAATAGGTCATTTGTTACATAATTAAATTTTCCATTGTCTGTTTATGACGTCACATAAATGTATACATGCTGTTATATTTTGAAAAAGACTAAGGGATATTAGTCGAAAGTCTCAATAAATTAAAAATATCCTCTGAAGTAAAGAATTTGACTTGTTTCTGACATACAGTTGCTGTTTAACTGAAATATAGCATATTTACTGCAGCTTGCCAAACCATTAGCAAGATAATGACCCTCTTAGGATTAGAGGAATACCCAGACAATCTTGTTAAAATAATATTGATCCAATTTAGCAAAATGTTACCCTGAATTACTATCAGCATTAGCCTCTGACTATTACATGTATATATGTGATGTTACCTGTTTCATGCCAGTCTGAAATGTAGGTTTCATGATAATTTTGGTGGATTTTTGAACTTCTTTTGATTTTGTGAGGAATCATAGATTAGATATAGGCTCAATCAACAAATTATATCTAACTTTAAGAGTCTTTACAATTCAATGTTATGCCCTTGCCAAGTGTAGAAACATTGCATTAATATTTGATTATAGTTTATAGTGGAATAACATACATGCACATTGTGCCAATATGATCTGCAGCGAGTAAATGTATTGGAGTGTTTTCATTCTATTCATAAGTTGAAGACTTTGGCATACACTTTTAATCTGATATGTTCCTTGCTAATTTTCGAAGATATAAGTTCATGTACATATAAGCAACAACTCTACTTCAGAACTGGTGCTTGTATTTTGCATGTGGGACTGAGAGAACAAAACATAAACACCTATATGAGTCACTTTATTAGTTTCATACAATATCTGTGTCTGGATTTGCGGTACATACCCACAAATTGATGTAGAGATGCATTATTTAGTGACGATTCAACTGACTATAATAATACAATATTGATCAACTAGATAAATAGCTACACTTACTGCTTCTCTATGTTTCTTTGTGCATCTCTATTGATTAGCCATACAGGCCATTGATTAATCAACTATGATTCAGTAGTTTCTCTGTTGTTACATTGTCTTTTCACACATGTGTAGGTTGACATTATGAAACCATGTCAGGTTATCCCTAGGACAGACATTTATAGTTTCTAGTATAGTTAACTCTGTATATCCGAACACCTTTCTAATGTGAACACTTTAATATAAACATTTTCTCAGTTCTATTTTTTGCTTAATCTGCCATAGGCTTCTGTGTTAAAAAACTCAATGTGTGAACACCTGCCGATCAAAACACTTTTGACTGGACCCAGTAGAATTTGAATAAGACAGGTTTTATTTATAGTTTTTAACACATGATTTTTTTCATGTTACCGCTTAAGCTACATTGTATAACTGAGCCTCTTAGAGCAGCTGGTCAATGGCATTACAATGTTACCAATGTTATGATTGGTGGTATATTTATTGAAAATATCAGCTTGTTTATATTAAAATGTACTTGGTCTGATTGCTTCTTGATTTGGCTGATAGTAGATTTGATAGAGAAGTTTACCATAAGTCACTCAACATCGTTGTATTCCTCTAAGTATAAGTTAAGTTGTTTCTTGCCGACTTTTACATAAGCTGCAAAATTTAAAAAATTATGTACATGTATATTCATCTGTTGGGTTAACTTAACTTTGAATTATTTAGGTAATTTACAATTGCCTCCCTTATTTGCAGAATTCCAGGACAATCTTAACACAAGTTTAAATAACATGGAAAACTTTGAGGGTCCTCACATATTAGAAGTCATAATGTCAGACAGCCAGTTGGTTGTAATTCCAATAAAGATAACTCCCTTGCTTCTTTAAAGCATTTGGTGCTTTTAAGCTCACATGGTGGGCTATTGTTATCGCCCACTTGTCTTGTTTAATGTATTTAATGCTTTGTTTTACAGGTATCCCAGAGAGAGTGGATTACATCCCAGGCAGTGGTGTTACCCCCCTATTCCCCCAGACTTCACTGAACCTGTGTGGTCAGACTTGTGAGAAACAGAACGTCAAAGCCTTGCTGAGGCTGCAGACACGACACATTGGCAAGGGGTGTGATAGAGACACATACTCAATCCAGTCACAGAGAAAACTATGTGGTAAGGCTTGGCATTTACATTTTTTATATATACATTTACTTTTGAACATTTGATTTTATGATGATCATTTCAAATAGCTTTTCAGATTGATTCTTGGAAAATATAACTCTTGTATGTTCAATATATAGAAGATAAAGCTTGATTGTGAAGAAGCAAAAGCAAAATAGACATTTCATATTGATCATTATTTATAACACTTTTGATACATGAATTATCACGAATATGTAACATGTGATCAATACTCCCTCAATAAATTGGGTTGTACATCTTGATCTATCAAGGTAGTTCACCTAAATACAACACTTTTCAAATTACTAATTGAAACAATTCTGAAGGAAGGCTCAGAAATGGTTAAAATATATTTCATGATTTCCAAAGCCTGTTGAAGTGTGTTATTGATAGAATATTCAAAGGTCTAACCTTATGTATGTATGTTGTGTATTATCAGGTGCAAGTGATGGTGTAGTAGACCTATTACCATCTCCTCAAATGAGCCCCTGGAAGGTCAGTCTCCCTTCAGATGACGGAGATGCTTCTGACAGGATCTATGCATTTGATGGCAAATCAAATTTCGAGGAGATTCCTAACAACAAGGTTGAACATACATTGACTGATAAGTTCACAATTGCAACATGGATGCGACATGAAGATCTAAAAGATGATAGATCACCACATGGCAAAAAGGAGACAATCCTTTGTAACTCTGACGCTGAAGGTATGATAAGATTTTTTAAATTTCTAATTACCCAACATAGACATTTAAGATGCGAAACAATATATTATTTGCTTTATATTATTTTGCAGTATTCTCAATATTCTATAGTTGGTCAAACAGGTTTCTTGAAATGTATGATTGAAAATTATTTTTATCTTGGGTATCTCTAATATCTATATCAGTTCAAACACTGGCCTTTCCAGAGCCCTAGTGTTATTAGATGCTATTTGGTAGATTGCTCAATGTCAATGTGACATAGATATTCCCATCCAGGATTAATAAATCATAGCAACTCTCAAAATATGAATTCACCAGTTGATTAAAAAATAGCACAGTACTGTCTAATTGACAACTGGATTTATGTTAATAATGAATATTAATACATTTCTAGCTATGGACCGTCACCACTACTCTCTGTTTGTGCACAAGTGCCGTCTTGTTTTCCTATTACGTAGAGAGTACACACCTGAGGAATACAACACATTCAAACCTGCAGAGTGGAGATGGAACATCCCACAGATATGTGATGGTGATTGGCATCACTATGCCATCTCAGTTGATACTCTACAGAAGGTAAGGCTATCATTTATAACAATGCTGTTTTACATAAATCGTCAGCTTCTATTCACCAAAAAGAGCGAATTTAGGATCTTTGAAATTTATTTGATGACATTTTGTTTTATGATTTGACCTGTTCTCTATTTCCTTTTGCATTATAATTCAAAGATTAAGCCTTATTGTATTCATCGTGATTTCTATCTCCAATTTCATCACATTTGAAGAACCTCATTCAAATTTTGGCCACTCACATTATTCTACACGTACAGATAGTATCATTTAATTAGCAACTTGGATATTATATCATATCTCATTTGTGAATGAATAGTTTCATGTTCCAACTTGTGATAACTAATAGTATGTTGGTATAATATAACTCATCAGGTTTTGGCTCCTACATAGCCCATAATTGATTTCATGATTGGGTCATCAATTTTCCAATTTAATGTGTTGCTCTCACACCTTTCAATAGACTTAAAAGCTTGCCAATTACTGTTATTATATAAATTATAATAAAAATAATAATTATATCTTCATGTGATATTCTATCTATAACTTGCAACCAACTAACCGATTTGCTGTCTGTTGTATTTATAAATATGATGTATATTTAGTGTTTTGACACATTGTATTCAAAGCTATATTCTTATATGTTTAGGTGAAGCTTTTGGTGGATGGTAAAGTGATAGTTTCTCAGAAAAACAACCCAGAGATCATTGATGACTGGCCACTTCACAAGACGACAAAGGTCCACAGCACCAAGCTCGTTGTAGGAGCTGCATGGCAAGGTAATGACACTTAATGTTAAGTTTGATGTGAAGTTGAACCTGTTGAACTAATTTATGCAACATTGCATTTAATTCCTGGAGGGTAAACTTTGATGTGTTCTGATTGAATTCAGTGTTCCTCATCTTTTAAATGACTTAATAACTTACATGCTTTGATCGTGGTAAAAAGGGTAATCGACAAGTAGTTGAATTTTTCATGCGTAAGGCTCTTAATTAGGTAACCAAGTCTCATTGAGACATCAGTCAATGTTCCTAAAAGTCATCACCCTTTATAAAAAATACTCAAGATTTGATGAATGATATCATTTTCTTTAGGCAAAGAGAAGCGAATGGGCCAGTTCTTTAATGGTTACCTGGCTGGACTTTCCATACTTCGTGGCAAAACAGAGAGTGACAGTGTCATCAAATGTCTCAACAACTGCCAGGAGAAACTTGACTTCCATGCTATGGATGAGATGGATACAGGAATGGTGAGATCATTCAGAATTTAAGAGCATTTATTCCTATTTGTTCACCAGGAGTAAAAATATTCTGATTTCAGTTGCCTTGTGCACAATGTAATAATGGTCATATGTTAACATTATTGAATGTACAATTTACAAAATGTGATGGTCTCAGCTGATGTATTGCTTCTTAAATTACCTTCTCAATTAAACTGGTCTGAAAAATTGGTTGAAAGAATTGTTGAATGATGTGAACATTCGAGCCATAGTCTTTATCTATTGAAAATATACAGGGTGGTATTGTATAACATATACAACATAAAGGGTGATCACTGAATAGCGTTCTACATATAATATTGTTGTTATGTTTCAGTCTATAATGTTTGACAGTGAAATGACTGAGATTACTATTGAAGGAAAGGATGTAAACAAAGTACATAACTTGATGCGTAAAGTTGGATACATGAACTCTCGCCTTTTCCCAACTCCTGGATTCAGGAACATCAAGCTGGAGACAACTGTCTCGTAAGTATGAAATAAATTATTTGCATTTAATGCAGTAAATACAGAGTATTTTGTTTTTGCCATAAACATAATTAGATGTTTATCTTGTGATTTGATTAATTGCATTCTACCCGGAAGCAATATTATTCACTGATATAAAACTACAATTGTAAAATGTAAATTATATTGTACAACAATATGTCACCACCACTAGAGGTCTCCAACTTTTTGGTGGCAGCGGTTGGTTTTTGATGGTATGTGTTTGACAGTAGGTTTTTGGCAGTCGGTGTTTGGTGTCTGGTTATGTGACTTTGTTGAACCTTTCAATGGGTGCTCTTGTATGTAACATCAAAATACTTGTAATGTTGCAATATTTGCTGAATATTGCAGGTGCCTAGGTGATACCGACATCAAGCTGACTGCTATCGACAGCATGGTTGTTGTACAAGAGGCCCGTAAGCCCACCATCACAATCAGTGGCATCACCAGTATTACAGATGAGGAGCTTACCTTCCCACATGGCAAGAGAATCTTCAAGGACATCAACATTGTCAGCAGAGTGAAGGATGATGAGAGCGAGGAGGAGGAAGAAGACAATGAACTTGGTAAGCTATGTTTTTATCAAAAATATTTTTTACATAGTATATATTATATTCAGATATTGAGTATTCCATGAATTGCATATTTCTTTCCTATGTGTTCTAGCAACATCAGATTCTTTCCACTGCTTCATTCTCCAACTATGATAATATAAACCTTTCTAGTTCTGATATTTGCAATCCAGATTTCTGATGTGCAATACAAAGATACCTGCAGATAGTGCTTACTGTCTAACTCGAAAACATAATAAAAAGAGGCATACTCTATTTTCCTTTAAATTCATACATTTCTCTTACACTTGCAGAAACAACTGAGTTTGTATATGACCAACTAGATGCTTGCATGATCAAGGTGGACCCTCCTTTGAAGCAGGGTGTTGAGACACTTGACTGGCCCAAGATGCTAGTGGCTGACAAGGGAATGTACATCACTACAAGTGATAAAGGCCTCACAATCTCAGGTAAGATCTTGTATGATTATACAAATAAACATGTAATATGTCTCATATAGTATGACTCAGTATTGGTTTCAATATTAGATAATAAAATTGAGGTATGCATAATGGCATAGTTTGTGAACGATTTCAATGTTGTATTTCATATGCAATCCATTGTAATAAATTCCATGGATATAAATGTATCGCTTCAACTCTGAAATGCTGAATGATGGTCTTCTTAAATTTCTTTTAGTTCTAGTAGACTGCAATAATTATTATATAAGTTGTGTCATACTTGCAGGCTCTGACAAGATCTACAACTATGAAGATGTTTTGAGACTTGTCCACTATGCTAACATCAAGCCCAAGAACTACAACACTAAGACATTCTCCCTGAAGTGCACAGAACAAGATGGAAGATTCCAGAGCAATGAATTCAAAGTAAAAGTAAGTGCACAAACACTTTGATATGTCAATCTTGTTGTATCAAATGATTTTGAAGATAAGGGTAACTCACTGATGATTAATCAGAATCAGATGGAAATAAGCTCAATTGAAGGAATATTGTCTCTATTATTGGACATAATTGATCAAAAATTTGTTTCTTGTAAGTCTTAGTCAAGGCAACCCATGTGTTCATTTAGCTTCATTACAATGGAAATCAACGAGACTTGGTTTATTTGAAAACTGATCGATTGTAGACATTTTTCCTTTATAGTGAGGATTCATTAATATATAAGTTGATGTGACTTGGTGCATTTGAAAATTGTTCTTTGTAGAGTGTGTTCCATCAGCAGATTTTACTGTGTATTAAATTGTTGTGTATTTCCAGGTGAACATCATTCACCAGTCGCATGAGCCAAATGCTGCAGAGCATGTGAAGTCCAACTCCATTCACCATGATGTGGAGAAGAAGCTAGTACCCTTCAAGAACAAGGAATTGAATTTGGAAAGAGCTGAGGGTGGAACACATAATGCAGCCACTGCTGCTGCTGGAGGCGCAAGTATGTAATCTCTAAATCACTTGCATAGCTACACTTTTCTCATACTCAAGCAATGAATATTAGACTTAAAAGTGACATTTGATTCAAGATTATATTCAGTATAGCAGTACTATGTTTACATATGGAACTGCACAGAAAATATTGGATGTACCAAATCAGTTATTATTTTCTAATAGTCAGACAATTCAGTGGACAGAACTTAAAATTACCAATTCATGTCTCATAATGTCAATATAGCTATTGTTGTCTGTAGCATACAAGTTGAGTTAAGTTGATATAGGATGTACAATACATTGTATTTGACATGTGATCTGTTTTTCCTTGCAGGTGCTGGGATGACAGTGATAATTGTTGTCTGTGTTGGATTCTTGGCTTTCATGATTATACTTGGTGTGATTCGCATCCGTGCTGCCCACAAGAAGACGCAGATAGTTAAGGTGGAAGAGAACACTGAGATGGAGTGGGATAATTCTGCTCTGACTATCACAGTTAACCCTCTAGAGGAGGGGGAAGGATCTAGTGTAAGTACAGCTATAAAGTGTACTTTGAGAGCCCTGCGTGTAACATTTACTATTTGAATGTATGCTTGAATTTACTAGCAAATCTGATAGCTACAAGCAATGTGATTAATCACTTAATTAAATCTTAAAACAGACATACAGTAAAACCTGTCTTAGTGAACACCTCTCTCTAGTGAACACCTGTCCCTAGTGGACACCCTTCCTACGCACATAGTCCACTGACTTCTGTATAAATTACCCTCTCTCTAGTGAACACCTACCTACAGTGAACGTTTTTTCTTGGCAAAAAAATGTTCACTATACACAAGTTTTACTGTACATGAAAGGCAACAAAATATACTCATATAAGACTATTTCAATGGATTCCAAGTTGAAATCTGTTACATATTTGACATTTGCTGAAAGCTCATTTTCATTGGCCATCACCAAACAACGGAAACAGTTGTACATTGGAATACCCTTCTTGATTCAAATGTTGTATTCTTGATGATTTTATATTTTTCAGAATCCTTATGAAGCAGAAGAGCTCCAGTTGAGAGGAGATGATAGTGACAGTGATGATGATATAAGTAGTTATCATGATGAACTTGAGAGTTCCGAAGATGAGTCAGAAAAAATAAAGGATAGAGAACTAGAGTGGGATGATTCTACATTGTCATTTTAAAAATGCTCAGAGACACATTTTACAACAACAACAACAACACACATACAATGTCATGTGTTCTTTATGAAGATTTGTGGAATGAATCTAAGGTTGAAAATAGTTCTAAAACTGACGACTTACATCGACAAATCATCAACTTCGAATAAGTTAAGAAAAAATCTCACTAAGAAATTGAGTTCAAGCAAAGGAAACACAAATCATGGAGATTAATTAGAAATATAGATGACACTGGATTAATGGGAATTCAATGGAACTGTTACAGCTCTTATACATTGTGTACATTTTCTTATTATATAACAGTGTAACAGTGAGACTGATCTTATTTTACAATTTTAAATAGCCTTTGTAAATGTATTGAGAATTTTTTGACCATGTAACATATTTATATTACTATATACATAAGCATAAAATGTTGGTTTTACAGTGTCAATGCTAAAACACACTCGGCATGACATAATAGATGAGAATTTTATGGATAAGGTAATCCATTAAGTAAGAAGATTGTAAACTTACTGATTGCACTTTCTGCATGGAGAATGTGCAGTGTATTTGTAAATAATAGGCTGGATCTCTATTTATCATGCGCTTATTATTAAGTTACCACTCACAAGAATCCAATTTATATATTATTGATGTATTTTATTTTTGTTCCATTTAAAGGGTTGCTCCTTAATCTGATAGATTGTAAATGTAACGTTTTAAAGTCCAACATTACCCCCAGCATTCTATGTAGATGTTAACGCATTTATCATGTTCAATAGAGAGTGTAGATTTATTAAAGTGAAGATCATGGAAGACTAGATAGGTAGTATTTGTGTTGGAAGGAGATGCTAAAGTTACACAATGCCTTTCTTCAGGGAAGCGCCAGAGAGTATTATAGTGAATTGTGGAACATAGCCTCCTCTGGGGTGAAAGTGCAATGCTCCATGAGTCGCCACAAGTATTATATCAAGTCAGATCAGAGGAGATCGCAGATACATAATGTATAGAATTAATCACCTGTAAATTACAGTTATCATGGGTGGCTGTGTTTATTTAAAACAATCCTTTATAATTATATGAAAGTTCTACAAGAACACCAAATAACTTACTTCCCTGTATTTTGCACTTGATCTTGGTGATAGTTCCACAACTTCTCAAGAGATTGAGACTAGTTGGGTGTGCGTAGTGTTGGAACACATGGTCTTCTCTTATCCAAGACAGGGTACTAAATCTATATTGTTTGAAAATTAACAGATTGTTATTACTTCTGTCTTAATATCATCTAATGAGAAACAAAGAATATCTGTGTACAGGGTGAGGCAGCATCAGTTCAAATGCAAAATGCTGAGAAATTTTAGTTAGTGTACAGTATGTGTATAGTATGTATTAACATCACATAAATATTAAATAAATGAATGACTTGAAATATACCAAGTTGACACCTGACCTCATTTTAAAAACTACAAACCCAAGAAATCATATTTCCAGTCAGTCATTCAATTGTGATGCATCAATTGTGATGCATTCAATTGTGACGCATTCAATTGTGACACATTCAATTGTTTCTTATTGTGTATACTGAAGAATTGTTCATCTTGTTAATATTTAATTAGACATTCCAACATGGCTTGCTGTTTCTTTATTTTTTATTTATGTGCAGTAAAATATTTCCTATCACCACAGCTAGGTTAGATAAATTAAAGCAAGTTTGCCAAATTTGCAATGTGCTGGTCTTTCCTCAATTCTTGCTACATAGACAGCATTGTTCATTAAGAAAGGAGTTCTTCATTGTAGCTTAGATTTGATGCAGGACTACTGTATGCCAGTTCCTCTTAAAGAAAATATGAAGGACTTATGAACAATACAAGGATTTGAGTCTATTCAAATATTGGCAAAAGAGATAATAAGTGTCGATAGTACAATGACCTAGATTGATGCACATTGTGTATATTTTTTGTATTTACTTCTTGGAATGTCTGATTACATTACTCGATGGCAACATGTTATGGTAAAAAATAGAAAACATTTTTGGACATCCTTTCAAGTCGATAACTTCAGAAGTATTTGCGAATTGACTGTATTCATGCACACATTACATGCATTCATACATAAATCAATGTTCAACAGTGAAATCCATTTTGATTCGTTAAATTGTTTTAAATTATAAAATATCATACGAGGCAGATGGCAGGTTAAAAATGTACAGGAATTAAATAGAACAATATTTGAACAACATAAGTTTATATAGCATTAAGACATGCAAATTCTTTATTGGTAGATACTCTATTGCGGAGATCTACCTTTTCGTCAATATGAATTGTAATTGTCTTCCTGAATAAAGTCACATCTTTTTGTCCAAAATATATGTTTTGTTCGATCCTAAATAAATGAGTAGTTTGCACGTGGGACTTTGTCAAAACTTTCAAAACCCTTGCTAAAGGTATCTCATGTATCTGGTTGATTACACTATGCAGCAAAAATGTATTTTTAAGCATTTTTCAATTACTAAACCTTGCATATTTATATGTGAAAAGCTCCCAGAGAAAGTCCTTCAAACTGTGCATAGTATGCACGCAGTTTGGATACCGCGCCGTACAGAAGCTATGTTGTACAATAGCAACTAATTTCAATTACCTAATAGTTCTACAAAGAGTTCTGTCTGATATATTCACAAAATCACCAGGAAACCAAGATTGATACTATGGAGACATTAAATGAATAGAATTTTATTTCTACCAACAATTATTTTGAAGTCTGACTGATGGATGGAAACATGCATAAGGTATATAGATGATAGTCCACCCGTATAGCTCAGCGGTAGCATGTGTACCTCTTACGCAACAGGTCCCGGATTTGATCCCCAGTTCAGGCAAGACTTAATTTGCTTGTTTTCCGTTAAGTACTTCAGGGTGTTTGACTGAGAGGTCCACAACTCGTACAAAAGGCTGTGGTGTGTACTTGTATGTCTATGTATGGGTGCACATAAAAGAAAACAGGGCTCCTTTGAGGAGGGGTTTCTGGGTCTATCTTCCAGGCTAATTATGTTAATCATGACTGTATATATACGGGATATACCCAAGAGGTATTGCTCTCCTTCATTGGTAGTAAACAAAATACAATACAATCAGGTCAATTGTCACTCGACTTCCTTAGTGATTAAAAGTCCCGAACTGCATTCCATAGTAACTACAGCTTTCATGTGATTCTTTGCTTTATTTCACAAAACAGCTTGTTAAGGCAAAGATCTTCAGTACCAATTTATTCAGTCCAGTATATTGACCATGTATGCCTATGAACAAGTGGCATTTAAGAAGCAACTGTCTAAAGCAATATTAAACATGATTCGAAGCCAAACTGGGTTTTGGGTTACTCCTACATTAACTAACAATAAATTATAATTTTACCAAATGAATATTTTTCATGAAGGTCTTATGAAGCAAAAGCTGTATAGCTCTCTCCACCCTGCAAATCTTAATACTAAAGACAGAGATGAGGATTGCAATGTCAAATTGGCAGTTCATGAGATAAGACCCATTCACTGAGAATGTTTTCAGTCATTCTCTCAAATATGTTTATTTGAATATTAAAGCACGAGGAATTCAAACAAGGCCCTTAACATAATATTCCATCTAGTTTATGGTCACAAAAGTGTAACAATTTACACATTAAAAAAGAGACACAGACAGTAAACCGTGGACACAATAACACAATAAAACTGTGCCAACAGCATTTGTCAAAAATCAAGAAATAAATATTTTTCTACACACAAACATTTATTTTCAGTAACAACTGCAAAATCTGCATATGGCACATACATGTTATTTTCTGTTAATACAAAAAGCATTATTGGTAAATGGAGCAGTGGTCATGGTTAAATTTTTACATTTACAATGTACATTTAGAGATGAAATACTTACATTAAATCCATGACATGACATTTTCTGTTCTTATTGCGTGACTTAACAATTACACAATACACAATGGGATGATGTACAAATGCGAACCCAAAATGTTAGTTAAAATGATGATTCACAACACATATTTGGACAAAATCAATATTTTACTCTGATGGAATTGTAATTCACCCTTACTTCCTCAACAAAAGTAACTGTTGGACACCACTCCTACCTTACATGATTTAATGTGGTACAAATACCATTTTCACTGGTACTTTCAATTCATTCTATTACTGGACTGGTATTCAGACAAAAATACTGCAGCAACACATTTATTTACTCTGCACTCAATTTAAAGTACAGTAAAACCTGTATATGGTGAACCTCTATGGAGCCACAAAAGGTGTTCACTGTAGCTAAGTGTTTACTACAGAGAGGGGATTTTATACAAGAGTTGATAAAAAATGTGTCTTGAAGTGGTGTTCTGTAAACAGAGGTGTTCACTAAGACAGGTTTTACTGTAATAGAATTTTACATTTTTTTCTTTCTCATATTCATGAGGTTATTTCCCAGATCAGGGATAACTGTGGCAATGCTGCATTATGTTACAACAACACTCAGGTTCCAACAATCTAGCCTTTTATATACTATACTTTACACTGGAACTGTTGATATTTTATAGTTATTGAAACTCTGAAGGATTTATGTTTCAATACAGATATAATTTGACTAAAAAACATATAAGTTGGAAATTCCCGCATACGACTTATGATGTGTAGTTATATGAATAAGGTGTATACCAACTTTTCTCAAAAAAGATTCTTTAGGAAAATTCCCCTCTGTTAGGAAGCTATTGATACTGTATATTTGATAGGAAGTAATAATGTTTTTCAAAATTACAATGGATATTTTAATGACTTACTTCATCTATAGTATTACAATTTACAAATTAATTAAGAAATATAGACTGAAGACCAGGTGTTATATCGACGAAAACATACTGCAGGGCTAGGCACAACCATTTTCTGTAACCAGAATGACCGAAGAGAGTGAGGGGTTCGAAAGCTTTTGTGCCTAGCCCTAAGGTATGTGTTCGTCAATATCTCACCTGCTCTGAGGTCTATATTACCACGGACTTTAAGGTCCGTGATAGAAGGCATGAATACAGTCATGTTCGAATATCCAATAAACACAATACATAGTTTTGAACAAACGAACAATGTTCAAATGAACAATACATGTAAATAGACCGATGAATAGAGGGATGTGTCTCAGCAAATCAGCTTAGAGTATTTTATTGCATTGTGCATGTAACATTGTCCATAATGACAACTAAGCTGCCAACTAAGCTTTGTATTCAAAAGTAACACAATCTTTGCATCTTATTCAAGTTTACTCACTAATCTTGTACTTATTTCGCTTCTCATGTTTTCTAGCACATGGTAGAACTATTTCTATTAACCCTTTATCAAACTGTTCCACTTCCTGTATAGTCTCTGGTAAAGGACGATTGACAGTCTCTGGCAGCAGTAGGGTTAATAGACCTGCTGTTATGGATAAGGTTCCAAACACGCACCTTGGCAACCACTCTACGAACTTACCCTACAAACAGGAATAAATGTGTTTAAGTCAAGTGTCTCAAAAAGGTGAAGCAAACTTAAATTGGTGAAAAATTAGAGGATAGTATAAGAACATCATTTTTACAGTTTAAATCAAAATAATTTATAAACTTAGTACTTTTCTGGAATTTTTTCTGAAAGCATTTCTGTATTTCGGTGATTATTCTGTTTTTACTAAAGTGGAAAATTGCAATATTGAGACTTATCACATTTATCTGATGTTTCCTAAGTGTAAGTGTATGAGAAAAACAAGAGAGAATGCTACCTTGTATATTATGAAAGAAGCTGACATTCCACCTACAGTGTCCCAAAATGCACTAACCCCTATAGCTGTATTCCTGAAATATACCATTTACGATATAATTTGAATTTTAATCTTTTGTTCAGTAGCCTATATTTAACATTGACTCCTATAAGTGTGTTCCTAAGTTATTGTTTAGAACAAATTCACACATAGCTAGGCAAGGTGTGTCTGATTCAAGCCAATCAGAACAGAATATTCACATAATGAACTGTGTGTGAAATATAAATAACACATGCAAGGTCACCAGTTAAACAGTTGTCATGGTGATGAATGGACTTCTCACATTGGATTTGATGACTTGCCAACTTGAGCCTTGCGTAAAATGTCATTGAAAATGTGTTCTTTTAGTGATTTTGTTCCTTTTAGATGATTTTGGAGAATTGAAGCCCATTCCACTCAGCTTCATTCCACTCAGCCGATGTTTCCTAAACTTTGCATTCCCGCTGCACGTTCATGCAAAGATTTGGAAGCAACACCTTCTTGGTATGATTCAGCAAACAATGCACTGAGTCCAGGGCTTAAATCCTTAAATTAACTTCCAGGGTTACAAAAACCATATAACATAGTCTTTAAAGTATAAGTAATGCTTGTTCAATATCTGGTGGCCATTCACTTACCTTATAGCAGTTGGGAACAATTCAGCAGAGTACAGATAGATGCTACAGAATGATCCTGTGATTCCAAACTTGCCAATCATCACTAGAGTTGTAATAAGTGGCCATAGGTCAGTACCATTTGCTGAAAAAAGAGAAATATGTGTTGTTTCATGAATTAAGAATACTACATTTTTCTTTTCTGGAAGCATGAATAGGCAACAATTCTATAGAATCCTTTTCTCATTTGTCATGTAAATCATGAAAACTATGATATTGAGTAAGTATATAAATATTGAATAGTAATGGTCATGTCACAAACAGATATGAAATCATAAGAAACTCTCATAATAATAATATTCTAATAGAAATTCTTACCAGTTGTTTTTGGCAAGAACACAGTTATAATGTTGGCAAGGCCACTTATCAAGTGGAAGGCACAGATACATTTCCTACGGCCAAATCTGCAACAAAAATTGATAATTAGTCTCTGTTTCTGGTACCTATATTTGTCGTGTTCCAAAACATTACATATAAGACAAGTTTTCAGGAAGTGAGGTTGAATTATAGTAAACAGCATGAAATCAATGTCATTGATACATGCAGGAAAAACAAGCCTAAGTGAGTTAATTGTTGGTTTGTGAAAGATTTACTTTTTAAAATATTCAATTCCAAGATATACATATAACATTATGTTACAAGACTTCATTCATGTAAAGTGTATACATATATGAATTCTCATACAAACACAAGGCATAGCATTATGATCAGGATTTCTTCATGTGTCGTGTATATGCTTGAATGGACTAACCTCTCCAGTGCAAACATACAAATGATATAAGCAGGCACCTCCACAAGCCCACTGAGGAAGAAGTTGATATACATGTTACCATGCAGAGCACTTGAACTCAAAGATATCCCATAATAATCCAAGGCATTCACCATCCTGTATAAAACAAATATTACACTTCACTCATACATTTATGCCATATGAAATTACCATATATATTCATATACATGTATATTATTCAAGGTATGTCTACAATAACAGGCAGTTTCTTTAAAATTGTCTTTTAATAATGTGACTCCAAAAACTTCTTCCTTATTCAAAGGACATTGCAGATTTTCACTTTCATGTGTTTTTCTATAAATACAAAGAATTACTTACCACAAATACCAGACTATCAATGTGTACCTCCTCATGATGGGAGTTCTAAACAGATCTAGCATCAACAAAAACCCAGACTTCCTTGGTCGAGTCAGGGAATCAGATCTGTGTTCATCAATTTGGCTCTCCTGTTCAGTAGGATTACTTGGAGTGTCTACTATAAGTGGAGTGGCAGCATCTCCACTTCCTTTGTCATCCTTTACATTTTCCTTACTCAAGTCAGTATCATTAGCACCTGGCTTACTCAGGCCATCACCTATGTCACTTCCAGTTGGATCATCACTTTGAGACAGTTTTATATTCTTATCTAATAATGGCTCAGTACCATTTTGCATGTTATCAACATCTATAGGAGCATTACATTCTTCATTGCGAACACGGGGTTTCTGCTCAAAGTTAGTAAGCATAGTTTGAGCCTCTGTGTCTTTCATTTCAAGAGGTTCATGCTGGGATAGGCAGTTTGGAGGAAGATGGGCCTTGTTCATTTTTGCTGCCCTCTGTAAGATAACTTCAGCTTCTTCTACCCTGTCCTTTGCAAGTAGCCATCTCATAGACTCTGGCAGTAACCTGGAAAATTAATTCACACAATATCCCAGATGCGAGTAGAAATAATCTTGATTTACGTCATTAAAAATTCATAATTCAGTCAAACTGATGTCATATTTGGAATCTACATGTAAAATTACTTTAGAAATGTGGTTTTGAAAACAGTTTATCAACTTCATTCCCCCGAGTCAGCCACCTGGTGGCGAAATTGGTAACTACCTACTCGCATCTGAGTTATTGGGAGTGGATGCTAAAAGTGTCTGCCACATGGCTTCAAGGGTTCCTGATTTAAGACTCACTCATTTTATGGAGTTGCATTTCTTAAATATGAGGCATTAACATGCAAAATGTCACCACCTGTCATTTGTTACAGATGCTGAACTAAGAATGCCAACCGCTGAATGCTGTCCACAAAAAAGTTGAAGACTATAACAATATGTCACCACTTGGTATGAAAAATTTATGATTTCAAAATAGGAGATGAATGAACCCTAGGAAAATATTTTATATGCTAAAACATCCTCCATAACTTACCAGTAATAAGAGATCATAAGCAATGTTGGTAGGGATATGACCATCTCCAAGTGGCGCCAGTTAGGTATGAAATAGCCTAGCAATGCCAGTAACATGTACCCTGCAGCCCAGAACATCTGCAAGGAGATCCCTGGTAGTGTGCGGTGCTTGGGTGGAAACACCTCTGTCACCAAAACATAGCTGATGATAGCAATACCCTGTAGGATGAACAAGACACATAGTCATAAATAGCACACTTTGAATGGACATCTTGTAAATTACCCAGCATGCCCAAAGAACTTATCACATTTTGGCATTAGTTTCCCCTTGCACTTGTAAAAGATTTCAGTTAAAAGGATGAAAGGGTTTGTTTCAAGTCATCCCTATAACCCCATCAGCATAAGTCAAATACAACTAGGAAAACAGCAACTCCAAGGTGTAGCAAATTCCACCGAACAAAACATATTTTGATAATAAGTGGCCATCTTGAAAATTTCTTCTTGAGCAGAGCTCCTTCTCACTTGTAAGCAGCATATAAAATTTGATCTAAATCTGTAAACTGGTATTTGGATTATCAAAGATCACATTTTAACAACAAATGGCTGCCATTTTGATAAATAGTGGCTATCTTGAAAACATCTTCTTCAGCTCATTTTTCTCTAAGCATCAGCATATAAAATTTGAATCAAATCCAATCACTGGTATTTGATTTATCCAAGATAACATTTTTTACAAAAAATGGCAGCCATTTTGAATTTTAGCTGTCATCTTGAAAATTTCCTCTTGACAAGATTTCCTTTGTTCCTAGGCATCAGCATATAAAATTTGAACCAAATCCAACTACTGATATTAGAGTTATCAAAGATTATGCTTTTAACAAAAAATGGCAGCCATTTTGAAATTTAAATGCCATCTTGAAAATACTTCTTGAGCAGAGCTTGTTTGTCCCTAGGCATCAACATATAAAATTTGAACCAAATCCCTCAATTGGCACTTGAGTTATCAAAGATTACGCTCTTTTACAAAAATGGTGCCCATTTTGAAATACAGCCGCCATCTTGAAAATTCTTTCTCGAAAAGAGATACTTTGTCCTTAGGCATCGGCATATAAAATTTGAACCAAATCCGTTCACTGGTATTTCAGCTATCGAAAGTTTTTTTACGAAAAATGGCAACCATTTTGGTCATCTTGAAAATCTCTTCTTTAGCAGAGCTCCATTGTCCCTAAGCATCAGAATATAAAATTTGAACCAAATCCATCCATAAGTATTTGAGTTATCAAAGATTTCGTTTTCACGAAAAATGGCGGCCATTTTGAATTGAGCAGCCATAATGGAATAATGGAAGGATGACTTTCCTATATCCCCCACGGATTTCTTCGGTGGGATAATAAAGCACTTGCAGTCTGGTAGTTATTATTAACTTTGCTTAATTCTACAGTATACTTTCACTTCTAAATGGACTGCCTGTGTTTGGGAAATGTTCTCATATCAATAGTTCAACAATCTTTAACTTGGAATTTAAAGTAATGCATTTTCTAAAAGATATTAGGATTTTGGAGCTTTGGGGTCAAAGTGTGAAAATACTATTTCCCTTCAAGAGATCCCTAACCAAATGTCATAGAAATTTTAACACTCATTTTTGTTTATCATTGTTATTTGTGTATCATATTCTTTGTTATGGAATGTTAATATTTATTTGTGGCAGTTGTTTTTATGATCCTTGAACTTTACTTAATATTTCATATTCTTAATCTATCATTTTTGGCTTCATCTCAGTTTCTCATACTTTGATAAACAGTAACTTTTGTCAGTATCACAAGAGAAGAGCATATAACTATTTTCTTATTTACTTCCAGATACGAGTTTATACTTATGCTAGATCTATAGAAGTAAATGGGGTTTCTATGTATTCTATAGGATGAGACCTATAACAAAATTTATCGGCAAAATGTATGGCAAAATAAACATGTTTGGGTATTGCTTTCATCAGAACCTCGTTTATTTTGTGAAGTTGGAATAGGTTTTGAACTTTGAATAACTTTAAAATTTGACTTTGCCTTACAGTACCAATGTTGAAATAATACTATGTGATGGATGAGTGAGGCTGAACTTAGCCATAGCAATAATCCCTCAGATCCAATGTACAGTAAAACCTGTCTTAATGAACACCTCTCTCTAGTGAACACCTGTCCCTAGTGGACACCCTTCCTACGCACATAGTCCACTGACTTCTGTATAAATTACCCTCTCTCTAGTGAACACCTACCTACAGTGAACATTTTTTCTTGGCAAAAAAATGTTCACTATACACAAGTTTTACTGTACATGCCATTTCTAAAATTTTTGATATTTGAGGGCCACAGCCGTCACCTTGTTTGATTTCCACCTACCAATCACACGTGTAAGGTTTGATTTTTCATTGTATTTACTAAAAAAATCAGACAAGAAATGGTTTGGTATGTACATGGAAATTCACTTAGGTGGGCGTAGCAAATTGAACAAACCCTTGAGAATTAGAAATGAGCCACTTAGTTGATATGAATACTTACCCTGTTCAATGCTCCAATAAAGAACCTAAGGACGATGAACTGTATGTAGTCTGTGGTGAATGCCATAGAAAATGCTATGATGGTCTGAATCCACATATAAATGAGAAGTAGATGTTTGCGGCCAAACTTATCGGAGAGGGGACTGATGAACAATGAACCTGCCATCAGGCCTGCCATGAAGACAGATGTGGAGAGCTCTACCAGGTAATTCTTCCTGCAGACTAGGTCCCACTAGAATATAAAGAATACACAAAGTACATAGAATATAAAAGACAATATAAAAAGGTGGTAGACACAAGAAGAAATGAATGTGGTTTTCATGATAGATTCTTGATTTTCCCAAGTCGTTTTATCATTATTGAAGAACTTAAGCATACTATTTCTTTTAAAATCAAATAACTGAATCAAAAAGGTATTGCGAGTCTTACCTCAGCGACAACTGTTGTCATTCCAGGACGTAAATAATACTGGTAGCCATTTGGACATGGTATTGTTGAATTGTCTATTGATGCATTATTGTACATCTCACATTTAGCTAGATGTGATGTTCCATCTGGTTTGTAAACCAGAGGTATAGCTGAACTGGTGTTAACTCCATCTGGGAGTTTACAATGATGAGGGGGTTCATGTCCTACAATGTAAAAAGATAATTGTACAATATATTTACTATTTATATCTGTCTCTTGAGAGATTTTTTAAGTAGGCTATGTAAAAGAGTATGCCATGCCATGGTGCGATGTCTTGTACTACACAATGTACTGTTTCGAAATCGGCAACTCCATGGAGTAGCAAATCCCAATGAACATAATAATAAAACCATCTAGGAGTTTCAAAGGCAAAATCATTAAAACAATGCAATATTTGAGATCTCATTAGAATAATGTAACCATACTTTGAAGAGATATCTAAATTATAGCGAAAGCGATACAATATTTGCAATCTAATATAAATTGCCTTTCATACGAGTAAAATAAAGCTAAACTTCAGAGAGATCTCAAAATTAATGAGGCGGCCATCTTGAAATTATTTTTGGTATAAAACTATTCACTATTATTATACATCTTTCTGCCGAATATGAAGAAAATCTGTGGACTAGTATTCAAGTTATCTTCTTGACAGAGAGATGGACAGACTGACTGACGGAGGGAAGGCTTCACTATATCCCTACAGAACGTTTGTTCATTGGGATAATAAACAATACATGTATTGTACCATTGTAGAGTAATGTCTAACAACTATAATTTAAGTCCATCTAGGAAATGGCACTTCAAGAATTTTTCATCAAAATTGTCAATTCCATAAATCAGCAAGTTTTAGGCGTAATTCTTAAAATTTCAAGACAATTAGCAATTTCTTGCTATATCTAAATGCAGTCCCATTTGATAAAACTGATGGTTGGACATAGGCACCTGTAATACATCAGTTATCAGCTGTTATCATAACATAAGAATCAAAATGTACCCTACCTATGAAAGCTATTCCGAGGAGAAAAGCACACCCTCTCATGTTTACTAGGCCCATCAAGACATAGATGAGCATCTGAAATCTCCCATATCCTCCAATTTTCTCTAGGGCATCATCTAAATCCATGTTTTAACTAAAAATAAACATCATGTGATGAATGTGACTTGAGACTAATCACATCAGTATACTGCTCTGGCCTGATGAATAGTGTGCCTGTTTAAAATGCTTAAGCAAAAAGCATTGGTGCAGTGTTTGAAACCAAACATTTATGTTTTACAAACCAGTACTGATTTATTTATTTATTTATTTATTTTATTTGTATTTAAAGGCCCACTTTGGGAATTTTCAACATTTTTGGGCTAAATAAAGACTTACATATAAATTCCATAGTATGTCCAATGTATTGATAAGAACATTATCTTTCATTTGACACCAACAACAGCTCAAATGGACCACATCAAAGCTAACAATAAATTATCAAAAAATATTTTCGATCTGTCAAGCTTTATAATGTATATCAAGTTTTTATAAATGTCATTGGAAGATGGCAAAGTTGTTTATATTACATGATACATTCATTTTTATAGAAGTGTCGCCATCTTTTAAAACAATAGTAATTTAAAACATGCACTTTGTTTAACATATGGATGCATGTCTAACGATCTCTGAACTTCAAATAATTTTTTCTATGCTATTTATTTTTTTCTTGGTTCAATATTAAAGCAAATCAAACTTTGTGTCATATTTGAGCAAGTGTGTGAGTAAAATGTTTCAATGATTATTTTTTTCTTCTTTCTTCTAAATTAAGTATAGTGTGCCTTTAAGTCTAACTTGAATAATTCGGAAACTAAAGAGTTTTGTAGTCAATAATGTTGTAAATTGTTATTAATCGATACATCACAAATATGAATGCAACAATCAATGTCTGAAACAAAACATCGATGTTATAAAAAAAATTAATTCTACTCAAAATCACCTTTTTCTAACTTGTTTCATGCAAATGTCTTAACCTTCCTCATTCCTTAGTTCATTTGCCAATGTTCTCTAATATACTTTTACTTTAAAAATGTTTAAGCTGAAATGAACTAATGACCTCCAATTTTTTACATTTGTTTTCGTACATTGTTACTGGAAGTACTGTATTAATTATTTGTTGCATTCATTATTTTAGTCCATTTGCATTTTCAGTATTTTTCTCAGACTTTTTCAAAATGTACATGGTGATGTACAGTACATTGAAGTTTACTCCTGAAAATTGATGATGCATTGATGTATAATTATGGCACAGAGACAACAGTAAACCCTTACTCTAGACCGGGCTGACAGAAGTCAGCTCTCGGAAGCTGGATTGAAAATTCTTGAAGAGAAAATCGGCGTAATTGGGCTCCAAAATCACCTTTCAAGAGTTGGCATACCATGTGAATATCAGTTCAAATTTTTAAGCTCCTATTTGTCATTATGAACACAAATTCCACTATATTTGTACGTTCTGGGACGGAGAAAATAGAGCACTCAAATCACTGAGGTAAAGAATTTATGACATATGTGACAGAATGTCTTTTTTCGAAAGTAAGAGCGTTGCGGGAGACCTCGAACCATTGATCACGTTTGCTCCTGTAATTATTCACTTCTTCACCTCTTTAAAATGTGATTTCAATCAGTTGATCAAATTTTCGGACTTTGACCTCAAATTCAAATATTAATATTTATAAAAAAAAATACTGACTCATATATTTTTAAAAGTCTTTCAAATAAAGTGAAATGAAGCCAAAATCAGCTAAAATTATGCAATGTCGTAAAATGGCGTGACTGGAATATGATGCAATCACCCGTGGCGTCAGACACGTATTGCCACATCAACAACTAAACAAACAATTATAGAGACTTCACTGATTGGTTTAAAGATTCTTCGCATCATTTGTGACGTCATAAACATGTTACCAACACTTAACAAATAGGCATATGGGTTCGTTCAGTGCCACGCTCTTGAATCAGTTATAAACAGGGATAATCAACAGATCTAAGAGAGGGTCATGCATTTTTTTTTACTTTGAGACCTCGACTCGACGAGTTTGCTGCATTTTCTTGTCCATAGTGTTAGTAATTATTTATCTTCACCACTTTACATGTTTTCTGATGACCTTTTCAAAAGGCTAAAAAGCATGCCTTTGAAAACTTTCAGTGCTTTTTGATTTCTCGTAAGTGCAGTGTACTCTATCAATGTGTTATCTAAGCTTAATATAAAATCACAAAATAAACACGTAATTATGTTACTGAATGAGACAATATATCGAAAATAATGCGAAAAAGTCAACTTACAAAATCAACTCATTTTCCGACGAGAGGGTTCCCCATAAACCTATCACGTGATCAAGAATTCCCAAAATGCTTCGTGCATTTCCGTAGCGTGATTTCGGCTTGATCCGTAAATGCGTCCTTAGTGATCCTAGCAACCAAACAATAGGAGAACCTGTTGGATTGATTGGAGATTTATTTGTGGATTATTTACTTGGATACCACTTACAGTATTAAAGTTGAGCTGAGTCTATACGGCATCAGAACAATCTCGACATTTTGCCAGGAAAGACGAATCAAAATAGAAGAATTTAACTTCAAATTGGAAACTTTTACATCTTTTTGGTGTTGAGTTTGGAGTTTGAATTGCTCATTCATATTTGGAATAGAGAAATAAACTGAGAATGGGTTGTAATAGCAGCAAAAATGTGCAAGTTGCACCAGCAATGAAACCTGCCACATGGACAGAAGAACCTAAAACTCAAAGTCGACCAAATTCAACAAAGTCAATAAAAGTGAAAAGCACAAAGATTGAAGCATTCGAAGCTTCGGATGATGAAGGCATAGAAGAGTCTGTAAAACTTGATAAGAAAAAGAAGAAAAGAGGACTTAACAAATCACTTGCCAGTCTTGGTTCAAATGGCTCTCGTGGATCATCTGATCGTGGATATTCTGCTACTTCAAAATCATCGAAACATTCCACCGACTCTGGGTTTGATGATGAGGCATATGCAAATGTTATTACAGAAGATAGTGATCCAACTAAAGTATCCAGTATTGAGGAAGACTTTGGTGATGAAAAGGAACTCTTAGGTAATTAGAAATTATTTTAGATCCTCCACAAATTTTACAAATTATCTTTTCATTGTTTAAATAAGCTAATATGAAAACAACAAATTTAATTAAGGGCATTCAGTAATAAAAAATAATTACATTAAAATAGATGGAAATCAAAATATTTTGAATCAATCATTTTATCACAACAGTGCATGCTGTCGCTAATCCAAGCTTATGCTTAGAAGTCAATTACTGTACACAATAGAAACTCCAATAAACAATTTTGTATCCAAGGAAGTAATCCATATATGGGCAATTGTATCGATTTATTTGTAATTACATAGAAGTGCATTGTTGGATCGATCAAAGGATTTAAATTATGAATGAAAAGTAAAAAGTCCCTGGAGAATCTCAGCAGAATAAATCTTTTTCTTAAATATGAGCTTAAATTCCTTCAATTAAACATACATTATTTTATCTTATTCAGATTTTGGTCTTGTTGGACAAAAATGTGAACAGAGACTGAGTGCTAAAGACAAATCCAGAATGGAAGAACAGAGAATAATGGCCTCACTTAGAGATGAAGGTCTTATTGCACGTCCAAAGTCACGAGCTGCTGGAGGCATGTCCTTTGAGATCATATCTGATGGACCTGATCCGAATGCATTGAAACGTCCATTAAGATTAGCCAAATTGGAGAGAAGAAAAAAGAAGAAAGAATTAACAGCTGAAGAAATTGCTGCCAAATTAGAAAAAGCTGAAAAACGAAGAAAGGTAAGCATCTCTAATATGGTAATGAAATTATGTTTAGTAGTAACTGATGTCTTTGATTTTAATAATTTATTAATATTTTATTAAACCTATAGTAATATTTCATTAATTTATTAATATTTGATTAAAGCCTATAGTAATGACAAACTAGTAAAAAGAATGAATTATTAATATCATTAAATCATCTTAATTAAACCTGACTTGTCATCATATATAATCATATCTATGTAATTGAATATTTATGAATTTTTTTTACCTCCAGGAAAAAGAACAAGAAAAAATAGAAACTATTAAAGCAGTAACAAACAAAAGTGATGTTTTAACAGCATTGGACAGTTTTGAAAAATCTCAAAAAGACAAAGAAGAAGTAATAGAGAAAAAAATTGACTCTCACCAAGACAAACGTGAAAAACATCTTAAAGAGATGAGAGATAAATTGAAAGCTAAACAAGCACATGCTGAGAAAGTGCGACAGAGGAAAAAACTTGCAGTATTGACCCCCCACCCTGATTCTGATTTGGCTCGCGAAGGAACACCTATCGCATAATAAACCAACACTTTGTGGTGTAAACTTGCCAATATACCAGTGAGGATTCTCAGCATTATATACAAACACTTTATCTCAGGATGTAAAACTTAGATGATGAAGCAGTAAAGACATTGTGCCCTGGAGGCATGTATTTTTTATAGACACTGTTTAAAATGAAACTTCCTTAGAAAGTATTGAAGGAGGTTGATATTTTTATAGTTTTCAATTCTTCAAAAATGCACTGCTAGGCTATGTGTTAATTTGTAGAATGATTTGGTTTATCTGAACTGCTGGACTTTAATCAGAAAACTGAAGTCAATTTAGAAATTTGTTATCTAGCCCAGGATTCTTGTAATATGTAGAACTCCTGTGAACTGCTGATATCTGTAAACAGGTAAATGTACAATAATTTATCTTCATTGGAATTTTGTACATGGTGCTCAATACAATATTTTATAATTAACTTGATAAGTTGTATCAACTGAAGACAATCTGATGATGTATGTAGTGGTATGTTAAAACATGTGAAATCAAACCTGTGTATGATTATGATTGATTGTTTATACATCAGTATAATATTAAATGCTTATAAAAGAAATAAAACATATGAAATAAATATTATATTATCAAATAAATAAACTTTCTTATTTTAATCATTGACTAGGATTTAATGAAATAGCCTCCAATCCCTCAATCATATCTATAAATTACAAGGCATTAACATGCAAAATGTCATCACCTGCCATTTGTTACAGACACCAACTACCGAACACCACCAGCAAAACACCAACCACCAAACACTGTCTACAAAAAAGTAGTACTATAACAATATGTCGCCACGTCTGGTGGTCCAAATATACACATGTAAACAATCATGGAATTCCCATTTATTGAAAATTCATCTTATAAGCATTGAAAAGTTAAGCCAACTTCATGATCATCTAGTACTGACAGTCATGGACTTATTTGTTTTGTTATGCATTTCCAAACATTTAGTGTACATGATCAAGAAAACAGAAGATTTTGGAAAAATCATAAAATAAAATGTGGGAAGGGCAAAGAACAACCAACAACTAGATGGGCAAATTGTAGCTTCAGACTCCATTCATTACTTAGGGCGATATAAAAGATCCATTTGTACCAAGGTACACCATTGGAAAGGTGACAAAATTGTAAACCATCAAGTCAAGCTTGCTTATCTTGGTGGTAGGGGCCTATGTGAAGTTGTAACTTTGGTTGGAGGGCGGGTTAATGTCAAGAACACAGATTTGGGAACAAATTAATTTACAATATTAATGGTACAATATTCCAAAATGCAGCACTGTACAAACTCTTGATCTGTTTTCTCCTTAGTTAATTACTTTCATACCTGAGACAGTGGCATTTCCTGAATGGGGAAAAAAATGTTGAGTTGAAAATGGCCATGGAATTATACAAGATCATATTTATTTACATTGTATTCAATATACACAGTTAAATCAGTGTTTCATGATACATAGAGATCCTCCTTTTGAAGAATGAGTAAAATTCAAATATTTTGAAATTAGTCTCAGTTTGGGGTTATATTCCATGTAATGGTTTTCAGAGAGTTTGATTGTTGATACTTTAGTTATCATTGGAAAAAATATTTAATGAAAAAGAAAATATTCATGGTCAGAGATCTAACTCTAAAATCACTTGCAATATCTTTCTTCATGTCCATGGTTGTGGAAGGTAGGGATCTATCAAACATTTAAAGTAAAGTGAATGAACAAATTTCGAAAGATTCATATAATTTACAATATGTAGCTTATTATTTTACATTCTAATACACTATGGTACATAATTGTTATTTACACAAACACTGACATCATTAACATATAACAAATAAATAAAATTGTACTGTACAACTTTAACAACAGTATAAAAATAATTCTCAGGTGACTTTATACTCATCCACAAATCAAAACATTATTTTCAAAATAATTGAACATTTTGGCTACCCTGCTTTTATCAACCCAATGGAATAATTCTGATATTACAAAGTTATTAAACAAAAGGACCTTGAATTGACATTGTATCGAAATTAAAACATAGTAACATGAGTGTTAATTCTCCCAAAGGAACAGATTCATGGGGTTATTCTTTTCAAGAGATTGAGAAAGCAGTCATCTAAAGAACTTCTCGTCAAAAACTGACCCCAAAACTTGTACAGTAAAACTTGACCAGTCAAATACTCAAGCACCTTGGTTTGAGTCATTGGACAATATGACCCTCAGTAAGCTGAGCACATTGAAAGCTGTATCCAATAGCCAGCATATTAGTACAAATCTCATAATTAACAAGTACAAGTTTTGTATTACAGTTTGGTTATTAACAACATAATATGGTAAAATTATATACACATGCATTTCAACTTTCTAATAAGTATAATATATTAATCATAATTATTAATGATCATTGAGTGTAAGGATCTGAATTTCTGACAGACAGAACGTTACTAAATTCATAGAGATCATGACATCATAAAGAACAACAGAATTGACAGCCTCTATGATGTGTTAAACTCACAATGCAATGACATTTTGTCAGAATTCATATCTCTACACTCAATAAATATGTATTTTACATCCATTATTGCACATGTATCAAATACATTTTTGCTGTATTTCTACATACAAATAAATCTTCACATTTTTTTATTTGACAGTTTGAAATACTAGTAAGCTCATGTTGCATAATCTTTGTCAGAAATGGGTGAACTGGAAACAGAACAACTGTTTCACGGACTCAATTATATACCTCTCTGGTTTGTGTAACACTGTCCCTTTCTAGCAAGATGTACATTTAGCATTTCAACAAGAGAATGACTAACATATTTATTCAACCTAAAAACTGAACTGGCATATCATACAATCTGACAAACTCATAGTTATATACTATTTCCTTCCTCATAGATGGCTGAACACAGTATTTGATATACATTGACACATACACTGACACAGCTATAGATTAATAAGAAGTCTTGCAGTTGATAAGTGTCTACTTACATTGATGTAGTTTACTCGCTAGAGTATGCTTGAAGGCAAATTTTCCCAAAAAGATGAACAAAACAAAGGTATAATTCAACTATGAATCTGGAAAAAGTTAATCAAAAGAAACTCAGAGTACATATACATGTAGCCCGATTCTTTTGCCTTGAGTACCATGATGTTAGCCTTGAGGACTTTACTATTGTTAGCCCTCTAATGGTCTAGGTAACATATCATAACCCTATAATGGGCGTCCGAGGGGGGGGGTGACCTCCCCCCTTTTTGGGCCAATCCCAAGGGATTTCGTTCATGGAGCTAACTAGGAGACTCGGAGGAAAGAAGAACTACGCAATCTGGAAATGAAGTGGAGAAGCTAGGCTTCAAGTGATAGAGACTGCTTTTTAAGTGGACACAGCCCTCTTGGAAAATCCTGGGGATGCCTCTGCATATGCAGTATGGCTACTAGTGAACTTTTCAAAGCTTAACACATATGACTGCTTAGGTTAAGTGAGATTGCAAATAAATTCCATTATAACAGTAGACACAACGCATAGACTGTTATACATTTGCAATGTCACAAAGTGAATCTTGCAATAAAAATATGCAATGATACAAGCTCTCTCAAGTTTTGGAAGGTAGAAACATACATTCATACAATGTACTTCAGATGTTATGGTGGTTCAGAAGGTTGGTCCACACATTGCACCTTTCCATCATTTCTCTACCTCTCTCCTTATACATTTCTCCTTAAACACTTCTTCCTATACAACTCTCCTTATATGGCTCTCTTTAGAGCTACTTCTCTACAGTTCTTTACTGGAACATGTCCTCTAATTGTATTCCAATGTTTCAATCCCTACACACACAGGAACCAATAATCCTTCATATTGGTCAACGTATTGTTCAGTTCCTACGATTCATGATCTAGATTAAACACGTGAATATGAATACTCTCAGTTTCTTCTAGAATTTCATTCATTTATGGTTACATCTTGGTATACGTAAATCACATTGTTGAGAGTTCCGTATTCTGGCCTCATTGGCATTAATTCAATATTATTATGAATGATATTGTAGATCTCATCATCTGAAATAGAATAGAATGTAAAAGATAAACCAGAACAACGGCAACGCCAAAGCGTAGCGAATCCCATCGAACAGCCATGGATGGCATTTTTACAAACAAAGTATAAAGCAAAAATGGCAGACATTTTTCAAAATGGCCACCTTCTACCAAAAGTGTTATTAGAGCATGTGCCATGCTTATAGTATTCATATACCAAATATGAACAAAATCGCTCCACTACTTTTCAAGTTATAGTAAAAAACGTTAAAATGGCGGCCATTTTTCAAAATGGCCACCTTCTACAAAAAATGACATAAGACAGTGTGCCGTGCTTATAGTATTTACATACCAAATATAAACAAAATTGCTCCACTACTCTTCGAGTTATAGTAAAATACGTTAAAATGGCGGCCATTTTGAAAAATGACCGCCTTTTACCAAAAGTGTCATTAGACAGTGTGCCATGCTTATAGTATTCACATACCAAATATGAACAAAATCGCTTCACTACTTTTCGAGTTATAGTAAAATACGTTAAAATGGCGGCCATTTTTCAAAATTTTTTTCAAAATGGCCACCTTCTTTCAAAAGTGTCATAGGACAGTGTGTCATGCTTATAGTGTTCACATACCAAATATGAACAAAATCGCTCCACTACTTTTCGAGTTATAGTAAAATACGTTAAAATGGTGGCCATTTTGAAAAATGGCCGCCTTCTACCAAAAGTGTCATTAGACAGTGTGCCATGCCTATAGTATTCACATACCAAATATGAACAAAATCGCTTCACTACTTTTCGAGTTATAGTAAAATACGTTAAAATGGCGGCCATTTTTCAAATTTTTTCAAAATGGCCGCCTTCTACCAAAAGTGTCATAGGACAGTGTGTCATGCTTATAGTATTCACATACCAAATATGAACAAAATCGCTCCACTACTTTTCGAGTTATAGTAAAATACGTTAAAATGGTGGCCATTTTGAAAAATGGCCGCCTTCTACCAAAAGTGTCATTAGACAGTGTGCCATGCCTATAGTATTCACATACCAAATATGAACAAAATCGCTTCACTACTTTTCGAGTTATAGTAAAATACATTAAAATGGCGGCCATTTTTCAAAATTTTTTCAAAATGGCCGCCTTCTACCAAAAGTGTCATAGGACAGTGTGTCATGCTTATAGTATTCACATACCAAATATGAACAAAATCGCTCCACTACTTTTCGAGTTACAGCAAAAATCGTAAAATAACGAGTAAAGGCCGCCATTTTTCAAGATGGCTGCCATGTGCTTCTTTAATATCTACATTTCTAGCTTTATCAATGTCCTATATAATTTTTTTACATCTAAAACATATTGCTATTACAGTTTTACATATTGCACCTAAATTACTGTAAATTCGGCACTAAAATGGCCGCCATTTTGAAATGAGCGGCCATTTTGAAAATCGGCTTTCAAGCAGAACTTCTACCCCCATAGGGTATATGTGTACAAAATATGAACAAAATCGGGCCAACGGTATTTGAGTTATTGCCAGGACGGACGTACGGACGGACAGAGGCGTTCCCTATATCCCTCCGAACTTCGTTCGATGGGATAATGAGTTATTATTTCTTAATTACTAGTATCTTAAAGAGATAATATAATATGATAATATAATCTGATATGAAATCATTCCATGAATACCACTTTTCCCTGGGTAACACATGTACAATCAAAATAAAATTTATATTTAACAATCCCATATTTGTCAGAATTCTTTATCGAATCCCATATTCAATCATGTGCATATAAGCTAAAATTCTATTTTCAATCCTGTATTCGAATCAGTCAATCTATAATTCAGCAATTTATTTATAGATGTTCTCAAACTTTGCGACGCTATTTACTATCTATATTTAATTATAATTTTCGTTTTGTCATTGGAGAAAATTTTACATTTAGCTTTGCAGGGAGAAATCCTTGTTTGGAACATTCCTCATAAAACTGACAAAAAAGGTTCATGGAATAAATGGGTAATTGATATTTGGGAAAAATATGCATTTTATTCTCATAACTATATGTCATTGACCTAATAAAATATTAAACAGACTTATATGAGGCTATAGCCTTCTGTCCATCGCGATAACCACACCCCCTTGTCATGCCCCCCCCCCCTTGTCTGTCTTTAACTTTCCAAAGTGGCACCCACAAACAGCAGATAACAGGAGGTCTGGTAAACCAGAATGCCTTCTGTCAATATGATATTTTCCTACAATATTGTCCCTCTGAATAAAACCATATTCTTTCCCTCTTATTAAATAACCTCTATTTATAGGTCACCATTAATACTTAAATTTGTTAAATAAATGCTCAATATTCAATACTCACCAAAAATAGCTTTCTCTGGGCATTAAGTTTAACTATTTATTTTTTTGTCCCTACTGATAATCCGATGATCAGGCCAAGTATGGCCAAGATTACAAATACCACGATAATGCAGATACACTTTTTCCGTCTGGCCTTTGACTGCAAGTATATAGTATTTTTTCACTTTATTTCAAATACAAAACATATAATATATTCCTTTAAATGCATTTTAGGGTAAATAAAACATTAAATCTGATGTAACTCCCAACAAAAAAATATGTTTTCCAAATTTCACAAGGCATTTTTGTGATGGAGAAATGTTCTTGTCCTCGTGCATCCCCTTATTATTGCATGATTTTAATACAGTATGTTAATTAGTTTTAATTTGCCTTGATGCAAGACCTTTCTTATAGCTATTACAAACTTTGTCCATTGGGATAAAAGACTGGACACTACCTCCATACAACACCTACACGAGGATGTGAAGTAAATGGAGATGGATTGCAAAAAGGTAAATGCAAAGTATGAGTAGGGATGATTCAAACTTAAGTATACTATACCTGATAGGTCTTTGCCTGGGACAACTGTGAGTTCCCTTCCTCTACATGTATGGCAGCACTTTCAACATTAGACTCTATGCTGTCTGCAAACAGTAAACATCTGATTCATATTTTGAAATCATTATAACCTATATATACCAACAGAATGCAAATGAAAGATGTGTATCAATACTTTTCAATATCAATACTTTTACAGAGTGAAAATTAGTGCCTGGCAACTCTGAGTTGTTTCATAATGTGTCAATGATGAGATACAATGAAACATTTCTGGTACTCGGTTCATCAAAGTATCGCCCTACTCATTCCATGTCAAATTTTATTTTATATTCTGTAACTTCATTTTTACTCAACATATATTTTCCAATAAGATAAAACAAGGCAAAAATGACATGAAAATATCCCTACCAATGGTTTCTCCTTGTTCATAGACCAGTTGGCCTAAGTCTTTAAATATTGTATTCACATCCATAATGTCACCCTTAAAAACAAAACAATAAAATTTTCGATTAGAACATTGTTGATTCAATATACAAGAATCTAACAAAAAATCACGAACCTTAAAAAACATATTATTTAAATATTTTTTCCAAAAATTGAATGCTTTTTTTAATATTAAGCCAAAATACATAATGTTACTCATCATAATGTTACTATTCATACCTCAAGTTTTTTAATAGATTCCTCTCTCTCTTTAATAAGGTCTAAGTCAATGTCTTCCTCCATCTGTAGAACTTGGGCTGTCTGGCTAAACCTGTTTACAGAGAATATTTACGTAGTGGGCAATTAATGTCATAACCAATAATGGCATTATGTCATGTATGAGGTGAGGCAATGGAAATCTTAAAGGACAATTAAGTATTTTGGATTTATAAAGAATAAAACATAAGCATACAGCTTCATTTACATTCCTACTGCTATTTCTTAATACGTGTATCACCACAACATATCTAAGGCTATTTTGGCAATTACTGATGAGAAATGATGAAACATGATGAAGAGCAGTTCATCAAAACTTGCTGGGGAAATAGTCGGAAGTCATACATTTAATCTTAACTTAACTATCTTTACCAGAAAGAAACCTACCCTCTCTCTGGGGATATGAGCTGGTCCGGACTTTTCTTCTCTTCTAATTCTTGGAATGGATTCTGAAAATTATAAAAGTCAAATAAAAAGATATTATTTGTAGTATTAAACGTGATGATAAGCACTTTAAAACTATGTTATATTTGTCCTTTAAATAGAATGTTTTTGTGCACATATAAAAGCCAATTCTATTTTATAAATGAAATCATGAAACATTGAACAATGGTATAAATAGTACACAAATCCAAATACATTTTAACCTCTGAATGAGTTTTCATCACAGAGAATCTTGGAAATGAAAGTATTTTACATTTGTGAAGCACAAAATTAAAACAGGCCTCAACTGCACCATGAGCTAATCTTTCATATATCTGGTATTCATTCTTATTCTGTACACTACTCTGATTTACCTTAATTTGCTAAAACAGCCAAGAGTGCTTACTAGACTTTAAAATTAGAGTGTCTCACTCCAATTCACAATCTGGAAAATTAGCATTTGGGATTTGAGATTTGAACAAAATTTTGAGATTTCGTGAGAATTGAACACAGAATTTTGTGTCCTGATGACCAACATTCAGTCAAAAGATTTTGATTGACTGAAACATTCATACATGTTAGAATCTTACCAGGCCCGAATGCGCTCTCGCTCTCTTTACACTTTCCTTCTCCTTTTCTGCACACTGTCTCTGGGCAGCTTGGAAGTTGTTCAGTGCGGCTGTAAAGTCATTCATCAACCTCTCCTTCATCATCTTTCGTTGTTTCTGGAGTAAAGTTAATGTAATTTACAGTTCTACACAAAGGCTATAGATTGTAAAATACAGTGGGGGATTTAGGATTCAGGTGATGTGCGTCTGATGGATGTCTTCACTATCTTAAAGAAAATGAATTTTTTTGACGTTGAATGGAAATATATCTATGGAATAAATCAAATGTGATAAACTCACTCTAAAGACGGTCTAATGTACTCACTGTTTCAGACTGTGAAATTGGTGTGGGTATGTGGGCTAGGTCTTTTAGAAGTTTTGTAGTTTCCTTAGCTATTTGATTTGTATAGTGTTGCATATTGTGGCTGAAAATAAATCAAATTTACATGTACATCAAGAAGTCCTCCTCGATAAGGTCCATGATAAAAAAAATCAATAACTTAATCAAACGACATTTTTCAATGAATTACAATAAATAGAAGTAAACTTCTAGACAAGAAAGTTCATATCAAATTCAAACAAGAACACAAATGTGTACAAAATGTCCCCACCAAGTGGTGATCCCGTCAAATGGTTATCCTGAAAATGAGTAGACAAGACTTTACCAACACAATTTGAGGACGGAAAATCCAAAGTGGCCACCTTAAAATTTACCCAGAATGCCAAAAATTTAGTCAGTTCTAGATTTTCATACTAAGAACCACCCCTGAAAATTTGAAATTGATCCGTCACACAGTTAACCAGAAAACATGTAAACAAGACTTTACAGACAAGATTTCAGGATGGTAAATCCAAAATGGCTGCCTTGACATTTACCCAGAATGTCAAAAAACTAATCTGTTTGTAGATTTTCATACTAAGAATCATCCCTGAAAATATGAAATTGATCTACCAAACGGTTCACCTGAAAACAGGAAGACAAGACTTTATAGACAAGATTTTAGGACAGAAAATCCAAAATGACTGCCTTAACATTTACGCAGAATGCAAAAAAACTAATCAGATGTAGATTTTGATACAAAGAATCATCCCTGAAAATTTGAAATTGATCTATCAAACCGTTCACCTAAAAACGCATAGACAAGACTTTACAGGCAAGATTTTAAGACGGAAAATCCAAAATGGCTGCCTTGACATTTACCCAGAATGGATATAGTCCTGAGTTAGGACATTAGCGGTTACCGTTAGTGATTTGGTTTTCTGAATAAAAGTCATTTTCTCCTTCCCTACCCCATTGGAGCGCCATCTAGCGTTTGGGAAGTGAATCGGGAATAAATATTTATAGGGTAGGTCCTAATTTATCTGAAAACATGTCAGAGTTCAGTGGGAAATCTCATTTTAAGCTGGCGGCGGAGTGATTTTGACCTTGGTGATTTTACCAGAATTCTCTGAGAAATCTGACGATAGAGGGGGTTAGTGTCTTCAAGTTTATTTATTTCAAAAATTCGGTGGACAACCCATGGTAAGATTGTTATAGCAGGCTAGGCGAGTCTCTCCCGAACACTGTGGTATGTTGCACTAGGCTTGGATACTAATCGTTAATAAGATACAGGGTAAAATGTTATAATGGCCACCTATGGGAAACTCTACTGTGATCTTCAACCTATTAGAAGGCGCTTTTTTGGGGCATTTTGAAGGTTTTATCCCCTTTTGAGGTTTTTTAGTTCATTGAGAAGCCTAATAGCGCATATCATATTAAAGGGCTGTATCTTAGCTGAACAATGCTACCAAAATCGTGACATTTTGAAGCAATTTTGGTGTTTTGGGGGCGAGGCCACTGTGCCAAGTACCCCGAATTCCATTCTCCCGTGCCATTCAATTGTTTTCGGGGCAGTTTTGAATGAACCTTTGTTTCTTCCTACCAGTATGACGTCATAAGATGCAATTGAACGCCTTGGCATGGATATCACTTGAAAGATAGTAGAAATCGCTTTCCAATGATACCCCATATGGCCATGTTCACCTCAGTTGGGTGTACTCAATCTGTGATGCAATCTGTAAGGTGTACCCCTACCCCAAAGAAATTTCAAGAAATCTCAAAATCAAATTTCCTGAATTTTGCTAAAAGGACCTGTGTCTATAAGAATTGAATTTTCCTCCGTGCTTTTTCTCAAATATAGGATTGTTATATACCATTGTGATCGGGATTATGCCTACAATGCTAATATAACCATGTTGGAAGAAAACAAACTAATTCAGTTTACTATTAGAAGGCGCTTTTTTGGGGCATTTTGAAGGTTTTATCCCCTTTTGAGGTTTTTTAGTTCATTGAGAAGCCTAATAGCGCATATCATATTAAAGGGCTGTATCTTAGCTGAACAATGCTACCAAAATCGTGACATTTTGAAGCAATTTTGGTGTTTTGGGGGCGAGGCCACTGTGCCAAGTACCCCGAATTCCATTCTCCCGTGCCATTCAATTGTTTTCGGGGCAGTTTTGAATGAACCTTTGTTTCTTCCTACCAGTATGACGTCATAAGATGCAATTGAACGCCTTGGCATGGATATCACTTGAAAGATAGTAGAAATCGCTTTCCAATGATACCCCATATGGCCATGTTCACCTCAGTTGGGTGTACTCAATCTGTGATGCAATCTGTAAGGTGTACCCCTACCCCAAAGAAATTTCAAGAAATCTCAAAATCAAATTTCCTGAATTTTGCTAAAAGGACCTGTGTCTATAAGAATTGAATTTTCCTCCGTGCTTTTTCTCAAATATAGGATTGTTATATACCATTGTGATCGGGATTATGCCTACAATGCTAATATAACCATGTTGGAAGAAAACAAACTAATTCAGTTTACTATTAGGATATAGTCCTGAGTTAGGACATTAGCGGTTACCGTTAGTGATTTGGTTTTCTGAATAAAAGTCATTTTCTCCTTCCCTACCCCATTGGAGCGCCATCTAGCGTTTGGGAAGTGAATCGGGAATAAATATTTATAGGGTAGGTCCTAATTTATCTGAAAACATGTCAGAGTTCAGTGGGAAATCTCATTTTAAGCTGGCGGCGGAGTGATTTTGACCTTGGTGATTTTACCAGAATTCTCTGAGAAATCTGACGATAGAGGGGGTTAGTGTCTTCAAGTTTATTTATTTCAAAAATTCGGTGGACAACCCATGGTAAGATTGTTATAGCAGGCTAGGCGAGTCTCTCCCGAACACTGTGGTATGTTGCACTAGGCTTGGATACTAATCGTTAATAAGATACAGGGTAAAATGTTATAATGGCCACCTATGGGAAACTCTACTGTGATCTTCAACCAATGCAAAAAAACTAATCAGTTCTAGATTTACATACTAAGAATCATTCCTGAAAATTTGAAATTGATCTACCAAACAGTTCACCTGAAAACGAGTAGACAAGACTTTACAGACAAGATTTTAGGACGGAAAATCCAAAATGGCTGCCTTAACATTTACCCAGAATGCCCAAAAACTAATCAGATCTAGATTTTTATACTAAGAATCATCCCTGAAAATTTGAAATTGATCCACCAAACGGTTCACCTGAAAACGCGCAGACAAGACTTCACAGACAAGATTTTAGGACCGAAAAATCCAAAATGGCTGACAATAAAAAAGTCCTTTTGCTGATTTCTTTTTACAAAATTATCACATATAACTACTGTTTATAATAAAGTAGGCTTTTACAACAAAGTACATCTGAAATTATTTATAAAGCTACTAAATAGTTAAAGTATGAAAACTCAAAAACACCATTCAATATGATACAAAGTATTATCGTGCGCTAACTTTTCTTAAGACATTCAAAATGGCTGACATGACTGAGCTAGCAGGTCCAAAACCTAATCAGATCTAGAATGAAGTGAGCTGAATAAGATGTTAAAGTTTTAAAAGCAACTGTGAAGCAGTTTTTCTTAAAGTTTGCAGACAAGGATTTTAGCATTTGACTTCAAAATGGCAGACAGGAAGTAGGTTTCGAGTAAAATTTTTTTCATCCACATCTATAGGCACTCATAAGTTATCCCTGAAAATTTGAAGGTGATATCTGTAGCGGTTTTGGAGAAAACTCCCGGACGTACGGACAGACGGACAGACGGACGCGCCTAGGCCGACAATATGGCCCCACACTATGTGGTGGGGACATAATAAAAAATTAGTACTGTGGGTACTGGGCTCACATGGTGTTGCTCAAAAGTGAAGTGAATGATGGCTAAAATAACAGAAAATAAAAAAAACGGATATAATTTTATTTCAAGTCACTTGCTACTATTTTGGACTGACTGAGAGACAGATGGACAAATCGATGTTAAGTAAAATGGCTGAAAAAAAACGGATATAATTTTTTGCCAATTATTAGTAACAAAATTATTTCACGAGAAATTTCGCGAGACAAAAATGGCGACCATTTTGAAAATAGGCGAGCTTTTGAACCAAGAGTCACAGGAGAGTTTTTTGTATTTATGTTGAACAAAATTAACTTTAAACGGGAATCCTATCGACAGAGGGTTTAAGGCAAATGGTCCAAAAGTGAATTTTGCGAGACAAATGGACAAATCAATGTTAACTAAAATGGCTGAAAATAAAAAAAATGGATATAATTTTTTGCTGATTTTTCGTAACAAAATTATTTCATACATCTGCTTTTTACATTGACATGGATTTTTACAATGTAGGACACTTGAAATTATTTGTAAAGCTAGGAAATGGGTCAAAAGTGAATTTCGCGAGACAAAAATGGCGGCCATTTTGAAAATAGGCGAGCTTTTGAACCAGGAGTCATAAGGGAGTTTTCTGTATTGATGTTGAACAGAAACAACTTAAAACAGGAATCCTATCGACAGAGGTTTTAAAACGTGCCACTGTTGTAGACGGAAAAGTGGATTTCGCGAGTCAGATGGACAAATCAATGTTAACTAAAATGGCTAAAAATAAAAAAAATGGATATAATTTTTTGCTGATTTTTCGTAACAAAATTATTTCATACATCTGCTTTTTACATTGACATGGATTTTTACAATGTAGGACACTTGCAATTATTTGTAAAGCTAGGAAATGGGTCAAAAGTGAATTTCACGAGACAAAAATGGTGGCCATTTTGAAAATAGGCGAGCTTTTGAACCAGGAGTCATAGGGGAGTTTTCTGTATGGATGTTGAACAGAAATAACTTAAAACAGAAATCCTATCGACAGAGGTTTTAAAACGTGCCACTATTGTTGATGGACGGACGCACGGACGGACAGACGGACAGACGGACGAGTGAGTGATTGCAAAAGCTCACCATGTGAGCTAAAAAGGACACCATCATATATTCACATTTCTTAAAACCTGAAATATTTTATTTCTCATTTTTTATTTGCAAACATGTTTTAAAGGAGCATAATGGAAAAATTCCAAAGTGGCAGTACATATAGCAGATTATTTTAAAAGCATGAAATACAAATAGATCAGTAAATGCAACATTAAACGCTTTATTTATATGAGACTATGTAAGTTTTCTACCAACCTTTTATCCCTCAGATCTTGTGAATCTTGTTGTGTGCCAATTTTGTTGATCATCTGTTGTAATTGTGAAACTAAAAAATAAATCATAATGCATGAAATCTATATGACAAAAAGTCAATGTTTAGGGTGGAACCAAAAAAGTAACCCTATTTTGGAATACTTTCATCAATTATGATAAAACCTTCTTAATTTTGTAAAATGTAGAAATAATGTTTTAATTTTTTAATGCATAAAACAAAGATGCACTAACATAGCATCAATGACATTAATGATTTAGAGAAATTATATTTGTTGTCTTGGCATACTGTCTTTCCAAATCAATGCTAAATGCAGATTTAAAAGTACTTTGCATACCATTTGACGATATTTTCTGTATATTGTTGCCTATGGTCTGTGAAAGTCTAGTATAGTCATTAGAAGATTCCCGGGCTGAAAAATAAAAGAACAAGAAACAATTAAAAACAATGTTGGTCAATTGATTAAGTAGAAGTCCTATCTCTATTCTCATATGTCTCTAGCCAAAGCATTTGGGGGGGAGGTTCTCCCCCAAGAAAATTTGAAAATGAGATTGCATTTGTAGCTTTCTGGGGCATTTAAGAATAGGAAATTCTGACTAATATAGACTAATTAAATGTGAATTATTGGCCATGTTTATCCAATATTTAATTACATGAACCCGTTTTTAAAAAAATAAATTTTTCTCTAAATTTTGAGAGAATACGCCATGGTGTTTTATGCGTATATGACACTACACCAGTGCTTCTTAATGACTTACATTATTTAAAAAAAACTTGAAATGTGAACACCTGCTAATCCAAACACCTTTGGTTGGTCAATGTCTATCATCTGCTGAAGGTTCCAATGACATTCAAAAAAGACGGGTTTTACTTATGTATGATGACATCATTTTTTCAACAAGGGAAGTGTGGCATTGCAAATGCTTGAGAAGTAGAGATTTATACTTACAAGGACCTGACTGATATGAAGAGTGTCCATCAGGTTCATATGAACCAAAGCTTCCTCTTGTAGCCATTGTGTTCAATCTGATTCTTGCCTATGTGTTACGAAGTGAAATGACTTTTAATGACCAGTCTTCAGTTCAAGTGCTACATGTACACTTCCACTTCCACTGAAAATAATAACAATGAGTCATATATCAGGTGACAATGTACTGTAAACTTACAATGATAAAGCAGAAAATATATTTAATACAGACAAAGGGACGTCAAATATGCAGACTTTTTATATTGTTGTATTTTATGTCACAAGACCTACAGTCCCCTACAATCTATCCAAAAACGTCAGAGCATGAACATCTGCATCTTCATCTTCTAATTTCAGAAATAGACTAATTTAGGCAGATAAATACATTGGCTGAACTACATATATGTCCTGATCTCTCTTTTAAGGAAGATGTATACCCTTCATCCAGTACCAGTTAAATAATACATTTGCAATAGCTGATTTATACTTCATTAATTCTTTGAAAAGTGACAAATAATCTATTGAGTCAAAAAAATAAAAATAATTTCCTGATTTTCATGTTTTCTTTCGCGTTAACTTGAAAATCTAAGCCTACGTACCTATTTTAACGATGTATGTAACGCCCTGTAAAATAGCTTTATTATATGATATCAAAAACCCGAGATATTTTATTCCAATTCGATATTTACGCAGAAATAGGAAAAATATTTTTAGTTCCTCCTCTTTCAGGTGGCCATTTTAAGTTGGTGACGTCATTTTCCATTTTTTGCGCAAGTAATCTAAACAATAAAATAAACTTCTTCGTGTTGACTAAATATTTAATAGATTCAAACGTAGTATAACATAAAAGTGCTTTATTAGCTATTCATAAATCTTAACATTAATTCCCATTTTGTGCATATTAATGTAGATAAATTCTACTGCGCCAAATATAAATGATTTATCAATGTTTTCTTATTTCGCTACGGCAAGAAATTCGACCTTGACATTTTACCATCCTAAACAGAAATGGCTGATGTTTTGGGTTACCTTTATGCTGCCACTGTGGCAGGTGGTGGTGTAGTTGGTTACGTGAAAGCAGGTAAATATACTCATGAATATCCATAGCAAATGATGTAATTGTGATCTAAACTATGTATGTCTGGTATTGAACATAATTCATTTACCAAAAGACAGACCAGACTTTGAACAAAAAATACAAGTGCTGAAATGAAAGTGCACTTGAGGAAGTTTCAAGTGCATGTTCTTCAAGTTTATTGATGTTTGATCTTAAAGTCTAAAGGGTCTCCCCTCAAAAAATACTGATGCTGATTTGTTGGATGTGAAAAAAACTGTGCAAAAACAGATACAGTCACGGGCTACTAGAGTTTCCACGTATATGGAGTATGACCGGTTCTTAGGCTACGAATATTACCTGTTTTGGAAAGTCATGAGAGGCACAGCTGCTTAAAAATGGAAAATAAAGGTTAACTTCTATATTATCCTTTTTGAAATTGTGTTTGTTGAATATAGTTTATGCTGTATTTAATAGTCATGTAACAAAAAAATGTTAAACATGAGCTATTTTAGCAATGTAACTGTTCATAATGGAATAACAATCAGAAAGTACAGATTTCTCGCCTTAGAGCCAAATCATTAATATCACAGTAGAAAAAAACAAATCCCAAACCTTTTAATGGCTAACCTGAACAAGATCTCCAAATCTCAGTTTATATGATCCCCCGTAGAGTGAGCAAGAGAAGGATTTATCTTTTCCCAGAGGATACGCTTGTGTAATGTCATGGAAGACATTTCACAACCGTATCCTCCAATAATGGGGCACCAGTGACATTCGTATTCTCAAAAATTCAAAGATGTATCATATTTGGACAGAGCAGGCTAAATTATTTAAAATATTCATGACTAATTCGTAGATCTAGCTATATATTATACATAAGATGTGTCATCCTCTTCAGAGTTGAGTTGTGTAACACAAAAACTGATCAAAGATGCTGGAAACTAGGATTTTACGGCTTCAATCTAATATTAATACGTTTTCTCTTGATTAAGGCCCCTTGTGATATGCCTGGCATTATAAGTATACCAAGTATCATTCATTGACCAAGTAAGATAAAAAGAAAACGTTCGAAAGTGTTCATAAAAAGCAAGTACTCACCTCGTCTGTTTATAGGAACAGAAATACGGTCACACTCGTAAGCTTAGAACCGGTCATACTCAATATACGCGGATATTCTAGTAACCCGTGTACAGTGCTCACCATAAATAAACGACACATGGATTTGCTGAAGTGAGGATTTCCCATTTTAAAAATATAAGAATTTTCAAGTGACCAATGATTGACCATACATTAGTAGTTGAGAGTATACAAAATGTAGAATATACAAAACTTATGGGATGTTATCTCGAGATTATTGGAAAGTATGAAGTCTCAAATCACCATGGTCTTGGCATGGGCTTTTAACTAGAATTGAAAGTCCATGGTCTGGGAATGGTGATAGAAAATCAAGATGCCATTTATTTATGGTGAGCACTGTAAAACTCTCTATAGTGATGAGGACACCAAACTAGGGCTCAACTCCGGATGACAGTGTACATGTACAGTACGACATTTAGTGTGATTATTTCCTCATTATTAAGAAATTCTAAGAGTTTCCAAATTCGATCATTAATTCTAGACATTTAGAAAGCACTTGCTCCAATTACAGAGCATGTCCATCAGTGTAACCAACATTAATTACCCATATTATGTATCTGATAGTTATACAAATTAAAATATGTCCACTGTCCAGTAAAAGAAAATACATGTATTATCTGTCCAATCATGGGCTTTCAATTAGAAGTTGAAAGCCCATGGTCCAATATAAGAAAATATATTTCACTTTTTGTAATTTTATAATATGGGGAGTCTCCCTGAACTTGAAGTCATATTTTCAAAGAGAATTAAATTTTCAAAGATGATAAACACTTTTTAAAACCACATTTCTAGATGTGGATCTCAAATATGATTTCACATTTGAATCTTTAATGACGTAAATCAAGATTATTTCTACTCACATCTAGTCTATTAACATCCAAAAGGAACTGAGGTATTGCCAATCTGTATCTTCCAATCTTTGAGCACAAAAAACAAGTTATTGAGAGTCTAATATTGGAATGCAAGCGAGACTTATGTTCATGATGTTTTGGAGGGGTTTTGATGAAGTGTTTCATATTTCAACTATCATCAAACAAGAACAGCTTAGAGACAGGTTTCACAGAACCTTTTGATGAACATATTCCTTTCATAACATTTAGGCAATATAGCTGTAATAAAAATTGTTTAATTGAATCATATCACATTTAAGATTCAATCAATTCTTTTTTATTTTGTAGGAAGCTCAATATCCCTTGGAATGGGCTTGTTATTTGGAAGTATCCTTGGATTTGGCGCCCACCTGACTTCACAGGATCCAAAGAACGTATGGGTTACACTAGGTATGTATGAAATTCTTTTTTTTGCTTTAGCGTAAGTCAATTACACTTTCAATTTAGAATTGGAAGAATCGATGGACAAATTAATTGTAACAAACATGTGATTTAAAGACCAAAAGCAAGAACTCTGTAAATGGCACTTCGGAATAAAGAGGCCATTTGAAAGAGCTTTGAAAATGTTAAACATAAGATTGTGATTTAGATTTGATATCCCTTTATTGCATCTACATCAGTGCCCGGGCATCAGTGCTGTGTAGTTAGATTTTAAATCTTAGATTAGACTAATAAAAATGTTATCCAGAGAGTCAAATTATTTATAGACATGTCATTCAGACCTTTAACTATTATTAGAAAGTCATCTTCATGAAGTATGGTATGCTATCAAGTTTACACAAAGTTACAACAAAATTTCTTGAAATATTCAAAACTGCCACCACTTTTACTTTGACAAAACTACAGGACTGATAAATGATCTAAATATAGCTTTAAATTTCACTGAACAGGCCCGTAGCCAGGGGGGGGGGGGGTTCGCAGGGTTCGGGCAACCCCCCCTGGCCAAAAACTCTTTCAAAATCATGCAGTTTTTCACCATTTTGTGCACTTCTCAAGTGATGTTTGAAAACTGGCAAATTTTTGAAAACTGGCAATTGGCAAATCCTGGCTTCGGGCATGCTGAACCTTACACCAATCAGTACCCATGTAACCACTGTATAAATATGTATTATTCTATTCTAAACTTTTCACAAATTAAAGATGTCACTTCTTTACAATGAGCAATCACTTTCTTTGAACAACAGAACACTAATTAATGTACATTAACTTTGTAACTGATAATCAGTTCAGGAAGATCAAGTGTAAAAAGAGCTCTGTTATATTGATTAGTGAGTCATATACAACGCAATACCTCATTAATTTAACATCAAATTTTATCGTATCATCACAATCTATGAGGAAATCTTTCACTCCCCGAGAGGTTAACTATATAAACCTTCATGGTGATCCTCAGGGCACATGGGGTAACTCTTTGACATTCGCCATGGCAGTGGACCTGGTATGAGATCTGTTATGAGAATGCCTCCCAAGTTATGACTTGAGGGATGGCAATGGTTGGATTTTTCCACTTTCTGATATGAGAATGGTCATTGAAAATATGTTACCTCACACTTGTGGTATGGCATTGGTCTAGTAGTTATCCATATCCTTATTATCCTACCGAACGAAATTCGAGAGGGATATAGGAAAGCCGTCCGTCCATCCGTTCGTCTGTCCGTCTGTCTGTCAGACCGTCCGTCTGTTTGTCCGGGCGATAACTCAAATACCGTTTCATGGATTTGATTCAAATTTTATAGGCTTATGCCTTATGGGTGTAGGACCTCTGGTCGAGAAGGAATTTTCAATATGGCCACTGAATTCAAAATGGCCTTAAAAAATGTAATCTTTAATAACTCAAATACTAGTTTGCGGATTTGGTTCAAATTTTATATGCTGATGCCTAGGGACAAAGGAGTTTCGCACAAAAAGAGATTATCAAGATGGCCGCTTAATTTCAAAATGGCGGCCATTTTTCGTAAAAATATGTAATCTTTGATAACTCAAATACCAATGAGCGGATTTGGTTCAAATTTTATATGATGATGCTTAGGGACACAGTTGCTATGTTCGACAAAACATTTTCAAGATGGCCGCTTAATTTCAAAATGGCAGCAATTTTTCGTAAAAAAAAACGTTATCTTTGATAACTCAAATACCAGTGAACAGATTTGGTTGAAATTTTATATGATTATGCCTAGGGACACAGTAGCTCTGTTCAAGAAATAATTTTCAAGATGGAGGCTGAATTTCAAGATGGCGGCCCATATTCTTAAAAAACATAATCTTTGATAACTCATATACCAGTGAACGGATTTGGTTCAAATTTTATATGATGATGCCTAGTTCACAATGGTATAAACTAACTTTGTGCCAAATTTCATGCTTCTATCACAAAGTACACAAACATTTCAACATTTACACTAGCTATAATAAGCATAATATGTTTTGTTCGGTGGGATTTGCTACTCCGTGGAGTTGCTGTTTTTCTAGTTTGAGATTCTGTTGGATCATTTGGCTCCTTCTTGTTCTCAGATCCTTCTTCTTTGATATGGCATTGGTCTTATATCTGGATATTTGGTATGGCATTGGTTTTATATTTGGACATTTGGTATGGCTTTTAGGCATTATTTTCGTTGGTATGGAAACATATTGAAATCTGATAGATTGTTATAGGAAGTTAGGAACGTATTAAATTTTGTATACAGTGAACGCCCCGAGTTCAGTCCTATTGTGCTATCATGCTTAAGGATTTTGAGCTATTCAAAACATTATTTTATATTTCTTAGTTCACATACTTTCTTCAGTTCTGAAGTTATATACTTTGTACTTTCTTATTAATTTGACTTAGTTTTATGGCTTTACAGTCAGCGGTATATAGTAAAACTTGCTTGTGTAAACATCTCTCTTATAAGCGAATTTCACGAAAATGTGAACACTTTTTATAGTCACAGTTTGTAAGCGCCATATTGTATGTATGTAAATGCAAGTAGAACCTTTAAATGCTAACAGCCTTCAAACATGATCAGTTCTAACTCGTACTATGTATATGCAGTGTTCACTTTAGACAGGTTTTGCTTTTATTCAGTCGTTGCAATAAGAACAAGGCATTAACATGACAAAATGTCACCACCTAGTTGCTCACAATATTATGAGTTCAATCTTAAAATTTGTTTGATGCAAGTAGAAAAAATACCTTTTTGACCTTGAGAAAGTTGTTGAATGTGAAATCTCAAATCTAAATTCAGATTTAAACTTCTGATAACTTGTTGATGATTTTGAAAAAAATTGAAGTCATTGGAAGTTGTTAGAATTTGTAACAGACACCACCCGCTGATCGCCAACCACCGATCACCAACCTCCATCAGAAAAAATGGAGAGCATCACAAAATGACATCACCTTTTGGTGGTGACATAAGAAGGCTTTAACAATTTCTGGTCTGTTTAGCGGTGCTCTGCACTGGGCTTTCCAATAATCTCCCTTGTAAAATCCCCTTTGTTTCTTACTTAAGGGGTTCTTTACCTTTTGCAAAAGTAAAATAGAAATAAAAAATAGCCTAATCACTAGGTTCAAAAGATTTTATTCCTGCTAAACAGACAATCAACCTTTAGGGGCCTAATATCAAAAGGTATAAATACAATAGAATATTTCAGTGATACGTCTATAATACTACACTGTGCTTTAATATAAGCCTAGAGATCTGAATGACATCAGAGATATAGGCTGCTGCAAAAGGAAATAAAAATTAGGATTCTTTCATAAGGAAATAATGATGAATGTTTTAACAATTTTGATTTGGCTTGTGTGTTTTTACATTACATTGTTTTGTGACAAAGCAAATACAGATAAGAGAGGTTCATTTAACAATAGTGGATATTCAACCAAATATTACCATGAGATCGGTTACATTTATACACAACCTCCCATGAAGACATCAGTTATGTCAATGGCTGCCTATGATATGGAAATAGCTGCCGTTCAATGTTTGTTCACTTGTCAGAAGGAGAATTCAGCGGAAAATTTAAACTGTGTTGCTGTTAATTTTAACAGTGAAAATGGAACATGTCAACTGCTTTCAAATCAGCCTGTTTATAAGTATGACGAGTGTGTTGTAAGTGATGACCACTGGACATTGTATATGGAGGAACCTATTAAATTTCCACGTGATTGTGAAGATATAAGGAAAAGAACACTGGATCAATACTATGAGATTCAACCCGACTTGGACAAACCACCATTTTCTGTGTTATGCGGTATTGGTCCAAGCATGGCTACTTATATTCAAAGTCACAAATCATCAAGCCATTTTGATTTTCAGAATGCGACATGGGCTCAATATCGTGATGGCTTCAGAGTTTACCCTCCTGGCTTATCCTACTACTGGATTGGCAATGAAAATCTCCACACTCTTACAAGCAGTCGTGATTATACCATTGACTTCTTGTGTCGTGTAAATAGAACTTTTTCTCTATTCATACTCTACAGCAGTATTTTAGTTGGCAGTGAAGCAGATTTTTATAGACTGAATATTGGAACTTGTGCATATAGAACTAGGGATATTTTAAATGATGCCATTTGGGTTACAGCCAATGATGAAGCAAAAATAAATGGGTCAGTATTTCTGACACATGAGAATGTTACAGAAAATGCATGTGCAAGGCAGGGTGGCTGGTGGTACAACAACTGTACAAATGCTAACTTTAACACAGCCAATGGTAATATGTTTTGGGGAAGTTATGACTGTTCGTACGGAAAAATAAGGGTATTACGAAAAAAGCCATGATGTTGTAGGTAGTGTGTGAAAAGAAACTTTTCCAATGTTGTTCCAAAAACATTTAAATAGAAAATGAATTCCTTGAATTTAACAAATGTTCATCATCTTAATTAATTTGTATTACTGTCCTCAAATCAAGTAAGTTATTTTGGTTAGTGATTTGAGGAAAGTTATACAAATTAATCATCTTTACCTAACCGATGAATACATTTGGACATATTCATCATCTTAGATTTTAGATTATATTTAGATTATAATTTCAGTGAGCTCTGCTATATTGTATATTATCACATAATTTATTTGCAATGCAGAATTTACCTAGTACCCCAGTCCGAATGTCCAAATATAGGACCAATGCTATACTAAATGTCCAGATATAAGACCAATGCCATACCAAATGTCTAAATATAGAACCAATGCCATACCAAATGTCCAAAGTAGAAAAAGCTAATATTCAAACTGATGAAGGCCCTGAGAAGAAGGCAGATCTATGTGGAAAACAATCCAAAATAACCTCAAATTAAGGATATGTGTAATTACTAGACCAATACCATACCGCAATTGTGAGGTAGCATATTTCCCACAACCATTCTTATTCCAGAAAGCGGAAAAATCTGACAATTCCCATATCTCAAAAGTTTGGGGGCATTCTCATACCATATCCTAAAATTTGGGTCCATTGCCATTCCTAATGCCAAAAAAGGTACCCCATATGCGCCTAGGATCCCCGTCAAGGTTTATACAAGTATACAGTGAACCTCCCAGGGTTCTTATATGAATGGTTATTAAAGGTTAAAGAATTAATCTAGTGGTATCTGATTTCTTCATACTTTTCCTAATTTTCTTATTCATGTTATTTGTTTAAATAAACTCATACAAATACTGATTATTAATACATAATTTGTAAGAACTGTACATATAGATAAAAAATATATAAATAGAAATAGGTTTCTCCATAAGTTCAGAGTTGTATTTAGCTTTTTTGAGTTTAAGGAAGTTGTGCACTGGCAAAAGGTGGCTCATTCAAAATGGCCGCTCATTTCAAAATGGCGGCCATTTTAGTGCCGATTTTACAGTAATTTAGGTGCAATATGTAAAACTGTTATATCAATATGTTTTAAATGTAAAAAAATTATAAAGGACATTAATAATGCTACAAATGTAGATATTAAAGAAGCACATGGCAGCCATCTTGAAAAATGGCGGCCTTTACTCGTCATTTTACGATTTTTGCTATAACTCAAAAAATAGTGGAGCGATTTTGTTCATATTTGGTATGTGAATACTATAAGCATTGTACACTGTCTAAAGACACTTTTGGTAGAAGGTGGCCATTTTGAAAAATTTTTGAAAAATGGCCGCCATTTTAACGTATTTTACTATAACTCGAAAAGTAGTGGAGCGATTTTGTTCATATTTGGTATGTGAATACTATAAGCATGGCACACTGTCCTATGACACTTTTGGTAGAAGGCGGCCATTTTGAAAATTTTTTGAAAAATGTATTTTACTATAACTCGAAAAGTAGTGGAGCAATTTTGTTCATATTTGATATGTGAATACTTTAAGCATGGCACATTGTCTAATAAAACTTTGCGGAGTAGTCGGCCATTTTGAAAAATGGCCACCATTTTTATGTGTGTTATTTTACAAATACGTGTGCGATTTTTCAAAAATTTTAGAGGTGGCTACTGAAAAGCATATTATTTCTTCTGATGACAACTTGGCTAGTGAGCAACTATTTTGAAAATGGTGGCCTTTCTGGTGTGTTGTTTTATGATATTTGCTATTCGTTTGTAAAAATGCCAGCCATTTCTGTTCGATGGGATTCGCTACGCTTTGGCGTTTCCGTTGTTCTGGTTTGATGAGTGTTTAGAATTGAGTGATATCACACATTTGAAAATGTCAATGAAAAGTAATGGTTTTTTTGGAGTATTTTTTTGCACTTAGCAACAAAGATTTCAAAAATTACACTATTCAGTATGCAAAAAATCTGTTATTCAGTTATAAAGATACATCCTCTTTGTGTCTTATATAGGGGAGCACAATATTTTTGGGCTTCAAGTAGAATTGAAACAGGGTAACTCAGATGCGAGTAGGTAGTTGCCAGTTTCACCACCAGGTGGCTCATTCGGGTCAGATAGCATGGCGGATATAGAAGAAAGTTCATATCACCCTTATGTATCTAATAGTTATGTAAATTAAAATATGTCCAATAAAAGAAAATATCTGTCAAATACAAGAATAGATATTTCACTTTTTGTGATAAATAACTTGGGGTTTATCTCCCCAAACTAGAAGTCACATTTTCAAAATATTTAAATGTAAATTTCAAATATGACATCACTTTGACTGAATATTAAATGACGTAAATCAAGATTATTTCTCCGCGCATCTAGTCTATTAGGCCTACATTTTGATGAAAAATTACATTCACTTTAATTAATTTTTAGACCCCAGTGTGTATAACTACCTTAATTAAAGACTAATGAATGTGATTCAACAGTAAATGATACTAAATTCTTCATTCATTCAGCTTAAATGCTTCATCGAATATATACTTACAATTATAAATTTGTAACCAACATTAAAACCTAACAACGCATCAATAACTCAATGTTTTTCATATCTTAGGGATTTTGTAAGTTTTGTAGATTTGCATTAAGACTCTCTTCCCATCTCTCCTCTCACTGGGAGAATAGGAGCAGAATATTAATGCAAGACAAAAGAGCATTCATTTTGTGAAATTTAAACCCTGGGTGCAGAGTCTAGCTCAAAACTATGCTTATTTTTGCCTGTCGGCTACTGGATTTACCTGCTATTTTATGGGCAACTCATTTAAATATGAATAGTACCTGCCACTATTCCATTCATATTTAAATGAGTTAGTCGTGAAATATTAGGTTAATCTGGTAGCCGATAGGCGTTAGTTGCACTCGCGAATACAAGCCAAATGAATGCAAAAGGAATGATACGTATTTGAGGAATAAATAATGATAGGCCATTCAATATGTATAAAATTCAGCATGAGTTGGACAGAATGACATAAAAAGCACAAACTGAATGGCCTGTCTTTATTTATTACGATTCAAACATTCAAAATGAAAACGTTCAGAGAATTGGAATTGAGGTCCATAAAATAACCAAACTTGCTGTTATTTTCGCCATTCCTAGGTGTGACATCACAATGCAACACAATAAATAGATTCCTAGATACAGATTGAATAGATGCACCGTATGCACAGTCATTCATGAGTGGAGGATTAGAGAATCTAGGCTATGTTGATTCTGATTGGTTGACATTCGTATGATGTGAGACTTGACATTCACCAGGAAAGTAGAAACATTTTGTCACCTATGATGCAGATAATTTTTTTACTGCTTAATAAATGATAAATGTCAGTCATATTAGGTTCTATAAGTATGAGGATAGCATGCCGTCTGCTATTTCAAGGTAACTCGTTCGAAAAATTATGGCGGTGATTGAAAAGGTGATGTAAAGATAAAACCGCAAGGAAATATTTGTAAACTATGAAATATACATCACATGTTGAATTTTTCAAAACAGAAAAAAACATGTATAAATAGTAAATCCTTTACATCCAATTCCCCTGGTAGCATTAACATTGGTCTCATATAAGTTATACAATTAATATTTGAAACCCAGCTATCATTTGAACTTATGAACGAAGTTATGATGTGATGTATATTTCTTAGTTTTTCAAAGAAATCTACAAATATATCATTACGGTTTTATCTTTACATCGTAATATCAATCACCGGCATCACTTTTCGAACGAGTTACATGTACCTTGCAGGGGCGGATCTGGGAACCAACAAGGGGGGGCCCAAATCTCAGGTCAGAGAAAAAAAGTTATGCGCTTGCGCGTAAAAAAATTTTGGGCCCCTAAAACCTAAAAGTTGGCCCAAATTTTGAGGCCCATTTTCTTCAAAATTTGGCCTGAAATTAAAAAATAAGGCCTTAAAAGGCCCAGTTATGACCAAAAAGGCCCACTTTTTGGGGCTTTAAGGCCTTTTTTGGCCCATAATATTTTTGGGCCCAATTTTTTTTTTCTGGGCCCACCCAAGGGGGGGGGGCCCGGGCCCCCAGGCCCCCCCCCCCCCTAATCCGCCAGTGCCTTGAAATATCAAGGGAAGACGTCATGCTATTCTCATACTTATAGTACTCAATGTGACAGTCATTGACCATTTATTAAGCAGTAAAAAATTAATTTGCCTCATGGGTTACAAAATGTTTCTACTTTCCTGGTGAATGTCATCATACGAATGTAATTCAAGGTGATCTGTCTGGATGGGATGTTAAAGAACTGTCATATCAGTGTTAGACAATGTGTTATGTGTTTCAGTGGCAGGGGGTATGCTGGCAGGAGTCATGGGTTCTAGGTTCTACAACTCGGGAAAGTTTATGCCAGCTGGAATGGTCATGACAATCAGGTACATCAAATATATATTCTAGATAAGCACATTTTTGCTTTAATACTGTTTGATGGATTGATGCATATTCAATAATACTTTACTATACAGTTTTAATAATAATTATATTCAATCAAAAAAACTACAATATCTCCATTTAAATGTAACATTTTCAGTTTGAATATTTCCCCACCCATTTTGAATTTTTCATGCATGTTACTGATGTGGTCTTTGCCAATGGGAAACTACTCCTGCCTTGTAATTTTTATTGTGAAATATGTAAATGAGGAGTAATTTGATGAGACATTTTGTTCAGTAGGATTTGTTACTTAAGGCCCTAACACTGCAAGGATTTGCTCTTTTTCTAGTTTTGCAAAGTGAGGTCTTATATCAGGGTCCAGGGTATTCGTCCTTACAAAAACATTCAAACGTGAAAATCATTTGACTCATTTGGTGATGATATTTTTAGCTCACTTTGGAATCACCCATTTGTCTTATAACAATATCAGACAAAAGAAAACTTTTATTTTATGGGGGCCCATACTGGTAATTTACGATTGGTCCTTGCTCCCATTTTTGCCTTGTTTTAGAGATTTTTGTTGACAAAATAGCAGAACTGAGGAATCAGCACACGAGTCACCCAAATGGTGGCATTTTTTATGTGGTTTGACAATTGGTTTCTTTTTATTTTCAGTTTGTTGATGGTCGGAAGAAACATATACAGGCTGACTCAGCCATAAATGATCCTTTAGTTAGATGACATTCCACTTACTTCATCAAAAGCTAGTGATTGGATAGCTCTAATAATATAGCTATTTTATGCAATAAACACTATTATCATGTGGTCTGTAAAATGAAGCCCTCTGATTGGTCAGTTCTTGTGCTGTACCAATCTGTATTGCTACTGAGGTTGTCCCCGTCAGTAATGTCCCTGAGAAGCTGTGTCTTCTGACATTTATATAATTTTAGATTTTAACTCTAATCCCCACCTTCATTTCCATTTATATGTGAAAACCTAATAAATAGTAGTACCAATTTCTAAAACCAACTGTATTTAATTCTAAAATGTGTCATACATGTTAAACATGCACTACCATTTGGAATATATTTATTATTTGGCAATGTAAATAAATGAAGTATATGACAAATAAACATGCTTTTTATACTTAAAATGCTACATGTTACGTTATCATGATGCTTTTGTTACGTAGAAGTAAAACAATTTTGACCAATCGACTTAAATCTTTTAACAAACCTTTCTAATATTATATTTTATCAATCTTCAATATGAATAAAACCCCAGTCACACCATTTGTGGTTGACAAATATATCAAATTAATGATCTAAAGAATTTACCAAACCTCCATAGATATACATGTATCATGATCTTAATGTTACAGAGTAGTATGTCTGTGTTACATGAAACGCCAGTGTTAAGCTATTGATTAACATATACTGAATTATTGATGATATGTAAATAATAATAATGTGTTCTCTATTGAATTGCATAATATTTACATAGTGGTGTACAATAGAAGCAATAGATCTTTATGATAAATCCTATGCCACCTTTTCATATAGATGTACTTGTATTACAACCAGCTATGAGTATAACATCATCTAGCTGGCCAATATACAGTTTCTCTGATACTGTAGATACACTTATTTTGACACTGCTTCATTTGACTGATTTGCTCAATATTAGTTGCTATTTAATTTGGCAGATTCAGGACTGAAGTTTAATTTTTGTAGATGTTTATGTCTTTAGGACAGGTGTTTACTAAGATATTTTCTGTATTTCCTTTAGAATAATGTAGAATTGATGACATGTTGACAGGAAAAGGGGCCACTGGATTTTAATTTCTGAAGTGCATTGGACAAAAATTTCAAACTGAAATTTGATGGATTTTTAATTTGGCGGATTTTCTCAATCCGCCAATTCGTCAAATTAAAACGGGAGGCAAATTTAGTGTATCTACAGTATATTAAAAGGGGCAGAATTTATGGGAAAGACCTATTATGTTCAGATGTTAGAAAACTGGCATTTGTACATTATGCTTGTTGGTCTTCATTAATTCCAAGAACCTTTGTTACTGATCCATAGCCAGATGAAGCAAACTGATGTTATTCTCATCAAAAATGGTGGACAAATATTATTCTGGTACCAATAAGCCTTTGAAATATGCCCACATTGCCATATCGCTTGCTCGCTGAAGGTCACCAGCTGCCATTTGTTCCAGACTCCGAATGCCAACTGCCAAATGCTAAACACTGACTGCAGAATACTAACTGCAGAACACCAACTGCCAACAGCTGCCTTAAAAAAGACCATAACAATATGTCACCACTTAGTGGTCTGCTTACGAAATATTTCTTAATATAAAAAAATGACAAGGCATTAACACTGTAAAATATCACGCCGACCGCCAAACACTGTCCACAAAAAAAGTCGAAGACTTAAAACTATAGTCACCACTTTTGGTAGTGACGTAAACCAAGAATATGTGTAATATGAACACTATTGATTAGATTATCCTTTCATCATTTTGTTCAGCCTTTTTATTAATTATGAATGCCATATTGAGTTACAAATAGAGTGCCATTTACATTACTATTAGTAAAATTGATCATTTTTTCAGAAATGTGAAAAGCTAAATAATGATCATGTGACACCATGCATTTGCTTATACTAGCCTAAACACCTGATCTTGCATTTACATCTTGTGATGCTCTTACTCATTATTATGGGTTGACATGCTTATATTCTTTATTCAAAAGTGTATGGAATTTTTCCACTTGAAACAACATGCAGTTTGTTTTCCAGATAGGCCTAAACATCCATCTTGCTGCACCAAGATATAGCCCTACACTGGTCAACATGGGTACTGACACTGTAAATCCTCAATATCAATAATAATCCACGTTAGGGTATGGACATGAAGAAATGGGTAGGAAATGTAGGGATCGTAAGAAACTGGTCTCACCTTTTGTTTTAATCCAGTTGACAAAGGACACACAAATTCTTCATTCAGATTTCTCAGTCAACTCAGTCAATTTCTTGAACAATAGTCTTATATATTAGAAATAGAACCATATGAAAGGTTTATTAATTCTTAAAGTTCTCTTAATCTACTACACACATTTATTGTAAAATGGTACAAGTCAATATGGCCACAAAAAATGACATTAAAATGTGAGTTTTTACCATTAAATGGTAATCATACTCACATTGTGGAATGGGCACCATATACAAGCCACCTATAACATTCTCAGCTTTTAAATGACATTACATGTATGTGAATTGAACAAACAATCACTGAGGTTTCACTGGAGGATTTACATCTGTTACATCTGTATCCGATGGATAATTAAGGACGAGATCATTGAGTCAATGGGTAATTCCAATCCATTTCTTCAATTCTATGGTAAGGGATCGCAATACTCATGGTAACATAAGAAAATGTTATAGGACAAAGAGTTTAGTTTGTTTATTTTCAACAGATTTTTTAATGAGAATGGTTCAGTTATGTTAAGTTCATGTACTGATATTATTTCTTGAGAATAAAAGTTTATCTGGTTTTAGTCTTTTTAGTTTTATTTTCTGGCATAGTCTCTGCACTTTTCTGAATTTTCTTTCTTTTCTTCTTATTTTTCTTTTTTGTGGTTCTTTCACCTGGAAGTAGATTAATTTCAATTTCAAGGTTTATTTAATTGTATGTTCTTAACATTTTATTTATATAAAATTAAAATTCATTCAATATTCCTATGATTTCACTGAGTTCAGAACAAAAGTTAGAGAATAGTCAGGCTTGTGCCCAGGATTTGAAAATACACATAGGCTATTGAAAAGAATTGGCATTAATTTCAACTATTGATAGTCACAAGGTAAGTAATTTTTTATGTATCCTTTGTTATGCCATGTATGTTCCAACATAATGTATCACTTGAATCAATACAGCTACATTTGTATGTTGCTAAATTGCAGATTTAAAAGCACAAAAGTTATCCCTACCATTGCTATCATCATTTGTTTCTTGCACAGCTTCAGTTTCCTCTTCTGATTGTTCCTCCTTCACTTTAGATGTACCTATAGATGTCTCTATATCAATGGCTGTAAGGCAGGTCAGTCTGAACTTTGTATCATGTTCCACTATCAGCTCACAATCTGATTGGTCAACCTAAGATAACAAGATTTTTTAAGACTTATTACGCCTAACCATCGATCTATTAACGTAATAAGGAAGTTGAAAGTTAAATCTTTTAAAACCTACATCACAATTTTTGCTTCAAACATGACAACATACAGCTAAAGTGTACAACCATATATTTTGTCACTGTACATTGTTGATGGTTAGCCGTGTGCAACTGATATATACGAGTAAATAAGCATGCTTGAAGTAAGGTTTCATCTGGAAGGGGGAAATAATTTCCCAGGCACATCAAATGTTCAAAGTAATGAGATACATTAAATGTCCCTTTAAGTCACCAAGTACAATTTAGTCATGTCTATTCAACCTATCACTTTCAAAGTTGAACGAAATTGTTTTTCCTCAGATTTTGTCATTTCTGACCCAAAAATAAAATAAAATGATTTTGAACTGAAACGTCCAGTATTTTTTTACCTAATTGTGCTCCCTCAAAGCCAGTAATATTGCCAGTTGAATACATACTAAATTCAGTATACTTAATTACCTTATCTGTATCTAGATTATAAACTTTAATATAGCCATCACTGGATGCAGTGACCAAGTGTGATCTTTCCGAATGGCCTGGTTTTTTCCTAACACAACATAAACCACGAACTCTACAAAAAAATGTAAAAAACAAAATGGCTAACATTTATTAAATGTAATGCTTAACTGAGAAATTAACATCTCAGAGGTAAATATGTAACATAGACATATTGTACATCTACATATACATATAATGAAATTAATAATATTTGAATTTACCAAATTTCCATTCTGGATTTACACACATTCTAATGTTTCTATCTTTTGATTTCAGTGATCAGGGCTGTATTATATCAAATAGAATGAACATGGTACCTTGCATATGCTAGTATTGTAGGTAGTGTACCAAAATTATACTTACCTATTAGTCTTTGTATCAATTTGTTTGATCTCTCTGTTCTCAGATATGTTGTGTATATAGACAATACCACCCTCTCCAGTGTATACAATCTCCTGACTCTAATAAGAGAATAATCAGATGTAATACAGTGAAATAGTTGTCTAGGGGATGGGTTGTCCAGGGGATGAGTTGTCCAGGGGATGAGTTGTCCAGGGATGAGTTGTTCAGGGGATGAGTTTCAAGGGGATGAGTTGTCCATAAGCCAAGAGAAATATACAGCATAAAATATAGTATAGGGATATTGTTTATTGTATCTTTATTTCCCACATCGGAGATACGAAGCAAAAATGGTTTTTACATAAACAATATCAGATTATAAGTAAGCTTACATAGAAAATACATAGAATAGAAAAAAAGTATTTACATATCAGAATTTTTTTAATAGACATTGAACATATGCAAGTTTTGCATTACTATTATGATATTCCTAATGCCCAGGCAGGATCTGGATCAACCTACATAGTAACATATTATACATATTCTATCAAAAAAAATTAAGGAAATTGTACCAAGTTGTAATAAGTTATCTACATACAGTCCTGGGTGCCCCAAAATAAATATTGTATCCAAAAAATGAAACAGGAATAAAAAAGAGAAACAGAAGCATGAACTTTACACATGATATAAAGAGAATTAATTTTCAAACTAAATAGAGTTACCTTTTTGTGAAACTTTCAGATATTATACGATAAATAAAATAAGTTGTCTGCCAGATTTCAAGAATATTCCTTCATCACTAACATACAAATTCCATGTATTGTCTCCGGTAGAATTCATTTCGAGACACCCTGTATATAATATGGTACCATAATGACTTACTGTCAGAAACAATGCAGCATAAATCCTTCCTGGAGCCTGCATGGAGCAGCAAACTTTGGCAGTCTGTAACAAAAATGAAAAACATGTGTAGGGTGTTTCAAAATGATCATGTCCCATCAATAACCAATCTTAGATGAAAACCTTTATACTGATGTATTTATATAGGGGCGGATGGTTTAGGATTTGCTGTGGATGGGTGATAGTCATTATGAAACAAACTGTATATGTGGGTCTGCTTTTTGCACATTGTGATGACTATATTTGGGCCTTACCATTAATAACATTGTGTCCATTGAGGTAAATGGCAAAACACTAATTGAAAATCTTCAGAATTTATTCTGAACGATCTAAGTTTAAGGTCATGAATGCAGTCATTTTTGTTTAAAGATATGTTATTTAATCCTTACCTCAGTATTGTAAACATCTAACTTTTTATCACATATCACTGCATATCTATCACCATCTTGAGACCATACAACCCCATCACCAACTGAAACAAGAAAACACTTTGGAATTCCTATTATAGAGTTGGAAACCTCCTATTACAGAGTTGGAATCCTTTTGTTGGGTCTAATATGCTTATGATTTCAGATGAAATATATTTGTTTTAGCATCTCAAATATATACAGGGTGGGCCAAAAAATGCCACTTTTTTTCAAGACACTATAACTTTTTCATTTTCAAACCTACATACACCAAATTTCGCAGTGCCAGGGGCCCTAAGTAATAATAATAATGTAATAACAAGTTCAACTTGGATTGTATTTGATCTAAAAGAGGAGTACAATTGGTCAGCCACCCTCTTTAATGATAGCCCTAAGTCTTAGTCGCCATGTTGATATAGCAGTATCAATGAAATGTTGACTACATTTGTTTTAACCTCTCTTAATTGCCAGCTTTAGTTGAGCAATTTTTGGGTACCTTTACACCATCTCCTGAAGACCTTCCCATACCTTATACTCACTGGGACTTACATCAGGACTTTTTGCTTTGTGATCATCAGGCCCTATCAGTTTAGATACATTATGAAAATTCTGTTCATTTCTCATGGCACACCACATGTTTAGGTGAAATGCTGGTGACATATTTCTTTCAAGTGAAAGTGAACAATTCACAAAGAATGAATAGATTGCATCTTCAAGTTTGATTTGGTATAGCAAATTATGATTTTGGATCAAAAATTAAAAAGTTTTAGCATTTTGAAAAAAAAAGTGGCGTTTTTTGGGCTCACTCTGTATATTTATATTGTTCTTCTGGCTTTTTATATTTTACATGTGATATTAATGACAGTCACCCATAATTCTAATATTATAATTTTCTGAATCCACATACTGTTTATAAATATGATCTGTTTGCTAATTCAACTAAGTGGCTTTATTATTTATAATCTATCGTTACAGTGGCATAAAAAGGTCATATGATCACTGATCACTGTTAGACTGAATGAATGTTAGTTAACAAACAGGTTGTTTTTTATTTCAACTTCAAAATGTCAGGTTTAACTATGTTAATCCAGTTCAACTAGCAGTTGCATTTAATATTGTAGTACAGAACACCTTCTCTAAAATGAGACATTTGGCAAGATTGGGGACAAATGGTGTAAATTACAAGTATGGGCCCCAATAGATATGAGCATTAAGCTAGTTCAGTCAATTGCCAGTTCCATTTGACCAAAGTTGTTTAATAGATATATGAACAGATGGAAGGATAGACAGATGAATGAACACTGTGCAATTCTATAAGCTCACCATGTGAGCTCAAACAATAGACTAGATGCGAATAGAAATAATCTTGATTAACGTCATTAAATATTCAAAATTCAGTCAAAGTGATGTCATATTTGAAATCTACATGTAAAAGTACATCTAGATAAATGGTTTCGAAAATTGTTTATCAACTTTGAAAATTTATTTTTTTTGAAAATGTGACTTCTAGCTCGGGTTGATTCCTCATAGACCCCATGTTACAAAATCACAAAAAGTGAAATATCTTTTCTTGTATTGGACAGATAACATTTTATTTTACTGGACATATTTTAATTTGCATAACTATTAGATACATAAGGGTTATATAAAAATTGAGCCACTAAAACAGATGTAATTTAAGTTAAAGGTAACTTTCTACTATACCCGCCATGTTATCTGACCCGAACGAGCCACCTGGTGGCGAAACTGGTAACTACCTACTCGCATCTGCGTTATTGAAAGGTTTTAATAGTAAGGCAATTTGGATTCAATGGTAATTTTTGACTTGTGTTTTTTTTGTAACTAAGATGTGTTCAATTATATCCATATACATTTACTTGACACCAAATACAGTGTTTTTTGCAATGGTCAGTCTACATAGTGTCCTGAGGACCTTAATCAGTACTTGACCTGTTCACTGCTAAAACTGACATTTTATCTTTTTTTGGTCATCATTCTATACATACTTAAATGTTATTCAAACAACCCTGAATAATAAAATGTATGAAGAATACATTACATTTAACTTTTTTTATGAAATGGTTCCTGATTTTCGACTTTTTTTTATATATTTTTAACACTAGTCACTGTTAAACTAAAATCAAAACCAATTAAAATTTGTCAAATAGTGAATATGACTATGCATCTCCTTCTGAAGGCTTAATGGAAGCTGTAAAGTCCAACAGAAGTGCTTTTATTACTATTTTATTGAATGGTCTACGCTGATAGTTGGGCTTGGACCATTCATGATAATTCAATGTTAGAATACAACAGAGAAAAATGATGAGAGGAATCCCATTTACAATTCTAATCTGTCTGGTTCTTGAGGAAGTCAATGGTGGAAAGGTAACTGCACACTGTAGGCTACATATTTTGCTTTTAATTGAACTCAACTTTGTGAGCTAGTATATTTTTATATATCTTAATTCACCATTTTATTATCTAAGGTAAGTGTGCATGCTTGGATTTTTTTGCAATTTTGAAAAGTAGACCACTGAATATTCAAGTAATCCATACATTCTTAAGAATAATCAACCCTAAATTAATAATCTAGGTATACTAATGCACCTTTTGAGCAAAAATTAAATATGTTATGGATGAACGGCCAAGGGACGATAGCCCCGAGGCTATTATTAGTGAACAAAGAACCATTCTATACTCATTTCAAAACATAAATTAAATAAACATTAACAAGGTTACAGCAATTTGAGTGAAAAATAGTTATTCAGGTGGTTAATCCTCTAAGCACCCTGATCACAGTACTGTTTAGTAGCCATGTCCCAAGACAAGTGTTGATGGCCATCATACTGAGGGTATATAAATCAATTCAAACTCATCACACTGATATTTTTCCAACGGATCATAAAGCAGAAAGAAACATTTTACAATGATATTGATAAAGACTGGGTGAACAATATTGTCAGAGTAAATTACCTTATATAGAAAATCATACATGTATTTTTGAGGAAAACAAGCACTGGTTCTTTCAGCGAGTTCAGAGGCTAATTCTCTTAACCTTAAAGAATATAGACAATGTTGAACAATGTGACGTTTATCCTCTATTCAAAGCTTGTATGTTCGATCTTTCATTTTAGGTGCTGATCCAACCTTTTCCACTGTTTAAAACATCAAGAATTTCAGCCATAGAGCAGATAGCATTGATCCTCTCCAAAGCTGGCCACAGTGTTACATACTTCGTCCACACAGAGTATACTTCCTCTGAAATACTCCAGGCAGCAGCAAATGTTACCATAATTAAGTACGACTACCCAGTAAAGGATCTAACATACGATCTTGGAGAGAGTTCAATCCAGGGCCTAATGTCAATGACGATACTTGATGAAATGGAAATTATATTCAAACGAGGACAGCTGTATGACACATACATTAACTATTCAATACCTGCATATTTCTCAGAAATGAGTCAATGGAGAGGACTCAAAGCTCAAAACTTTGACTTAATAATATTTGACAGCCTGGATTTTGCATTGGGAAGGCTCATGAAAGAATATCTCGACAGGCCTGCTATACTTTGGTCAAATGCTGGATATGAAGTCCATTATGACAATTGGTTGATGCCATTCCCTGTATCATACATACCAAATTTATTCATGCCATACAGTGACCAGATGAATTTCGAAGAACGAGTGATTAACACATTTTATTATGTTTTATTACAGTATCATTACATTCCATACTGGCGAGATATGGTAGATGAAAGTCTGGCAAAAGTGGCTGATAAGCTTGGACTTTCACGTGATATCAATCCTGTTCTCAATGATGCAGACTTGATTTTTATCCAATCCAACTCAGCATACTTCTACCCTCGCCCTATTATGCCTAATGTTATTCCTGTTCTTGGACTGAAAGACCGAGATCATAACCCAATTGATCAAACATATGTAAATTTTATAGATGGTGCTGATGATGCTGGTTTTATTCTTTTCACATTTGGTTCAATGCCAAAGGGAATGGATGAGAAACGCAGAGAAATATTTGCTACTGTGTTTGCCAGACGAAAACAACGGGTTTTATGGAGATATGGTGGCCATCGTCCAAAATCACTTGGCAATAATACAATGTTATCACCATGGTTACCACAAAACGATCTTCTGGGGCATCCAAAATTGAAATTATTCATCACTCACTGTGGAGCATCTGGTTCAGCTGAGGCTGTTTTTAATGGAGCATCTGTTATTGTATTTCCATTATTTTATGATCAGAGACATCACTGTGCAATTCTGACACAACGTCATAAAATGGGTTTAACTTTATCATATGCTGATGTGACAGAGGAGACATTATCAGCAGCATTAGATGAGGTCCTAGGCAACCCACAATACAAGAAGAATGCTGCAAAGGCAAAGAAACTAGCCCGAGACCAACCCATCAATGCTACCTATACCATACAGTATTGGTGTGAATACATTATGAAGCACAAAGGCGCACATCACTTGAAATCAACTGCCACGTTTGAACTGAACTTCTTCCAGTACTTCTTGCTAGATATACTACTTCTAACTTTCATAATTGTAGTGATCTTCTTGGCTATCCTATATTGCACCATTAAACATGTGGTAATGTACTTATGCAAGTCAAAGAAACTGAAGACTGCATAAGTTCACGAAAACCCATCTAATCAAAATTTCAACATATGGCAGTCAATGAGGGAATACAAAATATGGTTAGCGAAAAAATGTTCACATTAGGGGTGTTCAGATTAGAGAGGTGTTTGGGCTAAACAAGTTTTACTGTAATTCTTTATTTTTTGGATCAGATGATTAAAAACAGTTTAACAACCCGTAATAGGATTCTACCTCACATATTCTAAGTACCTCAGTACAAAAATGAATGTACACACTCCTGATTTATGTCAGAAGCCTATTATCAGTTATGATCCCAATATGAAGCTCCTGAAAAGGTGTAAATGCCCTACACTCGTAAAAATCATTTTTCATATAATTTTTATTATAATTCTATTAACATATTTTAATGAAGGGTTCTAATAATTATCTAAAATAGTCTAAATACTGACTCAAATGCCTGTTACTACAACATATGGCTTCTTTTATTCAAATTTTCTAAAAAAAATATTTAAAAAAACAACTCTGATCGACGGGTTGGAGCAATTGATGGGGTGGAGCAAAATGATTTCATTAAATATTAAAAATAGTACCTTTAACAGTAGGACTAAGAATAAGTTTTTTGCATATGAAAGAAATAGTCTGAAGTATGTATTTTGAATTTTCCATGTGTTAATTACAGAGAATACAGTAAAGTCAATCATTTTCAAAAATACCTTGTTTGATGTTGGTAGTAAAGGCTGCCCTTCCAGTGACAAGATTCCAAGTTTTCAATGTTTTGTCTTGACCTACGGAGAGTGCAAGCTTTCCACTTGGATGGAAAGAAACAGCATTAACAAAACCCCTGAAAATAGAGAAATCATATCTTGTAATTTTACTGGAATTATGAAAACCATATACTTTCCTAACATAAATTACTGCTGAATAAAAAAAAATCCTTTGAGTAGGTGTGATACTATTATTTTGCCCTCCAAATTTTTATTGCTACATGCTTTATTTCACATTAAAATGAAAAAGGAAAATATCATGGCAATAAACAAACCACAACTACATAGAGCAAACCATATAGATCCAAGTTAATTGAGGTTATGTTTGTTTATTCATTGCGACCATGCTTCATTGAATGTCAACAAAATGTTAATTACTTACATCTGGTCATAAAATAATAATAAAATAATTCAGTTAATGTGAAGTTAATTTATTTAGTATCAGCGGATCTTAAATTCGCAAGTCGTGCAGTTTTTGGAGACTCATGCTTAGCTAGGATGAGAATGACCAATAAGAGACATATGTTTGTTTTAGCAGCGACTGTACACCTCATCATCATTACAAACTTAACTTGTGAAGTCCAAGGCTTAAGTAAGTACATTTTAATAATGATTTAGGGTGAAATAATCCAAATCAATTTTGTTTAAAGGTAGTATCAGATCTAGCAAACTTGCGAGAATGTATCACTAGACTTGTCAATTCTATTTTCCTAAAATCACCAAAGTGTTTATTTGATTTGAGGAAAACTTAAGATTTTTAAAATTATGTATTAATTTTTCTATAAGTATGGTTACCATATTTATTATTTAAGAGAATTTAAACATTTTCCCCCATTTCTACAATTTGAACATAAACAACTTCACTTCTAATAAATAGATTGTTAGTCTCAATCAAAAAGCAATCAAATGGATTGGTACCACAGACAAATCTTACTCAAGATGTTCCCTGCACTTCTCAACAAAAAGTTATAACAAAATGTTGATGTTACAGATGGATGTGAAATATCTCCCAATAAAACCATAATCTTTGGGAGAAAATGGTGGTCACGACCAGATTTTTGTATCATGTGTAAATGTACAAGAAAAGAAGGCTTGAGTTGCAGATACTATAAAGGAGGTAGAAAAAAATGCAGATATGGGTGTCTCCATGGCCCCGTAATATATAATGTAGGATCTGAAATAAGTAGAAATGAAAAGCGTGTGTGTGAGTGCACAACAGGCAGAGTCATAAAATGCTATGGTAAGCAAAGTACTTGAGGATATTTAAAAACAGTATGTTCTTCATCAGAAAATTGAATTGCACAAGGAATTAGATCTAGCAAATAATGATCATATGTGATTTTATTACCATGATAGTATTTAGGACATTTCATGATATCAATGTATATAACATGACAGGATTGATTTACATAATTTCATAAAGACAGATCTATGTGTTTTCATTTTAGAAAGAGGCCAATTTGATTGGATCAAATGGGCACCTTGGAGTGAATGTGCTAATTGTAAAACACATCCCTCTAACCGCAAGGTGCGTCATCGCATATGTGTTGATACACTTGGAAAGGAGGTAGATGCTGCTCTGTGTGAAGGAGATGCAAGAGATATAGAGCAATGTTGTAATAGAGGTAACCTCTAATCTGTAAATGATTGCTCCATTATTGCTCCTATCAATTAGCTGGATATATCTACATTTTAACTCATGGCAAAAGATTGGTTCAATACATTTATAATCTTTGAAAATCCTGAGATTTAAGATCCCATTCTTTTTTGTCTTTTAGGAGAATTCCCTTGGGTGATTTCATTAACTGATGAAAAAATAAAACACTTCTGTGGAGGAATTATTCTTTCAAATCTATGGATCCTCACAACTGCACAATGCATATGTGCATGGAGTCAAAGCAGCTGTTGTTCAGAGCAATATCAATTGAAGTAAGAACCTTTCCATTTTATCCATTTCTATTGAATTTGAAACGAATGAACACTATATAAATCATAAATCTGTACAGTCACAATCTAATATTTATCATCTACTCTTCCTATCCCTTCAATAAATATTTGAAATCATTGTAGTATCATGTAACCATACTTTCAAGATAACTCTAAATAATGGCGAATTCCTGCTCTAGACAGCCATTTTGAATTTTCACGAATCAGAAAATCAAAACCATAATAATACCATGTGATCTACTCTGAAATTCCTTCAATTTGAGTATAATATAGCCTTACTTTTAAGAGATCAGAAAATAATTATGAAATCCCATATAAGGGGGCCATTTTGAATCTTACTAGGCCCGAATCAGAAAAACAATACAATATTTGCAATCTACTCTAAATTGCCTTTCATTTGAGTATAATGAAGCTATACTTAAAAAACATCTAAAAATTAACGCAAATTACTGTTTTCTCAACCCCCCCCCATTCACTGTCCCTGGGGGTCAGGGTGAAAAACATGGGATATATGTTAAATAGATAGATGTTTTGAATATACTTCCAAAATTTGCTAAAACTCTCCCCATTTTTAAAGCAGCAGCCATCTTGAACAATTTTTTTTGCATAAAACTATTCACCAATATACATCTTTCCGCTAAATATGAAGAAAATCAGTCAACTAGTATTCGAGACAGACGGACGGACAGTTGGACTTCTTATAATACTGACTGTCGGACTGACTTACTAACTGACTGACGGATGGATAGACGGACGGATGGAGGGCTTCACTATATCCCTACTGAACTTCGTTCGTTGGGATAATGAGATATACCCTCACCAATTACAAGCCTCCATGATGTTATAGTTAGTTTTAGTTAGTTACATACTTTATTGTCAAACTATGATACATAAATTATACATCAACTGACACTTTAAGAAGTGTATGAAGTTGTTTTAGTGACAAAAAAGAGAATTCAATAATAACTATACATATTGATAGCTTATGTATGCATCTTACTTTATGGCTAGTGGTGGTGGGTTGTGGCTGCCAATGTGTGTTAACTCTATTTTGGTTTAGGAAAATGTATGGATGAAAAGGTAGATGAGGTGGACAGTATAGAATTATGTTTCAGCAATTAAGTTTTTCTTTCTAATTATTTTAAATTGAAGTAAAGAAGGCAAAAATCTGACGACATGATCAGATATAGAATTCCAGATTCTTGGACCCTGTACTTTGATTAAATATAACCCAATTTTTGTTTTGTAAGCCCTGTCATGTAAATCATGACTTCTTTTGGTAGGATAATTGTGAAAATATTTATTTTGATAAAAATAATCATTATATAGTTTTGAATAAACAGGTTCCTGGTAAATACAGCAATAGACAGAATTTGAAACTTTAAATTCATACACCTGGTTTTCAGGTAAAATGTTGTATTGCTTAAAGAAGGTGCTGAATGTGCCATTCTTGGCTGGTTGTCTAATATTCCAATTAATCTCTTTTGAAATAGAAGTAGGGAATGCAGCTCATTTGTATGAGCATTGCTATTATTAGGAGGCCCCATCGGGGGGCCTCCTATTAATTTTGTAGATATTATTCTTTATTATTATTATTCTTTATTATTATTATTTATTCTTCCCCCCTCTTTTTCTCCTACTTCCAACTACCTTTCAACCATCTTTTACATGCACCTTCCAGGGACATTGGCTGAACTTAGCGGGAAAGAATTTTTTATCTAGGTCAAGGTCACAGGTCAAAATCTAGGTCAAATCAAAGCTTTTTTCCAGTTTCTCAAATCCTGACACTACATTTCAATATTTTTGCCTGAATTTTTGCATACAGATAGATATTAGTATTCTATTAGTGTTAGCCTTTTGCCGTCTAAACAAATATTTAAAACTCATCTACAAGTTCTCAGGATTCCAAATCTGACCTTACTTTTGACCTTTGACCTTTGGTTGACCTTCAGTGACCTCCGAAAGGTCAAAAAAGTTGATTTTTCAAATCGATTTTCTGGATTCAAATTTAGGTATATTTATTCACAAAAGACCTTCTGAGGTCTAAAAAAGTAAAATTTGCGAGGTCAAAGGTCAAGGTCATCAAACGAAATCACAAACTGTGTTTTCTAAGTTTCTCAAAATTGGAGACTACAAATCAATTTTTTTTACTGAAAGTCAGAATATATATTCCTTTAAAGGTTCTACACATATTAGCAATTGACAATTTATTAAAATTTTGCTCCAGTTATGAGATATTAGAACTCAAAAACTGAAAAAAGTCAAATTTCGAAATTTTTCAAGGTCAAATTTCAACTTGCTCTAAATTGACCAAACTTTTTTTTAAAATGCATCTACAAGATCTCAGGAACTCAAATCTGACCTTCGTTTTGACCTATGACCTTTACTTGACCTTCAGTGACCTTCGAAAGGTCAAAAAGTTGATTTTTCAAATTGATTTTCTGGATTCAAATTAAAGTTTTTTTAATCAGAAAAGATATATTGAGGTCTAAAACAGTAAAATTTTCAAGGTCAAAGGTCAAGGTCATCAAACGAAATCACAAACTGTGTTTTCTTAGTTTCTCAAAGTTGGAGACTACAAATCAATATTTTTAAATGAAAGTCATAATATATATTCCTCTACTAAAGGTTCTACACATATTAGCAATTGATTATCTATTAAAATTTGGCTCCAGTTTTGAGATATTATAGCTCAAAAACTGAAAAAAGGTCAAATTTCGGAATTTTTCAAGGTCAAATTTCAACTTCCATTAATTCGACCAAACCTTTTTTAGAAATCATCTACAAGTTGTCTGGAGTTCATATATGACCTTGTATTAGAGATTTGACCTTTGGCTGGCCTTTGAATGTTCAGAAACGAATATAGGGCCTCCGTAAGATTGCTTGCAATCTTAGATCGTTAGATCTCTAGTTATTAATTATATGGCCACCCCAGATTGAATTACAGTAATTTATATGTGAGTATATCAGGGAATTATAGATTGCCAAAAGACTTGTTTTATTCAATAGGTGGCGAATCTTATATAAGAGACCAATTGTTCTAGATATTTTGCTTCTATATGTTCTTTCCAGGTAATATGTTCATCAACAATCACACCTAAAAAGTTGATAGATCTTACTCCTTCAATTTGTTTCCCGAACATATCAATTTCAACATCTCTAAAGATTTGTTGTTTCTGTTTATTGAACAAGATAAATTTTGTTTTAGAATAGTTTATTGACAATTTATTTGCTTTGAACCAATCATCCATAAGATCAAGTTCATCATTAACCTTTTCTATTAGAGATTTCAAATCTTTATCTGAGGCCAACAAATTAGTGTGGTCCACAAATATTATGCTTTTAAGAACATTTGAGACTTTAAACATGTCGTTTACATGTAATATGAATAATATCCGCCCAAGGACTGAGCCCTGGGGCACACCGCGTGATATACTTTGTAAATCAGAGTCAATATTGTTATATGATACAATTTACTTTCGATCTTTTAGATATGATTTAAAAAGAGATAGCTCAGATCCTTGAATTCCATAAAAATTTAATTTATCTAGAAGGATTTTATGATTAATGGTGTCACAGGCTTTAGACAAGTCTAAATAAAAAGTATAAAAAGTACCAAGCAAATATTCATTGTTCTCCAGCACATGTCGTATGTTTTCAACAAACGTTAAGATTGCCATAAAGGTAGAGACATTTTTCTGAAAGCCACACTGTTGTATTATAATATTTCATTTTCTGTGATAAAATTACAAAGCCGAAAGTTAATAAGATTTTCTAGAAGTTTAGAAAAAACTGGCAAGACTGAAATTGGTCTATAGTTTGAGAAATTGTCTTTATGAGCTTTTTTGAAAATTGGTGTTATTTGAGCTTTTTTGAGTTTATCTGGGAAAACTCCCCATTGAACGGATTTACAGTATTAAATATCAAAAGTAAAGGATGTAGTTCATTTTTTGCATGTTTTACAATAATTGGTTTAACATTATCAAGAAATGCTGCCTTATCATTCAAAGTTTGTATCAATAATGACAATTCTGTTTCATCAACTGGTGTTAAGTGAAATCTATTTTCAAAATTTCTAATATTACAAATATATACATTTGGTGTTCTGTTTGACTCTTAAATTCAAGAGCTTAATTTCAATCCAATTGAAGAATGAGTTGAATTTATTTATCAACTTTTTATCATTTACTGCATACCATCAACCAGAAATTCGTTTTGAACCACTGTATGAAGTTTTTTTCTACTTAATATGTCAGAGATAATATTCCAGGTTTGTTTAATATTTCCAGACGCAGTTTCAAATTCATTCCGATGGTAGTTTTTCTACAGCTCTCAAAATAGCTCTGAACCTTGCTTTATATATTTTATAGCTTCTTTCATTTTTTTCACTAGGAGTCTTCATAAATTTACGATATTGATTATTTTTTTGCTTGGCTGTGATAATTCCATTTGTAATCTATGGCTTAGAAGTATCAACAAAAAGTTTCACTTTTTTTAATGTTGGGAAGTTTAAAATGGTTTAAAATCATTAATTTACTGAAAATATACTTTTAACGTTTTCAGCCCAGAAAATTGTCCCCCAATGAAAAACTGGCGAGTGGCTGCTGGTCAACTGAAGTTAAATTCAAGGAAGAGCCAAATCAGGAATATAATTGAAGTTTTTATCCATGAAGATAATAAAGAAGCTACCAAGATACAATGGAATGAATCTCAACCTGATATTGCATTGGTAAAACTAGACCGTCCCCTCCAACTTAATCCTGATATACAGCCAGTTACGGGTATTTTACCAACCAGTCTATGCACAGGAAAAAGTAATGCAGAGTGTCAAACATATATCAAAAATTACACCCTACCTAAGTTCTGTGAGTTGGCAGGATGGGGTGCTTTCAGAAAAGATGGTACAAGGCATATTTATTTATTATTCATTTGAATACATTTCACAATCTAAACCAATGTACAGGGTGGTAAAAAAATGGCAACCCTACATTTTCCTCGATATTTTTCATATATGTAAATCATTCAATATCAGCCTACAAAATTTCAGGACCATCAGGCTGATAGTCACAGTGTTACAGTTACAGCACTTTAAACAACATGCTCCAAGTATGGCCATCATTGCGCTGTAGACAAACCTGCGAAAATTCTCAAAACCCTGACTGCATTCCTCAGCAGGTATGGCCTAAATAACACGGATGATCTCCCTTTTGAGGTCTGCTATCAGAGGTTTACTCGACCTGGTCGCATTTGCGACCAGATTTCAGTACTTGCAACCAACTTGTAAAATCTAGTGGTCCTCAATGCGAGTACACTATATTAGGAAGCATTATTCACAAGATTTGATAAACATTTTTACCTTATCTGATGGTGACTAAGTCCAAAGTTGTCAGCATTTTCTGACTGAAATTTTATTTTTCATTCTTTTAATTATCGCCCAACAAGAATTGTAAGGTCCAATTTGATTAGCTGACTATATTGCATCATCTGCTGTGAACCAATCAAATCCGAGTTTACAATTTCCAGAAACCGGAAGTAGCTTACCGAAAGTGATATTTTCAAAATTTATTTCAAAATCCATTGACATCCACCTAATTCTTCTTGATATCTCATTTTTTACTTCCCCATATTTGAAGGAAAATTAAGCTCTTGATCCCACTGGATTTTTACGCAAATATGTCCACAGGAATTCCAAGTGATGAGTCTTAGTCGCGTCAGCATTAGTTTGAAAAAGAAGAAAGAAACCAGTCTTGTCAGATTATTGGAAGCGAGGTACATGTAATCCCTAGTTTATTCACTCAAGAAGGAAATTCAATGAAATGTACATCATGCAAACCGGCATGTATAAAGAGGCTGCTTCAATTTGTGGCACTAATAATTTCTTGATTTTTTATTTTTTTCGTGGGACCAGTAACAAATTGAAATGAAGTGGTCCTACTTGGCGACTAACATTTCTCCAGGACCACTTCACATGAATTTTTACTTTTACTGGTCCTAAGGACCACTACTCAATTTTAAGGACCAAAACCTCTGTCTGCTATAGTCCTGAGGTCATTTTTGTACACCTTATCTTTGGAATATATCCCCAGAGGTAGAAGGTCATTTTAGACGACACATGCAGATTTGCTTACAGTGCAATAGTGGCCGGTGGAGCATGTTGTTTAAGATGCTGTAACATTGTAACTGTCAGTCTGCTGGTTATGAAATGTAGTAGGATGGTAGAAAATTGAATGCTGTACAAAAGTGACAAATATCAGGGAGTAATATCTCACAATAACAAAGATATGAGGAAAACAGGGGCAGGGTTGCCACTTTTTTGACCACCCTGTACAAAAGAAAAATGTTATACACATATTCAATATCAATCTGCATTCTGAGAAGAAATCTGTTCATTTTGAACTTTTCAGGAATTTTGAAAGGGAAGTTAAAATGGTCAAAGGTCCTTGTAACTGCAAGTGATGAAAACTCCATAACAACCAATATGCCATCATCTAGAATATGGAACCCATGTGAGGTAAAAACAATGTTGGAATAATAACCCAGATGGGAGTAGGTAGTTGCCAGTTTCACCACAAGGTGGCTAATATGAGGCAGATATAGTAGAAATTTTCTTAAACTTGAATATTCATCAGTCTAGTCTAGTTCGAATATCTCAATCAATTTATCTGTTTTCAAAATCAAATGCAACATTTGAGACAAAAACATCTGACTTGAATGACTTGAAGACTTCTACAAATGCCAGTTTGAAATACATGTATATTGTAACATTATCAATTTACAGGGGGATCAAGGGGCACCACTGATGTGCAAGCCTGAGGGCAGCAATTCTTCTGCTGTTGTTGTGGGAATTCTGAGCTTTGTCGAATATGATTGTAGCAAATTTACAAATAGAGACACTTTCCACACACCTGTATATAAACATCTGAATTGGATCTTTAAACACATTAATAGTAAGAGATATGTCCAATTAACAACAGCTGTGGAATAACAAAGTTAGTTTCATTAAGGGGTAAATGATGCTTTCATTAGCGCATAGTGTTGATTTTTTTACTATTCAAGTGAAACACAAATATAAGCAACTTTCGTTAGATGAGGGGATGGGTCAAATCATTAACTTTATTTTTCCATGACTGTTGATAATTGGATCCCATCCCAAACAGGATTAATTGTTTATTTTGTTTATAAATACAGCTCAATATCTGTTAGTTTTTCAATATTTCTCCAAGTTATCAGGGCTTCAAAAATGACTGTATATCCAAGAGCAATTACATATCCATTTATTCATCCAATTTTCTGAAAATGTTTAAAAATAAATACATGAAAATCAATTTATAAAGATGAGTAACAATGCTTTTCAATTCCAACAAATATTTTATGTACATGTACATACAGTACCTACCTTTTTACTCAATCGGGGTGAACGAATCCAAAGAGAACAATACTTCTACTTGTGCGCTGTGCAAGATTTCCAATAGCTTTTCGTGTTTACCGAGAACGAAAGATGTTTGTCCACCATTTTGAATGATACTAACTGGTATCAGGGTCATCAAGCTATGGAACAGGGGTTTATGATGATAGATTGGGTTACTATAGCTTGCAATGTTAAAGGCGATTGAACTATGTTATAAAACAACTTCCAGTACATTATGATATTTAAAAGTATAAATTTTTGAAAATACATATAAAGAATCTTCGCCCGCAGGACGTGTAATTTGAATGCTTGAGAAGAACGCAAATGGGTACTGGCCCGGTGTTGCAATAGTAGCATTTAAAAATCTGTTCCTCTCGAGATTTATGGTCTTCTGAAATTATACTATTAATTGGTGTTGTTGCATCATTGCTCAAATCTAGAGGAGTGTTGTTGCATCTTCGGTTTGGTGTTGTTGCATCAATAGTGAGGAACTAAAACCGTGATCTTCTTGCTTCTTGATGATGCTACATGTATACTAATGACAGTTTCTTTAAATATAGATCGTGCGCTAACTTCACGTGTATGGTTATTGAGAAACTCGTCCTAGAAATGGGTTTAAATTGGGGAAACAACATATCGTACGAAAATCTATCACCGGAAGTCTGGCCATCTTGATGCAACAACACGGTGTTGTTGCATCACGATACTCCCCAGTGTATATCCCTAGTCCCTATTTTATCCCTACTTTATTCTCCCTTTACTTGAAAGAAGATGAAGAGACAAAAGACTTCTCCTCTGTGATATCCATATCAAAGAACAACAGACATATCTGTGGAGGAGTTATCATCTCAGATGTTTGGATCCTCACAGCTGCAATCTGTATATGTGATGGAAATGACAACTGCTGTACAAAGCAAAAACAATTTACGTTAGTCTCCAGTTTGTGTATTTTCATTAATGTTTGTTCAATAGGATAAAAAGGAAAAGGCATTTTCTCTATATCTCTACTCAAACTTTGTTTTGTTGGATGATAAAAGTTAGATTTCAAAACTAATGAAAATGTAAAGTCATGTTGAACAATTTTAGGATATCAAACTGTCCTCTTCTGGATGAATGGAGTGTTACTACTGGCCAAATCAAATTTTCTGCTACAAAGAGACAGGTCAGAAAAATTAGAGAAGTCACTGTCCATGAAGATTATAATGCTTCTGCATTTAATGAGAATCATTTTGAAACATCTGGTCCAAACATTGCACTACTGAGACTAGATAGTCCCCTTCAACTGAACCGACATACAAAGCCAGCTTCTTTACCAACTGGACTCTGTAAAGGAAAGACTGATGCTGGATGTCAAGCTGTTATTAAACATATAATACCCGAGTGGTCTTGTAAGACTGCAGGATGGGGCCTTGAAGATGGTATGTATTGTAAATGTTATTATTTTATAATCTAAGTGTGACTTATTTTGGTATGTCATTAAATAAAAGATAAACGAATCTTCAACCTCTTGATTGACCATTTTCACTGCCCCCTTCCAAGTTTATGAACATGTTTTTTGATGTCTTATATACAGAGGAAGCCTAGAGTGAGCAGTCTTTTATACACAGACAAAGCTGTCTAATATATAGAGGCTTACATATACAGGGATCTGTCTTATTTATACAGGGAACTGAACTTATATGTATGAGAAGCTATATATACAAGAGCTGTCTTATATATACAAGAAGCTATATATACAAGAGCTGTCTTATATATACAAGAAGCTGTCTTATATATATATAAGAAGCTGTCTTATATAAACAAGAGCTGTCTTATATATACAAGAAGAAGCTGTCTTATATATACAGGAATCTGTCTCAAATATACAGGGACATGTCTACAGAGAGTGTATCAGCTTAGTATAATTATTTTTAGGAATGCCAATAACGTCAGGGAAATTAAAATGGACAAATGTCTACGCAAAGGAAAGTGATGACAAAACTATTACATCTGAATCATTTGGGAAAAGCACTACATGTAGAGTAAGGACTTTAAACTTAGGAAAGTAAAATGTAACTAACAATTTAACTTCATGTCTCAGAAGATCCTCTTTTGGAGCATATTGCTGGGTATAGGATTTCTCAAATTTATAACGTCAATTTATGGTAAAAAGTCACAGTCGCGATTTAGGGAGTTGTTCTGTTCAATCCTTAACTTTTTTTTTTAAACTTTTTACCATTTTACCATATTTACGAAATTCTTTGAAATTTTCTCTATTTGGCCAAGGTATACATACCTCCGAATGTTTGGTCTGATAATAACAAAAAATAAAAAAGATATAATGGGTAAAAGACATTGCACCAATTTTTTTACAGAGGGTACTGTAAAAGATAAGCTTATAATAATATAACATGGGAACATAACTTGGTCAACAACCTGGGGGGGGGGGGGGCGGTGAAACCTGGTAAAAAGCTTTTCTTAAGGAACTGATTCATTCCAGGGTGATGCTGGCGCACCATTGATGTGCCAACCTATCAAAAATGAGCCCTATGTTGTTCTCGGCATTTCAAGTTATGTTTTCCCAAATGATGCTTGTGGTAAAACTCCGGCGAAGACTACTCATACATCTTTACCAAGACATCTGAATTGGATTCTTAAGCATGTAACTGGTACAGTACATAAAATGATTGCAGTATCAATACAGTGATATTTTATGAAAAACATTTTTTCTGTCGATTTAAGAGCTCATAATGAAATATATCCTGAAATGATGTTTAGTTTAGTTAAGTTCAAGCCTTCGATTTGAAAGTAAGAACAATCATTTGTGTCTGACAAAGCTCAATCACACAAAGGTTTTTAAGTCATGATTTTGCAATATGAAAAACAAGAATCTATTGTATATGTATAGATCCAATCTTTCAAAATCACACCATCTATCTATCCACATTAATGCAAATACATGTGTTCCTATTATTCAGCATATGTTTGTATATAACATAGTCAAATCTATGTTCCAGAATTGAATACCTGGGGTAAATGGAGTAAAAGTGTTGACTGTGATTGTGATAGAAAGGAGAGACGGAGGAGTGCTTTCCTAAGATCCAGATCTTGTGTTTTCCCAGAGAATGGAATTACTACAAGGGCTGCAGATGAACTCTATCAACGATTTCAACATGACTGCTATGATGTTCAAAAAGAATCATGCGTCTGCTGGGGTATGATTTATAGTTCATCGATAGTTCTTATATATATACAAGTATCTACAACTGTTTTCAATATCAAGAGTGCATATATTGAAATATCTTTTTGAACTAAATGTATTATATAATGTAGTTAATGATATTTCAATACATATGAAGTTTCCCATGGACTTTGAATGGGGTACTGATTTCTAAATGGTATGTGGGTGATGTTAGTACATTTTTAGTTAGGGATATTGTGGTTTGATTTTCTTTATGATATGACTAGTTGTAGGAGTTGAGCTCTTAAGAATGTTTTTTCTTGTATTTCATATTTGCTCTTTGGTCTTTCCCCTTTGGCTTGTATACTTCTATATTAATAACCTGACAAATCAGAATCACTTATTTTCTAGATTTAGTTCAGAAATTTGAGATAATAAAACAAGTAAAACAGTGGTATATTCTTCAAATTCATGAATATAGGAAGTACATGTAATTTAACCATTTTATACAAGCTTGCGGTGTATTTGTTTTTTTGTGTTATGGAAAATAGCCAATAATTATACAACCAACCAATACAACATTCCCTTGTATATTATCCAGATAACATGCCATCTAAATCATGTATGGACAACATTGGGATATGTGGTGAACATGGACAATGTAAGAATGGTGTCTGGTTCTTCCAATGTGTCTGTGATCCATATTATTCAGGAGAACTTTGTGATGTGAAAAATGGTATATATAGCTAATAAGTATAAAAAACAACAACAAATAAAGTGGAATACTTCTGTAAGTGGAACACTTCCATGAGTAGAATACATTTCCTAGTCCCCATTACCAATTTATTTACATTTTTACTTAACTTCTGTTAGTAGAACAACTCCAAATTGGACCACTTCTTTTAGACACCAGAGGTGTTTCACTTGTACATATTTTACTATAGTGAGTGTAAGATTGTATTTATTGAACAATATAATTATTTGAGAACATATACGTATATCTGGGTCCTGATTGTAATCTATACATGAGGTGGAAGAAGGTCATGAAAAAGACAAAATCTTTGAATCATTGGTTTTTGCTGAATGGTAAATCTGACATATCTATTAATTTAGTCAATGCATGTAACTCAAGTTAATTTCCACACTAATGAGGGGAGTGTATGCAATGATAGTTTCCGGGATAGTTTCCAACAGAAGCGATATGTATTCTTATATTTACAGACCAAATCTGCCCAATGGATTGTGGTGGGTATTTGCTGGGTAATAGAACAACAGCATGCCTGATACATGAAGGGCATCAAGCATGTGAGTGTCCCAGTCAAGAAGTGGCAGATATAGGATGCATCCCAGTTGAAGGATCACATCCTGTGTATTCTGGTGCATCTAAAAAGTAAACTTCCTGGGAAATGGTTCAACAAGATAGAACAGAGACATTCAACTTAAATATTTACACAGAGCCTAAAACTTTTCATTTCTTGCTATTGTAATTGTTTTTTATCTCTGTGTTAATTATAAGTTACTTTAATACAGACACGGGAACAAGAGTTCATCCCCTTCCCACTCACTATGTATAACTTAGAAAAAAGACAGGCTCCTATCTCGGGAAATCTAAGCCTCTACTTTAATTGCTCATATCTCTGTCACTGAGTTGTGTAATGCATTATGTTTTGTCCCAATGCAAGGTTAAGACATTAATCCTATTTATGGTAACTCACCAATTCTTAAATCAGCATAATTGTGCAAATAACATTGGAAATGTGACGAAAAAACAATCAATTTTGCAATCACGACGTCCTTTTACAGTGACCTCTATAATATCCACGACGAGTGTCTCATTATTTTAAGAATTGTATTTGGGTTGCTCGGTAAAAGCCAGCTGGACACACACCCTAGAGATTGACAGCTATTTCGTAGATAAGATATTTATATACATAATCTGAGAATTTTAGAGTAGATCATTGGACATATGGTGAGATTGAGCTGTTAGAGAAGAGATTTGGATGTTTACGAGGTCAGCCTGTATTTTTTTACATTAGCGATACAGTGACTGGGGGGGGGGGATTTAAATCTTCCTGGGCCTGTGTACTTTAATTTACTCAATTATTTAATTGTATGTGCTGTGTAGATGACTGTCTAATATTCAATATGAATATTCTGTATGGCTATAAACAAAAACTTAACACCATCTATTTTTATGTTCTAGAAACATTATGCAATTTTGTCAATTAAAAATGACTACAAATATCTAAATAAAATAAAACTTTGAAAACAATTTTGTCTGATTTCATTTCAATGTTAATTTATGTGTATACCTTTTTTCAGTAACCAAAAGAAAAGTCAGACATGATACAGGGTGGTTAAAAAATGGCAACCCCGTCGCTATGTATCTTTGTCATTACACAAAATAACTCCCTGATATTTGGGACATTTGTACATCATTTAATTCCCTACCAGCCTCCCAAATTTTATGACCATCAGACTGATAGTCTCAATGTTACAGCACTTAAAACAGCAAGCACCGGTGGCTAATATTGGACTGTAGGCAAACCTGCACACGTTGTCCAAAATGTCTGTACCTGTCTTGATCTGTTGGGATATAGGTAGAGTGTACAAGAATGACATCAGGACAATGTAGACCTCTAAAGGGAGATCATTGGTGTCATTCAGGGTCATTGACAACTTAAGTAGGTTTGTCAGCAATGTGATGGCCACACCAAGAGCATGTTGTTCAAAGTGCTGTAACAATGTGACTATCAGTCTGACGAAATATGGTAGGCTGACAGGACTATTGAATGTGTAAAACATAAGGGAGTAATTCCCTAAAATAACAATGAAGGAATGAAGTATGCTAATTAAGGTGAAAAATGAGCTTAGATGTAAAAATTCATTTTCCTAGGTTAAAGGCTCTGCCAAATTACTAAATCAAACAAAGAAGATCATGGCATCTCAAAACTGATAAGACATGAAAAGATATACAGTATATGTAATTATTCAATACCTAAAGAGTAGAAAATTCAAAATATAGCTCCACCAGCACAATGGTTAATTAAATGCAATCTACCCTCAAATAAGATAAAAAATATTCATGAAAACATTAACTAACCAAAAAATGCAATTAGAATTAATGACATCCTTATTCTATGAAACGAAGTATTGTATTTTTTTCATTCATAGTTAGCATATTAACTTATTTTGAGAAACCATGAATAAATCAACCACAAATTCAAATAACAATGAGTTCCATCTGGGCATAAAACAATCATGATACATTACATTAATATTCATCCATTGTGAATCAAATTATAAAAAAGTATCAGTTGATGTTTTTCACAAGTCGAGCAGTTCCAAAATACCACCCTTAAGATGATCATGTATTACTGGAGTTGCCTGTTTGTTATAGCAGCTACTGCACTGATAAGCTTGGGTAAGTAAATGAAGTTGCATTTGGGAACATTCATGAACATTCTTGTGAATCAAGACCATTATGAATATGCATCAATAATATTAATATTCAACCCTTATTAACTCCTAAAAATTCAGCTCTAAGCTAATATAAATCAACTTAGAAAAATCGAGTCGGGGCAATCTGCGCGAGATTCGGTTTTTACTTGGTTCGGTTTTTCATTAAAGGAAGTACTTCATTCCCATGATTCAAAGTGCTTTTCTGCCATCGGTTCGGTTTAAGTTTGTACAACACACGTCTACAAATCCGGGGCAGGTTGATATTGTGTCATTTCATTTGTTTTGGGTGTATACTTTTTGTTTTGACACGAAACAAAAATATTTCCGCACTATATGGTGCATCATGGGTAGGGACTGCTGTGAAATAATGAACGTAAGTGACATCTATCTCAAATTAAATGTTCTTATAAGTTATTAATTGCGCATGCGTTACAATAATTTGAACCAATTAAAGTGCTGAATTTAATGCGCATGCGCTAAAAACCGAACCAAAAAATGGAATCTCGCGCAGATTGCCTCTAGTGGAAAAATCTTAATATTCTAATAAATTTATATTTCTTTGTTGTCACAATTTTATTCAAAGTGTTGTCTCATTCCATGTCTATTTTGATTCAGATCAAGCATGACTCATGTAAATCTTTACTCTAAACCCAAGTATTTCCTTTAAAGGGAATGCGAAGTTTCATGTTCTAATTTACACGCTGACTACTTATAACCATCATCTATCACTTCAGCTCACTCATGGGACACGTCGTGTTTGAACTAACATATAATTCAAGTTCAAAGTACCCATATCTGGATCGCTGCGGATGCCGCCATTGTTGTGTATCAATGACGTCATTGATGCCATAAAATTGATGCCTGGGAAGTGTCGCTATATAATCACGTCATACTCAGATCGCAGAAATAAAACATATTTCACTGATATTTTATAACTGTTTCTGTCCACTTAACATTGTTGCCGCATGTTCATGTCCATATCATATTATATTATATTATATATATTTGGAAAGGTTGTTGCAATGTCTTTTTTCAAATGTTTGTATTTATTTTCTCCAATGTGATATAGCAAGTTTATAGGCTAGGTAGAAAAATCATTAAACTTATGAGATATCGGCTGCCCGATTCGCAATTTAACTGGTTTTGACTGAAAAGTCATCGCATTATATTCCACTTGAAAAATATCCACTAGAATTATTATCCCATCGAACGAAGTTCGGAGGGATTTGGGAACGCCTCCGTCCGTCCGTACGTACGAAAATAAGTGGAACTTTAAAAGCTTCAGTCACATTTGCTCAATGCGACCACACGTCGATCGTATTTCCCTGAAATCAGTAAATTTCTGCAGCAAACATATGAAAACTACAGTCGACTTAAAGCCACCTTGCGGTCTACGTACACAGCATATCCAGTTTTTACAGGGCGTAGAGTCGGGGTTAAAACTTTTTCTTTCCTGTGGTCACCGTAGATATCAACAAGCAGCAGCCAAACCGTAGGTCCCACGACGACCGTACGTCGGGTTCACGGTCGACTTGCGGCTGCCTTTGGATTTCATAGGTTACAATTGACCTTTCCGAACCATAGAACCCCTTGTGGATGCCTTCAAGAAAAACTACGCACGTCAGGGCCGCCCTACGCTGATCGTGCGTCATCATTTATCAGCCGTACGGAATCGTAGTTTTTCCTCATAATCAAGATACGCCGTACAGCTATCTTAGCAAATGTGACTGCTAAATTATCTGACTGCAGAAATACTTAGGCAACCGTAGAAATTCTACTTCCCACAGAAATGAAAGACCGTACGGTCCCCGTAAAAATGTGACATGAGGCTAAGAAGGATAGTAATTGAATATGGTTTTAAAATTTAATTAAAAAATTTTCTTCGAATACTTGTTTTAAAGATAAACATAAACGCAATGAATATTAAAGTACGAACACGTATTTTTTGTAATGAGACTAGCAAATTAAATCATCACCGAGATTGCATTCTTGGAAATTCAAGATGGGTTGGTTGAATTAATTTTATTACGTTTTATTCAAATAGTTTGCATTCGCCTGATAGAACTAGCATTCTCTGTTCGCATTTAGGGCTAGACCTAATAAAAGTTAAAAAGTCACGAATCCCAGATTGTTTCAAGTGTAAATAAAGAATAAATGTAACCTGCATTCCATGTCTAGATAGGTAAAAAGCAATTCTGAAAATGCCGGCGTTAATATTCTATTGAAATCGTTCTTTATTATGGGTGGTATATACGTATTCTTTTATTTGGTTTTGGAACGACAACAACTCGGCATTCATTTTTTGATTCAAAAATGGCGCCACAAAACTTTTGGAATGCCAAGGCATCAATCTGGCATCAATGATGTCATAACAATGTCGTAAAGAACCACTTTACGGTTGAAATGGCAGCTCCGTGGTCCAGTTCATATGCAAAACCCGGGGCTCAATAACAATTACAAGGATAATGATAGGACAAAACTTTGCATTCCCTTTAAGTGTTTGCTCTTGATGAGTCCATTCAAAAAGGGGTGCAAGTCTATTTGAAAAGGGGTGCAAGTTTTTAAAACAAACTTACAGTTTTATATATGAACAAGGTGAACACTATCATGCCAAAAATCCAAAACAGCTGTCTCAGAATTTACAAAGCATGCCCAAACTATTCACTTCTAGATTATCATAATATCATTTGCATATCATGAAATAATTTCAAATCAATCTGTCAACCTGGGAACTGGTTTACCTGCAAACAAGCTGACAAGAAGAAGTGAGATGCACCAACTGCAAATTGTTTCATTCTATTAATTTTTTCCTCTGTAATATGTCAAGTTAATTTTTTTCATCTGATGTAAAAAATTATAAAATCTAAATTCCAACACATTACTGTATAAGTGGTAATTTTGCCTAATCATTTAATTTGCCTATTGCCTAAGTTTTGCCAGGCTGGGAAAATTAAATGTCGGAAATATTGTCTTCATAATGTTATCCAATGGGAAGTTTCTTGTCATTGTAATTTTAAAAATGTTAGCAATTTGCAACACTAATTATTTACTATGAATGTATTAAGTTAAAACATGGATTAACATGAAAATCTTTCAAAGATTTTTGCAGGGTTAATTGCCCACAGGTTGTAGGGGCAATAGGACTTTAACGATCCGAGTATTTAAACATGGGAACATGCTATAGTACTGTATTTTGATCACATCATACTACACTGACCATTCACACTATACCAATTCTATCAACTATGATATAAAAATAAGGGACATCTGCCTTGTATAACATTTTGTATTATTGTTCATAATTTTTTTATACATGTAGTAACATGATTAAATACAAAAATTGAATGCAGATCTTGAGGTAGATATCATATCTTAATACGAATGACAATTTAATTCAATCAACCCCAAAAGAATGAAATTTAATTTTCCTGTTATTTTCCCTTTCCCTTATATATCTAGACATGCACCAATCATTGTAGAAGCCTGTGAAGTACCTCAGGGTAAAAGCATTGGAGTAGGACGTAAATGGGTATCGAAAAACAAATGTGTAAGCTGTAAATGTACAACTAAAGGCTTGAGTTGCAAACGTGGCAAAAAGACCAATTGCCGATCAGGTTGTCTCGAGGGCCCAATAATCCATGATGTTGGATCCATAATTCAACAAAATGAAACACATAGCTGCGAATGTATGGCAGGAGTTTACATAGATCATATTGTATGCAATGGTAAGCAGAGAACATGCAAACTATTTGAATATATGGTTCAATATCTTGTAGAACATGTTCTGGCAGTTGGGATAGTGGTACCCCTCATAATTTCATCTTTACAATTGCAATTTACAATATAAAAACCAATGTCAGACATGTAATTCAATGATTTAGTTCAATATGTTCATTTATACATTGTATATTTAGAAAAAAGCTCACATGGTTGGATCAAATGGGGACCTTGGAGTGAATGTGCTAATTGTGAAACACATCCTTCTAACCGCAAGGTGCGTCATCGCATATGTGTTGATACACTTGGAAAGGAGGTAGATGCTGCTCTGTGTGAAGGAGATGCAAGAGAAATAGAGCAATGTTGTGGTGATAAAGGTTTGTTTTTGTATTTCTGTCATAAAGTGGAACAATTCAGGACTATGTACTTCATGCTAATGCTAGCTTTCCCATTTTTCTCCTTTATTTGTTTATTAGAAGAAGAATTCCCTTGGGTGGTTTCCATATCTAACAACAACAGACATTTTTGTGGAGGAGTTATCATCTCAGATGTTTGGATCCTCACAACAGCTCACTGTTTGTGTGAATGGAAGTACAACTGCTGTACAAAGCAAAAACAATTTAAGTGAGGGATCTTTCACAATTTTTGGCAAAATACATAAAACTCTATGGAGCGAGTATTTAGATAGACAAGTTTTCTAAATGATAAACAAATCACTGTTATTCAACTGTTTCAGCATATCGAACTGCCCCCTTATGACAGACTGGCGTGTAACTGCTGGTGTGCTCAAACTGTCTTCCAACAAAGGTCAAATCAAGCAAATAAGTGAAGTCATTATACATGAAGACAATGCTCCATTTGATTCTGCCAACCCGAAACAATCTGGTCCTGATATTGCATTGCTAAAACTAGACAGTCCCCTACAACTGAACACGCCTGATGTGCAACCAGTTCAGTTACCAACCAGTCTATGTAAAGGAAAAACTGATGCTGAATGTCAAGCCCACATTGGAAAAGAAATGAATTTCTGGTCCTGTCAGACGGCAGGGTGGGGCATCAAAGATGGTACAGTGTATATGCTTAACTAATCTATAACCTTAAATTTAATTGCATATATATACATTAAAGTACCAGAAGTATCTTGGTTTGAACTAAAAACTTTAGTAAACAACAATTAAAATGGTCATGATAGCTATCCGGCTCCATTCCCAAGAATAGCGCTGATTTCGCTGTCACCTGATGTGTACTTTCACCTATTTAGTCAAAAAACTATCATCAGGGAAGTTGAAATGGTCAGAGGTAATTGCAGAAGAAAGTGATGAAACCTTTATAACAACACTACCCTCTGGAGGATTTAGCACCACATGTCAAGTAAGAGCCTAATACTAATTAGAAGTAGTGTGCCTTAAACCTTTTTAAACCTTTTTAGGCCATATGTTCTACACTTATATTATCTTGGCATTGGTTAGCGCAACATTTTAGAGACTCTTCACTATATATATTCAGATACATGTTAAACTTTATCATATGTTGGCGTAGTATACCTTTTCTTGAAATACAAACTCTCCATTTACATTCCTGTAGTCTTGAATAAATGTGAGTGAAACACACGAGTATAGAAACTAATTCTAAACACTACTCAATAATGTTAATTTCCAATAATTTTATTAAGTGTTAGCATATGACTTAATGGGGTAGAATACTGACATACTAAAAAGAACTGATACCTTGAATTTTATACATTTACAGGGTGATGGTGGGGCACCATTAATGTGTCAACCTGACAATGGGCCACCTGTTACTGTAGGTATTTTAAGTCACATTTTCCCAGACAATCCTTGTGGCGTATCTCGTGATACTAGGACATATCATACATCCATACCAAGTCAACTGAATTGGATTCTCAAACACATAACTGGTACAGCATTTAAACATACTTTTACACCTAGAAGTTTATGATACCAAAGTAAGCCGCTACTTTAATCAAGAATGGGTCTCACTTAAAGTTCTTATATCTAAAAGTATCATATACAGTACTAGAATTGATCTCAAATTCTTGGGAAATCATATCCACAAATGGTCAGGGATTTCATATTCCAGAATGGAGGTATGGTAGTTCCAGTGATTGTGATTGTGACAGAAATGAGCAACAGAGGAGTGTTTTCCTGCAATCCAAGTCCTGTGTTTTCCCAGAGAATGGAATAACCGCAAAGGCTGTAGAGGAAATGTATCAGCGATTTAAGGATGATTGTTACATTCTCCAGAAGAAATCATGTATCTGCTATGGTATGATTTAAAGTTTTATGAATTACATGTATTTTTGGTTTTCCCTAATGTTGCTCTAATGCTATGTCATCAAAATAAATTTGGAAAAGTATAGAATACAAAATGAATGAATGTGAACAATAAGGGTATATAACATTTCTAGAACTACATTGAATTTTTTTTAGAAAACCTAAATTCTAAACAGTGCGAGGATAACCAAGGCATCTGTGGTGAACATGGACGATGTATTGACTATGTCTTTTTCCTCATCTGTCAGTGTGATCCATATTACTCGGGAGAACTTTGTGATATGAAAAATGGTATGTAAATGAAGCTCTCTAAGATTGTAGTTTATTTGGAGCTGAACTGCTTTTCTTAGAAATGTAACAGATACAGGGCGACACAAAAATGACACTCACTAATTTTCTCAATAATTAAGGGAGCTTAGTGATTTTTTGTGTAGATAGAGTGTTCAATAGATAAATGTTTATTGAACTTGGATAGCATTAATGACTTTGAGCTTTAGAGAAATCCTGTTTTCTGTCTAGGCATACTCTCAGTGAAATTGTCAAAAAATTTATTATTTACAGAAGTAAGCTGCCCGATGTATTGTGGTGAATATTTGCTGGGTAATAGAACAGTAGAATGCCTGATACATGAAGGACATCAAACATGTGAGTGTCCCAGTGAAAGAGTGTATGATCTACTATGTATACCAGTAGAGGGATCGCATTCTATGTATACTGGTGGTTCTAAAAAGTAAACGACTTCAACAAGAGAAATAGTCATGAAGAAAGAACAGAGATGCTTAACTGACATGTCATGCTCTACATAGAGTCTAAAACTCTTGAAAATGGTAGTCTGATATGAATAAAATAAAGAAATCTCTGTATTAGAAAAGGATGTTGGTTAATTTGATTGTGAACATATTGCTTTAAAGTGTCCTTATAAGGACAGAGGGCCTCCTATATTCTTCTTGTCATTATAATTCAACAGAACCCAAAATAACAAAATATTTTTCTTACTTGTGACCTCTTAATGTTTTAAGGCACTCCCAGTTTTTCAATGACCATATACATATGCTTCCATCTTCACTGCAGGAGAACATATGACTGTTCTTGTAAAACTGAAGGCTGCTAATTGTCCCTGAAATAAATACATGAATGATCAAACAGACATATAATCTACTAAGATCTAGATATATTAGACATATTGGACAAGCAAACAGGCTGACAAGTTTGCAAACAAACCAATGAGACAGACAAGAATGACACAGACCAATGATATATGCAAAGACAAAAAACAAACAAACTAATGAGCTCTAATGTGACATACAAGCAAGTGAAAAAACAGACAAATGGGACATACAAACAAACAAATCACTGGAGAAAAATAAAGGAAATAAACAAACAAAGAAAGAGGGCTCCAAGTGAGATAAATGAAAAATAAATCAATGAGATTTACAAGAAAGTAAAAACATAGATCAATGGGAAAGAAACATAACAAAACTGGTAGGCCATACAAGCAAGCGGAGACATTGGCAAATGAGACATAAAAACGAATAGACCATACACATAAACAACCAACAAAATTAAAACCTATTTAATATGAGTACAGAGTATAATACATCTAATTTAGGACAGGAACAATTGGTCAAATTAAAATAATGAGGTAATATTTAAACAGGAATTGTCACATAGGTCAAATATAAAACAGTCATTCTTGAAAGATGTCACCGTATGACTGTATACCGTCATAATGTCTATTGCTGTGAATATTTATTCATCTATTCACCAATATGCATCTCCAGAATGTATAGTTTGGGTTTTAAAGATATATATTAGGTTCCAAAGCAATATGGATGAAGGTGTTTCCATTAAAGTCTCAGCTCATGTTCAATATATAAACTTGCACTGACCTTCATGGTGTAGTAATGAACCAAGTTCTACATTGGACTTGAGATTGAAGATTCTTATAGTCTCGTCTGTACTTCCAGAGGCCAGCGTACCATTACTGGCTGCAGCCACACATTTGATACAGCCACTGTGTGACTTATCAGTGAATGTCTGCTGTAGCTCATATACCTGGAGAACATAGAACTTATTATTTTTGCATAAATATTACTGTGTTTCAAATAGGTCTTTCACTTACACATATTTATGGTATAGTAGTTTAAATACAGGGTAATCAAAAACCACAACCCTGTATTTTCCTCATATCTTTGTCATTTTAGGAAATTACACCCTGTTATTTGGCACATTTGTATTTCATTCAATTTCGTACCATCCTACCATATTTCATGACCATCAGATTGATAGTAATAGCAATGTTACAGCACTTTGAACATTATGCCCCAGTTGTGGCCATCATTGCGCTGTAAGTAAACCTGGACAAGTTGTCAATGACCCGACTGCATTCATAAGGTACAGTCTGAAAGACACGTATGATCTCCCTTTGAAATACCCCCACAGGTAGAAGTCAGATACGGTCATTTTGGACAATGTGTGCAGGTTTGCCTACAGCGCAATAGCCGCCACTGGAGCATGTTGATCAAAGTGCTGTATTATTGTGACTATTCCATTCAGAGCATAAACCTAATGAGAGGATAACTGTCACTAAAGGAGAAGTTGTTTTGAAGGGATAGCCAGCCTCCAATTCATCAACTTCGATTTTGGACTACTTAATATATACATGTATAGGTAAATATTATTCATTCTTTTATATTAACATTAATGAAACGAACCGTTTCGGTAACCAGCATAATTGAGGCTGTACCTTAAGGTTCAGCTGGAAAGTAACATTTTGGTAAAAAATTGCTATACCTGCACATGTTATTTTCTGGTACAAAATTAAGTATGAAGGCATGTGTATATTTCCTTGCTTTTTTCAGGAAAGTATCATTACATTGTCTTCTTTTAGTAAACCTGGAAACAGGTCAATGGTAGATCCTGTGTTGTCTGAAAATTTTGAAAGAAAATTTTGAAAAATAGAAAGTGTGAAATATCAGAATTTCCCGGAGTCCCCATTAACCTCTTACCAGATATACTAAAAGAAGATAATTTAATGATTCTTTCCTGAAAAAAGCAAGGAAATTAACACATGCCTTCATACTTTATAGTGTACCAGAAAATAACATGTGCAGGTACAGTGGGGGACATAAAGAATTACAAAAGCTATGGAAATTACATGCTGTCGCACATATAATAAATTCTTACCTCAGTGTATTCAGTGCTCTATAAGTCCAAATATAGTGGAATTTGCGTCCATAATGACAAATAAGAACTTAAAAATTTGAAGTGGAATTCACATATTAATGCCGACTCTTCAAATGTTGAGGTGATTTTGGAGCCTGATTGCGCCGCAATGTGGATTGGCTCCCAGAATGCAACATGACACGTGTCAGCTTTTAAAATGCCGTTCCGCCATTTTGAAATCTGTCATGAGTAAATCATGGCGTAGAATAATGGAAATAACGTCACAACGCATGCGCGTAAATCGACATTTCATGGTCCAAAGATATATAAAACATCAAAATCCACCCACAGATCTTTCGGCCTTTTAATGATTTAATTTTCGGGATATTTTGCTAAAATCCCCCATTGGCCGCCATTATAAACTTTGAAAAAACCCAAATCCTCATCATTTCATATCATTCGTTAAGTGATCTAAACAACTCCAATCGCTTAGGATTCAACGGATTCTAAGAGATCAAAGCTAATACAATATGTTGACAACCCCCGTTTCAATATTTGCCGCATAATCTTTCGGCCTTTTAGGTTATAAATTTGTCAATATTTTGATTTTCGACCATTAATGACGTACTTGGATCCGAGATTCATTGTCCCGGGATTCATGACGCTATTTCCATTATTCTATTCGTTCGATTTAGTAGAGATTTATCCATCATTTGCAGGTATCAAGCTTTGGATTCATTTATTGTGCTACTTAAGTGAATGGGAATTATTTTTCTACCGCTTGGGAGAGTTTGAGACACGAAACTTAGATTTTAGCTCATTGTGACAACTTTTGAGGGTTGAGATTTATTTTTGTCCCCCACTTTAGCAATTTTTTACCAAAATGTTATTTTCCAGCTGTACCTAAAACTTTGTCAGAAGTTGATAGAAATTTGAATTTTATCTCAATAACCACTAATCCAGCTTATTTTCAACCCCCAGTTTTCAACACAAAAGTATACGCTGGGGGTTGATTAGTTCAACAAGTTAAACCCAATACCACGGCTTTCATTTATTAATCTGAATGTTATTGTTGATTGGGTTTAACTTCCGTGCCATAGTTTTATTTGTTGCAAATTCTCACTTTCAGTTATAAATTAAGGTCAGGGTGCATGATGGGAAATTTTCTGCATTCCTCAATTGAGTCCAATGTTATTTTTCAAACAAGAATCACTCCTTCCCTTCATTGTCTATATCTTCCAGTTTTGCACAAAGGGTGCACTTATGTGCCTAGAAAAGACTTGTGAGAAGAATGTTTTGATAAAGTGTATAAAAAACAAGAAATTTCAGTGAAAAAATAAGAAAATTTTCAGAAATTTTTTTCACTGAATTTTCTCATTTTTTATACATTTTACAAAACAAACCTTCTCACAAGGCTTTTCTAGGCACAGAAGTGCACTCTTTGTGCAAACTTGGAAGATGTAGAATGTGGGGAAGGAGTTATTCATGTTTGAAAAATAACATGTGACTCAATTGAGGAATGCAGAAAATTTCCCAACATGCACCCAGTCCTTAAGGTGCAAGAAAGTTAACAGGAAATGACAAAACAGGAAGTGACAATTTTTTTGCATTTTTAGACATTTTTTGAACAAAGATAACAGAGTTCTGTTTTGACCTCCGGTCAATTCAACTAGTTTCAAATACCATTTACAGGTCCAGGATCACAATGTTCATGGTCAGAATGACCCTAAACATGATGAAATAACCTTTTCAGCCCTCTGAAAATGTGACTGAAAAATAGCTAAAAGTAGGAGGTAGGAAAGGTCACTGAACAGAATCTTTTGAATTTTTCAGAAAATGTGCCCAATATATTGCTCTAAATGATACAATCTTTGAAGATTTGATATAATTCATAGAAAAAGAAGAAAAAAATGAAAAAACTGATTTGAAAAGCGATCTATTTTCCTTTTTATGACCGCCATTTTTGTTTAAGGTTCAGCTGGAAAGTAACATTTTGGTAAAAAATTGCTATACCTGCACATGTTATTTTCTGGTACAAAATTAAGTATGAAGGCATGCGTGTATTTCCTTGCTTTTTTCAGGAAAGTCTCATTATACTGTCTACTTTTAGTAAACCTGGAAACAGGTCAATGGTAGCTCCTGTGTTGTCTGGAAACTTTGAAAGAAAATTTGGAAAAATAGAAATTGTGAAATATTCGAATTTCCTGGAGTTACCATTGAACCCCTACTAGATATTCTTAAAGAAGGCAATGTAATGATACATTCCTGAAAAAAAGCAAGGCAATTGACACATGTCTTCATACTTTATTTTGTACCAGAAAATAACATGTGCTGGTATAGCAATTTTTTACCAAAATGTTACTTTCCAGCTGTACCTTAAGACAATTTTCTAAAATTTCAAAGATTGTATCAGTTAGAGCATCATATTGGGCACATTTTCTGAAAAATTCAAAAGATTCTGTTCAGTGACCTTCCCTAGCTCCTACTTTTAGCTTTTTTTTCAGTCACACTTTCAAAGGGCTAAAAAGGTTATTTCATTATGTTTAGGGTCATTCTGACCATGCACATTGTGATCCTGGTCATGTAAATGATATGTGGAAATAGTTGAATTGACTGGAGGTCAAACCAGAACTCTGTTATCTTTGTTCAAAAAATGTCTAAAAATGCAAAAAAAATTTTCACTTCCTGTTTTGTCATTTCCTGTTAACTTCCATAGCACCTTAAACGCGCATGAAATTCTATGCGCTGCCATAGGCCAATATTAAATATTTTGCATCAAGGACCGAATAGGCACGGACGTTAAACCTAGGGCGGGCCACAAGATATGTCAGATAAGAAATAAGGCCCAGACTAGGTTTAACTTGTTGAACTAGGTGTTGATTTGAATGGTGTCCATAAATTCGTGGGTGATAATCGATGTAAGAATATGATGTAAATATCAAATGACATGATAATTAGTGAATATTCTCATGCAAATTCAGTGCTGAATAGTTGATAATATATTTACTTACGTCTTCATCACTTTTAATCAGTTTATAGCCCAATAAAACCTCGTCATACGTCCCTACAACTATTTCCATGTTTATTTCGAAATTTTTAAACATGTGAATGTGAAATACGTCATAACTTCTTGTGTTCAGGTTAAGACTGTATTTGTGGCCAAAATACCACTTTTGTTAATGTAATATAGGAATATTCATTATCTTACCGTTTGGGATTAAAATAAAATTACAGCTTTTTCTCATCTTAGCGCAAAATATTCGAGATTAAGACATCCCAAAAATAAGTGACGTCACTACACTAGCTACACACTTCCGGAATTTTCCGAGTACAAAAAAATTGAGCGCGAGGCAATATTTTAAGATTATATCGTGTATTGTGGACCATGTCACATACGTTATGGATGGGAGATGTAAGTTGTTTATTTTGTTACACTTCTACAACATAACCACAGGGAAAGGGATCTACCTTCTTCCATAGATCCCGGCCAGATTCTTTTGTAGATAATCAGTACAGTGGGGATCATAAAGAATTGCAAAAGCATAGCCGTAGGGACCGGGGGTTCGATGGGTTCGGACGAACCCCCGGTCGGGATTCCCCCCAAAAAATATTTGTGGAGAATTCATTGCAATAACCAATAACATATATTCAATTTATATGACTAGTAGTAGATAAAAATAGTAAATTTACACTTCTCTCCAAAAGATTGGCAACCTCAGGCACGGGGTGGAATTGTTTTATTTTGGGAAGACCCCGGAGCATCATGATATTATGCAAAGAAAAAATATCAATAAAAAGCTGCTCCATCTACAGTGAAATAAACCAACTGTCTTAATACTGATGAAAACATATTTTCTTTCAAATCTGTGCCCCTCCGTTTTTTTTTATTTCAAACAAAAAAATTCTTGCTAAGTCCCCGGGTCTGACAAGTCCTCAAAAGCAATTATTAAATAATAGAAACATTTTGAAATGAGTTATTATTAAAAGCATATGTATCATTTATAAACACAAGTATTTGATCGAATGGGTATTTATCCATCACTTTTTAAGGAAAAATAAATCGATTGCGAAAAAATCAGTTTGGGTTTTTCAGATGCACGTTCATTTCAGAGATCATTTTAAGATTAAAATGTTGCTGTTTCAGTGTATTAAGTATTTACTCTATTTTCACGAATATCAAACTTTAGTGGATCGCGTTTATGACATTAATTATAATATGTTTAGCAAATAAATGGATTAAGGGAGGCAATTAGGTGATTATGTCTGTGGTACTAAATACAAGTGTAAAAGGTACACACATTACGTGCAGTGGAAAGTTCTGTCCAATAAAAAGGCCAGGTGCAGTCATCTTTTGCTGAGGAAAGCAAAGGTGTAAGGAGGATTATATCAAATAAGTCTAGATTTATTATTTCAAATGAGTATTACATTCTCACAGTTAACCCCCCTATCACACCAAACTCGTTCTTACCCGTTCTTGCCAGTCCTACGAAAACGTCGTAAAACGGGCTCGATCTGGCTGTGGTCGGGAAATATGTCTGAAATAATTAGCTTCTTCGTTCTTAAACAGTCTTCAATACGTCCATCTCGTTCGCAGTTCGTTCAGGTCGCACCACGTCGGTGTGCAACGCCGTAGAACGCGTCCCTTAGTCTAGAAGGTCATCATGACCTGATAACAGAACGGTATGGTCGCAATCGAATTTTGAATCGATTCAAAATTCTAAAATCACATTCCCGTCTGAGAACGTTCATAAAGTTCGTAAATAGACCTTAGAAAGTTGCAGCTATGTTCATTCCGTTCGCACATAGTTTAGAACCAGTTTTGAAGAACGCAGTGGCAACTTGTTTGGTGTGATAGCTATATTTTTGCTAACTCGTTCATAAGCAGTGTTAAATACGTTCTTAATCAGTTTAAACCCGTTTGCAATGAGTTCTACCTCGTTCTCAACACGTCTTCAGACAGTTCAACTCGTTGTTAAAACGTCCCTAGTAGGATTGAAGTACGACGGTTCCGTTCGTAGTACGTCCAGCTCGTCGTTAGCACGTTGTCACTCGTTCTAATTGTAGAACGTGACGACCACGAGAACATTTTGAGCATTGTCTAAGTTCAAGAGGACCTACCCGTTTGAGTACGTTCGATGAAGTTTGTAAATAGATCCCAAACGGTTCTTAGTACGTCCAGTCCGTTCGTACACAGTTGAAGCCCGTTTTCGAGAACGTAGTGAGAACTAGTTTGGTGTGATAGTAGGGTAAGGAAAAAAAGTTCATAATAAAAACTATTTAAAAATCACGTGGTGTACCAATATGCATTGCTTCATGATAATCACTTTTTATTCAAATATAAAGAGGAGGCAGGGAGCTTAGGTTGCCAAACTTTTGGAGGGTAGTGTACTTGCCAGAAAGACAGAGGATTGGCCTACCACAAGTTTCAAATCGTGTGTCTAAAAAGATTTGGCAGCATTCTTGAATAAAATAATAAAACGTTAATTTCTCAAAAACAAATCAAAGTCTATAATGATTCACAAGTTCATCTAAAATGTTTTCATTTCTCAAAACATTCATGATTCTCGTCATTCATGATAAAACAGCGGAACGGTGATAGAATGTTTCATTTCATATGTAATACAATAATATTTGTCATCTGTCACTTTTATCGTCAGTACCAATTGAGAGTATTCGTGCAGCCATTACGACTTTTATTGTGCGCCATGATTAAATAGGTATTACATTCTTCAAAAATATTTGCTATAAATATACTAGTTTTCAGTACATAACTGTAAGTTCATGAGGTATTACAAAATGAAATATCAAATAAAATTCTTTTGATTTGGATTCTTTTCAAAAATCATCTAAAAGTGTTGGAAAATAGCATGTGTCTGAATATCTTTGAATGAACTCTAAAGCATGAATTGGGAATGACGATTTATCAATGGTAGCTCGTCAAAAACATGTTCCTTAGAGATATGTTATAATTTTCCCTTAACAAAAGTTGGCTCAATGTATGCTAACCCTTGATTTGGATTCCATTGAACAATTCAACAAGTGCAGTAAAATTTAAATGTATGATTTTGCTACCAGATTTCAATATCTTTTCAGTAAAAGATTCACCAAAAACTATTTCAACATAGAAAATCAAATTTATGCCAAACTTTTGGAGGGGTGTACATTGTATGTATGACAAATACAAAAAATGCCTTTCAAAATGCTGTTCCGCCATTTCGAAACCTGTTATGAGTAAATACGGTAACTGATGTTGCATTCTGGGAGTCAACCGTCCTTGGATACAAACATGGCGATTCATGAAAACATTCATTCGATTTGGTAGGGATTTATCCATTATTTGCAGGTATGAAGCTTTGGATTCATTTATTGTGCTACTTTAGTGAACGGGAATTATTTTTCTACAGCTTGGGAGAGTTTGAGACACGAAACTTGGAAATAAGCTCATTGTGACAACTTGTGAACGTTGAGTTTTATTTTTGTCCCCCACTGTAGATCTACTATTTTTTTCATGGCCTGAGTTCGTCGCTAACATGCTAAATATAAGAGTTAGCTGACGTTTGAGAGTCTGACTTACCTTCTAAAGGTTAGAACCCGAATCTTAATGAAAGCTTATCACCTTTGTTGCGTCGATGATGATGCATAAACACAGCATTTGATACAAATTAGTGTAAATGCTTTTCCGACTTTTCATTTTTCATCAATGTTGACTTCCGGGAAGGCGTTGTAGTTATCACGAAATAAAGCATTGACCCTTGAACTTTACTTTGTTGATGTGTCAACCAAGCATGTCTGGTGTGAAAATTAAAAGAATATTAAGCAATGTTCTACATCCGCCAAGCTAAGTGAAGTGTCTAGCCAATATTTGAAATTACCAATTTCAAGTGAAGTACGCAACGAACGAAACTGCGTGATCTACACTCCCACTATTGGTCTGAACAAAATGCTACGTAGAAATATGAGCCGTCTGCTGTATTAGTCGATTAATGGAGTAAGACCTGTTGGTGATGCTTTATAATTTAGACCAAAACATTGGAGAACAAACGAACCTGTAAATCGTGAAAACAACGAACAAATATTCGGTTTTCACATATGTTCGGTAATTTTTCGTATTGAAACTTCCGGAACTTACAAGGAAATCATTCATTTTCACTGTCCATGATTTACCTCTTGGATGTTGTGGCAAATGCTCCATGGTTGACTGAACAAAGGTGATATGGTTTCATTAAGATTCGGGTTCTAACCTTTAGAAGGTAAGTCAGACTCCCAAACGTCAGCTAACTCTTATATTTAGCATGTTAGCGACGAACTCAGGCCATGAAAAAAATAGTAGCTCAATAAATATTCCTCAAGATGAGACACCTCAGAAAATTTCAAATTTTAAAATGACGATTATGGAGCCATTTCTGAAAAATATGAGACAAATCATACCTCATTCGAAGCATCTCGTTATTCTTTAACTTTTTATCACCAATGTTCGTTATTCAAGCAATGCTGCGTTGATAAGAGGCCAAAACAGTGATATTTTATCGTCGGACTCTTGTCTGTCCAAATCTGAATGGTGCTCCCGTGGTTCCAGAAATGTGACGTCATCAGTACAATGATATTTGGACACACAAGAGTCCGGATCTCGTGAAAAATAACTGCATCCATATAGGTTATTTACTCAAACCAAACAAGTAGAAATAGAAAGATGAAGATCTCAGCTATAAAATAAGTGCAAAATCTGTCATGGGGAACCAGGTACCATTTTGTATAAGGAACATTTTAAAAAGTTTGTCATAATTTTTTGAAATTTTTCAATTTAGTGTCGTATCTTGTGAATTATTCTTTGAGCCTATGAGATCCTACTACAAAACGATCTGGCCAATATCTGTGCCTTCTTCTATAATATTTTTCAGTTGCTGTCCGACGGTCGAAAAATCCATTTATTTTCTCATTTGGCCATATTCTTAAGTTTTATCCCCATATATAATAAATTTGGCCCATGACTTATCTACACGTCCTACCTTTCGCCAGAGAGCTGAGAAGAATTATGTCCAATCACATTTTCTTCTTCCTAAACCTCTAAATTTCAATATGGTTCAAAATTTTTAAACTATAAATTTGCAATAGAGGCATGGCTGTACTTATTGAATGCTATGAGATTGTGGCAAGGCATGGCTGTGTCTCGGGTTAGACACTGCTGGGGGCAGATGTAGAAATAATCAAAAATTGTTGAAAGTAGTTCCTTTTTCAACATAGAATAATTTAATTTTCTTTTTCAAATATCATTATAAAATATTTATTCTTTCATGTTTCCTTATAACTATTCCAAAATTCATAAAATATTAGAAGAGATCTCCAGGGAAGCAATTTTGAGTTAAAGTTTTGTTAAAATTAGTTGTCTATGTCTATGTCAATAATCTGCAAAAG